TGATGGAATCCCTTTGCCACAAGTCTGACCTTGTATTTCTGAACTAAATCGTGTGGATTTCTCATCACTCTAAAGACCCATTTGTAGCCAATGGGTTTGATATTTGTAGGTGGAGGTACTAGAGACCATGTATTGTTGGCTTGCAGTGCTAGAAATTCATATTGCATAGCTTTCAGCCAATGTGGTGAGGTCATAGCTTGTGCCACTGAGGTCGGTTCAGTTTCAGTTAAGTCATGATTTCTACTTAGGACAACAGCCAGGTAAGATTTAGGCTTTGCAACTCCTGCCTTGGCTTTAGTCTTTATCTTATGCTCATTCACAGGGAACAATTTGTGAGTGCCAGTGACAGAAATAGGTTGCTGCGGAGTGTCTGTAGAACCAGAATTAGTGTGCTGAAGTGATTCTGTTGCAGTAAGACCTGTTACAAATACAGAAGCAGGAATATCTATAGCAGTTTTAGCAGGAACTATGTTAGTAGCAGCAGGAATATAAATAGTGGCAGGTTCTGCAGTGTGCATACTAGGAATGTATCTATTAGTGATATTTGAAATATTGGCAGACTGCACGTGTATGATTGGATTAGTTTGTAGTACAAGTGGAATGTGAGGGAGGGGTGCATGTGCATTGGGCAAGGAACTTGATTGGGGTATAGGAAACAATTTATTATAAGGAAAAATATATTCATTGAATACTACACTTTTAACAATATGTATTTTACCTAAGGTTGATAAGCACTTATAGCCTTTATGATTAGGTGAATAGCCAATAAAGACACAAAGATGAGGCCTAAAATCAAATTTGTGCTTGTTAAGATGAGGGAGGTGGGGGTAGCAGGCACATCCAAAGACTTTGAGATGTGAGTAGGTGGGTTGTTTGTGATAAAGGAGTTCAAAAGAGGATTGATTTTGAGTGTTTGGTGATGACAGTCTATTGATAAGGTAGGTAGCTGAGATAAAAGCTTCATCCCAAAATTTTAGGGGAATAAAAGCAGTGGCTAAAAGGGAGAGACCAATTTCCTTGATGTGCCTATGTTTTCTTTCAACATATCCATTTTGTTGGTGAGTGTAGGGGCAACTAAGTCTGTGATGGATGCCATGGGTTGTGAGGTATTTGGTGAATGAAAAGGATAAATATTTTCCTCCATTATCTGTTTGTAGTGCTTTGATCCTCAGACTAGTTTGATTTTCTATGTATGTCTTATATTGGACAAAATCTGTGAATACTTGTAACTTATTTTTCAACAGGTAAATGCATGTATATTTCGTACAAACATCAATAAATGACATATAGTATCAAAATCTAGAGAAAGATGGAACTGGGGTAAGTCCCCACACATCAAACACAATAAGTTCTAATGGTTTATCATAGTTATGATTTGTGACAGGAAAGGATTATTGATGAGACTTTGCAACACATCATGCATCACAGTGAAGACTAAAATCAAAATCAGTACTTTTATTAAAATCAACTTGTACATTATAGAGATTCATGACATGTTGCAGTATTTTGTGTTCTGGGTGGCCTAATCTCCTATGCCACAACACTCTGGTACGAGTATTGACAGGGGAATTACAATAAGAAAGAAAAGTAGTGAAGTTTCTTTTTGGAACATGGACATCATTAAATCTGTATAGACCATTCTTAAGGTGCCTTGAAGTAACACTTCCTTGTTCACTTGTGACTTCACAAAACAATCATGAGGCCAGAATTCAAAATATGCATAATTATCCTTTGCAAACTTAGTTACTGATAGAATGTTTTTAGAGACTTCAGGAACATGTAATAGTTGATTTAGACAAAAGGTTTTGTGAGTGTTAGATGCATGCAATGCAGAGTTGCCAATATTTTTAATAGCAATACCTGATCCATTTCCAATATGCACTTGCTCAGGGCCCTCAAATTCTGAGCTTGTAAACAGATTTTTGTGATCAAATGTCAAGTGATGGCTTGCCCCTGAATCAAGATACCAAGTTGAGTCTTGAGGAGAAGAGGTGGTAGCAAGATATGCTCTTGGATTATGGAATGCAGCTGAGGGTGGAACAGAGGAAGGAGCTCTTTGGTTGGGGTTCTGAAACCCTTGATCAACCCGATGAAAACATTCCCAAACAACATGCCCAACTTTCCCACATAGTTGGCATTGTGATCTGTTTGCATTGTGCCAAAAAGATCTTCTTCTATGTGAATGTCCTCTTCCTCTGCCTCTTCTATTGTAGCCACCTTTACCAAAACTCTAACCTCTATTCTTATTCTCATGTTGAGGCACTTGGGGTATATTAGCTTGAACAATATTTGCATCTTTCTCGAACCTTTCAAGTAAGTCTTCTTGAGCCATTAGAAGGGCTTCAAGTTCCTCTACAAAATAGGTATCGGATCGAGAGAGCACAAGAGTTATCATTGAACTATATTCTTCACTGAGTCCATCAAGAATTACCTCAATGTGTTCTTCAACTAATAGGGGAGCATCTACCAATACAAGGGAATCATCAATCTTCTTGATTTTCAACAGGTAATCGGTGACACTATTATTCTGCTTCTTGATTGCTTTCAGTTGGAACTTCAGTTGCTTCACTCTCGCTTTGGTTTTAGAGGCAAAGCAGGTTTCAACCTTGCTCCATACCTGGTGTGCGAATTCACAACCCACCATCCTATTGGTGAAAGCGCTCTCCATGGAAGCTAGGAGTCATGCTGCTAAATGGTTATCTTGAAGCTCCCAAATAGTGTAGGCCTGAGTTTCAATGCCTAGATCTTCATCTTCTTGAGTGTCAAATTGACGAGGAATCTTGTCCTTGTTCAGGTGGTCTTTCAGCTTATGTGCTTTGATGGTGAGCATCGCTTGATGTCTCTATGTGACGTAGTTATCTTCACTTAGTTGTGTGGCTAGCAGATTTGAGAAGTTCTTTGGCGAAGTAGCCATTGAAGTCCAAGGACCGAGAGTTCTGATACTATATTGGATATCAGGCCCAAGGATTTGGAGAGAAGAAAGAGAGTTTGAAAAAAATGTATTGTGTATTTTTTTTATTGAAAAATATGAAAAAGATTGAGAATAGTGTACAAGTTATGACTTTATATACAAGAGGGATTAATCTATCTTTAGTTGAGTAAATTAATCCTAACAGATTAATTGTTTGTTAACAAAGTAATTATAATTGAAAACTAATTCTAATATGATCTAGTTATACAGTTCACCTATCAACATATTGCTTGGATACATGAGACTTGTGCTTTTATTGCAATAGCAACTAGTAAGTCATGATTAATTTTAGAAAGTTTATCCCACTTATCCATATGACTAATATTTAATTCTAATAAGTTAGTTTCCATCATGGTTATAGTTGGACTATTTTGATTGTTTGAACTATTAAAAATTGACATAATATCTAATATGGTATATCATTATTTTTATCTCTTCCTTTGTTTTTAAATCTTACCCTCCGAAACACAGGAAAACACCTTGAGGTATCTCCTACTCTGTACATATTACATACGTGAGTTCAATAGTATATCAGTGTGGGTTGGTCCCCTCCATGAGGCTAGTTAAATTTTACAAACTAGTTGGCCTTGTTCCTACGCTGCGATTGCAGAATAGCAAATAAAAACACTGGAGGGGAGTAAATTGGTTATAACATTCATCCAAACGAGACACGAGAGCGTGCAAATGTCCGTTCAACGTTTAAAGTGATTTAAGCACAAGGGTCCAAAACTATCGTGTTTGTGTGTGACGCACTCAAGCAATTCCAAAGTGCTAACCACCCAACCTTATCCTTGCATTATATGCAAAAGCTTTCAAACTATTTTTAGTTTTTACCAAAAGCTAATCAATGCTCTAACAATTTCTAAACCTCCTTTTAGATTAAGGTTGCGGTCGCTTTATGGGGTTGTGGCTTTATGTAATTATGTCCAACATGGTCCACAGAGTAACGTGATTGTGGTAGCCACCGCATTAGATGATATGATTTGGATCGATACTTAAATCCTTGGATTGTATAAGCTATACATTTGATAAAAGTTGCATCTTGCAATATCTGTTTAAGAATAAAGCATGATTTATATAAATTTCGTGAATTGAGAGCACAGCTCATGGAAAAGCAGAAAATTATAAATATTCGGTGGGGGTGAGGGAAAAGTAGAAAAATTGTATAAACAAAAATGTATTCAAATGCACCAGCCGGGAATCGAACCCGGGTCTGTACCGTGGCAGGGTACTATTCTACCACTAGACCACTGGTGCTTTTATAAATATCTTTCAGATAGAACTAACTACTCTTTTACCCTAAATCTTTAACTTATTTTAAAGTGATTTAATATTAATTTATTAAATTTTAAAACAAATACATCTTTACTTTTATATCTTATTCATTTTATTTTAAATGAGTATCTTGTCACAGTCTTTAATCCTGCGACAATAATTGTTTTCCATGAGGGGTTACAGCATTCCGATCAATTCACTTATTTTACTTCTTGTTTATTTTATTTTACTCATTCTGTATCCATGAAATAATTAAGGTAAATTCTACGGTATTAAAATAAATGAAAAAATATTCTATGCTTTTGTATACATAAAATAATTATAATCATTAATTTTAATAGTAGAATTAGTTGTGTATTTTGAAAAAATATAAATATACTTTAATATCTTAATATAATTTAGATAAAGTATTAAATACTCCTTCAAGTTTAGAAGTACCATAACAAATATCATTAAATAATTATTGCAACAATTGCATGCATTAATGTATAAACATAGTAAAAGTGTAAGTACGTATGTATAAAGAACAAGAAACACTGCTGGCATGCGTAAAATTTACAATATTAACGTGTACTAAGATTATATACACACATTAAATTATAATTTGTTTCAAATTATTTTTTATTTTAAGAAAAATAAGACCGCATTTTCAAAATTTATCCTTTTAGTGAACCTTTTAATTTTGTCTGTCCAGAAGTATTTCCACTAAACAGAATAATAAAATTAATACAATAAAAGATAAATTAGTGAAATATAATTATTTTTTAAAATTACGAGTATCTAATTATTTTCAAGTTATGTATTTTAGATTGACGTTGGACTACAAATTGGGCTTGATCCGAATACGGAGATGGAGCAGTTTGCAGCTGGGATCTGTTTCTCTTCTGGGCCAAATACTCACAATGATTTATTTTTTGGTCGATACTCGATGATTGAAAACTACATAAAGAAAATGGCCATCAATCACGATGCGTCTGAACGTGGTCCATTGCCCATCCCCACGGTCACGTGGTTGCAACGTTAAGAAGTGACAATCTAGCCGTTCATCATCTCAGCGTTGACCAGAAGCACAGCATACATATAATCCTCATAACCTACCCACTGCTTAATTCCTTCTCATGATTGTCTTGCATTTAAGACAAGATCTCCCACCATCATAAATCAACAACCAAATTCAGAAACTTAAAAAAATTGTGTGATTTAGTTAACTAATGCATTAAAAAATATTCATTAAAAAGTATATAGATCAAGAACACATTAAAAAAAATATTTTATAAAGTATTTTTAATAAAAACTTTTATGTTTAAATTTTTTAATCAGCACACTAATGAACCTTTGCAAGGAAAAGAACAAAAATTATACACGAATTGAACAAAGAAGCTGCGAAAGAGAAAGAGAAAGAGAAAGAGAAAGAGAAAGAGAAAGGGGGAGAGTCTAGAAATGAAACCAAATGAAAAGCAAAATGTACATGAAAATGAGGATGATCATGTTAAGCGATGACGGCTAAATCTCTTACATTGGGCAAACGACTTCTGTTGTCCACCCTGGCAGAAAAAGAAGCTATGAGGGCACCTATACAAGCAGTTATCCACAAGGCTCACGTTAGCAGAATCCGGTTTAAGCGCTAATAAAGGCCGTGGAATCCCTCCCAACAAGTAGTTTCCCCCCAATAGAAGCCTATCGAACGGAGACACCCCATTTTCTGGGAAAACTGTTTTCACTGCGAATTGGGTCGGTATCAGACCCGTTAACTCGTTCTTCTCCAAGGACAAAGACGAAAGCTTTGGCATCAGGGCCATGAACGACGGCAAAATACCCCCTAGCCTGTTGTTGCTCAGATCAACCGCTATGAGCCCGCTTTGTGATCCCATTCCATAAAAAGGCGCTTCCACGGAGGAGAATTCGTTGAAGGACAGTGTTAACTGTTGCAGCGATGGAAGCTCGAACAGAACGGAAGGAACAGAGCCACTCATTTGGTTGGAACTCAAGTCCACTACCTGCAAGTTCATCAAATTCTTCAAGTTTTCAGAGGTTAACCCTCCGCTTAAGTTGTTGTTCCTAATTGAAATCTGAACCAAGGAAACGGGGAGTGACTCCGGCAATTCTCCAGCGACGGAGTTGTCGCTGAGGGCGAGGTAGTAAAGGCTTCCGAGGGAACCCAAGTAGGGAAGGTGGCCGTTGAGCTTGTTAGATTGAAGTTCAAGCCTTTTAAGGTTGACGAGGTTGTTGAAACTTTCTGGGATTGTTCCTCGTAGGTTATTGTTGTCGAGGTAGAGTTCTTCAAGGTTGGAGAGGAGGCCAAGTGAAGAGGGTATTTCACCGGAGAACGAGTTGGATGAGAAACTGAGTCGGCGTAGACGAGTCAAGTTCGATAAGGACTCCGGAATGAGGCCATAGAAGTAATTGTTGGAGACATCGAGGGTTTGTAGATAAGGAAGGTTCCAAGTGAAGGAGAGGGAGCCAGAGTAACCGGCTTGGTCGAGGGCGAGTTCCGTGACTCGGCTCAGCCCCGAAACGACGACGTCGCATCTGAAGCCGCACGTGAATTTGTCGCCTAAGAGGTTGTCGCACGGGTCAAAAGTGAAGTCCCAGGAACTGACGCAAGAGCCTGCGTTTACCGAACCTGGGTCCAGACCTTGGTTCAGCTGCTTCAGAACCTCTGCATCTCCCCAGTATGTCTTTGATTCTGCTCCCAATAACAAGCCCGAAGCTGCGATAATGAAAAATAGAGGGAAGCACAGAGACCCCATTGACTATTCTCACGATGGAGTGTAATGGAATTGGAAGTTAGAACCCGAGTTAAAGGAAAAGGTGTGGGGGGAATAAATCAGGACCGTTGGATTCCGATGGACGAAAAGTGTACGGAGTGAAAGATGGGGAAAACTGAGAAAAGGTGTGTCTTTGGGGAGCGTAGCCTTCTTTCCCACTCAAAGCAGTCAGAGATTTTTTTAGACGAATGAGTGAGTGAGTGGCTTCACGGGTCACGGGTCACGGGTGGATCTCAGACACCTATCTTATTCCGCGACCTTTTCGAAATTAAGATTTTCGATTTTTGGTGTTTACAGAAAAAGGAGAAAGCCATACATAAACTTATGTTTCCTTAGTGTAACACTAGATTGCTATTTATATGCTGACGACGTCTACGAACCTTTTTAATGCAGTTTAATAATAATGTATTTTTTTTTATGGCTAGCCGTTATGTATGCTTCTTATCCAACATTCATAAATTGCCCTCGGGATGGGTATAAACGTTATACTTAAGAAATGGGTATAAATGGAAAAGGCCCCAATTGGGTAGGTGTCTAACATTATGGTCTAAGAAATGGACTTTAGTTAGCAGGTTATTAGGAAGTAGTAAGATAGAAGAAAGTGCATAAGGTTGGTAGAGATTAGAGAATCAAATGCCAGGCAATGTGGCATCTTCTGCTATGGCGGTGGTTGCAAGGTGGTTTGGGCATCGGGTCCCAACGTTAGAGCTTAGTGATTTGTGTTTAGACTCTTTTATCATAGCTAACAAAGCTTTAAATTTTGGCAAAGTCACTCAAAGGGGACGCACTCCTATCTTTTACAGAAATAATTTTCTATTGGTGCTTCCAACCGACTTACCGAACCATTGCTAGACTAAATAAAACCCACTTATGTTTATACAATTGTGTATTTCATGGATAAGGTGTCCTCTAAAGTCAGACATTTGGTACGAGTGATTACCTCATCAGCACAATGCTTGATGGATGGACAACAATTTTAAACCAAAGTTATTTCTAACTAACTCCTACAAAAGTTTCACACAAACCATTAACCAAATAAAAGATTATCCAGTATCTTCTTAAAAAATTGTTTACCTTTACTTTGGAGTGAAAAAAGAAGAAGAAAGTAAAATCATTATTTTGTGAATGTCATTGTATTTTTAACTCAAATTTTAGGAATGCAAATAATATTTAAGGGTTTTAGGTGTATCATAAAGGAAATTTACTGTCAAATCAAGTTTTGTACAAAGTTTGGGATTGGTAGAGGCAACTTAATAAGTATAAAACAAACTGTTTATCCATATTTTGAAGACACTGTCCTCAACTTCCTAATAATATGAATAGAAACAAAATTATCAACATGCAAATATTAGTGTTAAGAAATTCATTATATCTTATTCGAAATGTACCGCCAACTCAAGTTACAGTTAAGAAAATCATTATATCTTCTATATGAGCTCTTTTGTGATTTGAAAACACTTGTACAAAAGAGACCACACTAAATAAGGTCAATTATTGAAATCGATTAAAAAATGTCTCGTTGGGTTACAAATCTAATTATAAAAATAAAATAAGTTCATGAATTGCTGCAAGTGAATTAACTATTCGGTTTGCACTAAGTCACCAGACAAAGAACAACATTTTTTTGTTGTCACCAAAAAACACCATCTGTAAACAATGGAACAAGCCTTGAATAATGGAAAGATGAGTTGAACCATTTAATCAACAAAATTGTTTTGGTCAATTCGTTGTCCATATTTAACTGTATTTTTTTGTTGTGTGACCATATTCTACTTCCAACCATAGGAGTTGGGATTCCTATTTTTCAAAGCTCATTTTAAAATTTGTAAACTGGGCCCAGCTTGGATGATAGGGCTCTGAATTGGGCCAGGCCTATAATTAACGCATTGAGGAGCGGGGACTTCAACGTTCGGTTGGGTCCTTAAATAACAGCCGAAATTGTCCTGCAGTGATATATAGAACTAGCAGGATATTTGTATTATGGACAAGTTTTGAATATTATTTTTAACAATTTTTTATACATTTTATCCCAATCTCTAATCTACTTTCTCAATGTAAAAATAAATAAATTCCATAATTATTATTTTATCTTTTTAATTTTTTGTCTGTTTTCTTTTTTACTTTTTTGTATTATTTTGTTTTATTAATTTTTATTTATTAAATATATTAATAAAATTACTATCCATGATAAAATAAAATAAAATATTAAATGATAAATTTGTTTAATAAAAAAAGCTGTTAAATTAAGAAAATATGTTCCAGTTACTGTCTCTTCATGTTTGGGGATTTTAATTATAATCTTTGATAACATTTTTAATAAAAGAAATCTTTTTATCATGATGAAATTTATTATTAAAATTAATTTTTATTATCAACATTAATTTTTATTTTCAATTAATATTTTTTTCTAATTTTATATTTATTAATTCAATATTTTAAATATGAAATTAATTAATTCAAATGATTTTACATCCTTTATGTTGATTTTATCATAAAGGAATACTTTTATATGATTTAAATGAAATAAATCTTCTTAGAATTTCTTTTTATCCAGTTTATTTCAAGTAAATTAGTCATAATCAATTATAAATATAATTGATTTTTGAAATAAACTTTTCTTCATTGATTCAAATATATGCAACAGTTTTCAATATTTGAGAAATGGTAATAAAAAACAGGGTGAGGATTAAATTATTTTAAGAGTATTTTTACTATAATTATTTCATTTAATATTTTTTTAAAAATAAATTTTACAATCTAAGTAATAAATAATGTGATATATTTACATTGATTATGCACATTAAATTTTAGATAAATCAAACTAAAATAGAAGATTAGTCACTCGAAGGATTAATCTAGTCCATGTAGCAAAACCATGAAAGTTAATGATGAGATTCGATATAATTTAAACTGCAAAATTTGAATTAAAAAATTAAATGTTTTAAATTATTTTTGAATTTAATTTTGAAAAACGATCGACTCAAACAAAGTTAAAATTATTACATCACTTATAATTACGTAAGCAAATATATATTAGAATTTTCTAAGTTCTTCGCAGTACTCTGATTTCAATTTATTTCTTAGTATACATTAACATAACTCTTGAAGAATGTCTTAATTTATATACTAAATATGTCGCAGTGATTGTTACTCCATAGACTAGCTTAAATGTTGGCATATACAGACACACTATCCAAAGCTAGACGAGGTACATATTCCTTTATCTAAGATGAGACATTCAATCCTTATTCATTGGAGTGTCCCACTGGGACAACATATTCAATTCTTGTCCTTGGCTATAAACTTCTCTACTGTTGCTTGTAAAAAAATTCTTGAATTTTAACTTAATATATCTAACTTAGTGCACCAAACCAAAAAATAGTAATATTTTTAGAAGGAGAAGGGAAAAAAAAACGAAGGAATTATAATTAACTTTTAACGAATAAATTTTAAAAAAAAAACTAAGGCAAGTTACATATACCCTATTTAAAATGTTATGAAAAATAAAAATCTACCTAAAAAAATCTTCTCACATTATTTGTATTTTTAATAAATAAACATTAGTGACTGACTACTTAATTAATGTTGTATCAGCACTTTTATTTGTTGCTATGTTTCTCATTAGGCAGACTGAGTTTATGCAAGTAACATGATAACACTTAAGCAATTAATATAACACACTCAATGTAAGCATATAATAACAAATAAAATAGAGTCATTGTGTTTTTCAGATCACACATTTGGCATACACTATAAGCTAGCTAATTCTCTACCTAGATAGAGAGAGAGGTCCACTGTAGGATAGTACAAAGCTGAAATAACAAGTAGTAGCTATTTAATTTACATTTCTAAATAATTGAAGCAAATGAAACTCAAGCAAGGCGCAGATCGTCAATTTTAAAGGGTTCTCCATGGTGAGGAAGACTCAGATGAGTATGGTGCTGACAGAATGCATACAAGTTGGAGGCACCGTTGGCCAATGCAACTGCTGATTCCTCGTCTCCTTCATCGTGCAAAAGAAATTGTGGATGGATCACACACTTTTCCTTCTTAATATTACATTGTCAAAGATGAAAACCAAATCATTTTCTCCTCTCTATTGTTTTACAATTAAAACAACATGCAACTTTCGTGTATCTTTTTAATATTGATTTTAATAGAGAAGTTCTTACAAGTTCAAGCAGGAGATTTCCATTCATCTGCTCCAAGCTTCTAACCTGTACATTACCTCCCAAATGTTGGTTCATTAGATCATAAGAACTAGAAAAAATGTACCATAACTAAGAAAAGAATTAATTAATAAACAATTATCGTTATACTACTAAACTCTAGCGATTCATTGATCATTACAATAATTGCTGACCTTTTTCTTACAGGTATCAGTCCGAGTTTTGATCACATGAATCTGAAACAAAATGCATAAAAAAATGAGTTTAAAGTCCAAGGACAAATAATCTTCATATATAAAACAGATCATGCAGGTAAATCAGCAACCTCACTTAAAAGTTAGAAAAATACCTAAGAATCCATGACCTCACCCTCCTTAATTAATTTTTTTTCTTGAAATGAAAGAAGACGAAAAAAAAGGAAGGAGAACTAAACTGCTTAATGAGTTAATTGAAAAGTGAATTTAGGACTATAGCTTATGGTTCGATTAGAAAATGGATGAAGAAATGGAAAAGTATAAAATTGAACATAGTAAAACCATCAATCCAAAACCCCTTTTAGATCCAATATTTAACTGAAGCAAATGAGTGAAAGATTGTACCTTTCTTTCGCGTATTTTCCCTATGGAAGCAACCATATCCTCTTCAAGATTGCGCAGTTGCTGGAAGCTCAGATCGTCCGAGTCCAAACCCTCACCTATCCTATGCCTTTTCAATCCATAACTCCACCAATGAGCTTTCATCAAGCTATCAAAATATTGCACACGTGTACATAGAAAACAAGGGGAAAATATCAACTTTTTATGTTTTATTTACCTGATCTGTCTCCTGAGCTTGATGTTAATATCTTTCAGTTTCTTTAAGTTTTCAAGCATTTTCTGAAAGCATGAACACACATAACAAAATCAGGAAATTCAGTAAGTAATAAGAAAGCAAAACACAAACCACCATAATTGAAACAAAAGAGAAAGATCAGTGCTTGTTTAACCTCATAGTGGGAACGCCACAGATCAATATCCCCCAGAGTCTTCTGATACTGATCAATGATCTTCTTTGTCCTGGTTCACAAGTAGTGGAATTAAAAAAGTAAAAATAACCATTTCCTACATATTGCTGAGAAAAAAAGAGAGAGAGAGAGTAAGATACACACGTAAGGCCAGGGCTGATATATTCATGCAACTTGTTGTTTTTAGAGAACATGATGAGGGAAACCTTAGCATCACAAAGAACACTGAGTTCATGAGCTTTCTTGAAGATACCATTCCTTCTCTTGGAGTAGGTGACTTGCCTGTTGGTGGGGTTCTCAATCAACTTTATCTCAATTTTCCCACGACCCATCTCGAGATCGATCACTACCTAGCTACTACTACTACTACTACTTCTCTGGATCTTCTTTTGCTTCCCTTTCCAGACACCAATATTAATAGAGGGGAGAGAGCCAAAGGGGGTGTAGTGAGAAAAACTCATACACACAAAAAAGAAAAAGGTGGAGAGCAGTGAAGAGGGTTTCCAAAATTGGAAGGCTATGCTGCCGAAGGAAAAGTAGGCTTGGAGTGTAACTGCGAATAAATTCTAAATTGGTGAAAGTGTGTGAAAAGCAAAGACAAACACTATTATTACTATTGGACAGCTGGTACTCTTTAATTAATGCCTAGCAGCGACCTCTTGCTACTTAATTTATTAGACAAAACCAAAATGTGAAATAACACTCGTGCTTTTACTTGCTTAAGACATTATTAAACCTTCTCTATATAAATTGCCAAATTGGATTTGTTGTTAAACTGCCCCCTGTGGGGACTCAAGAGACTAAATCATGATTGGGATGGAACTTAAAATTAATTATGCATGTTGCCATGGTTGCAATCATTGGTTGAATGGATTCAGTTTTTGTCAACTAATACCATAATTTCCTATATTGAGCTATTTCGTGCTTGATGGCAATTTGCTTTGTTTGCTATTAATCATTTCCCTCGCAGAAACCTACTAGCTTCTTACCTGCTTTATTTCAATCATGATGAGTGCACTGGAAGTTATATAATCGCTTTCTACACGATATCATATAAACTATATTATTTGAATGATTAAAAAATTAATAATAAATACAGGGAAAATCTAGTTATTTTAATAATAATTCTGACAAAAGTTATTTTAATAATATAAATATTAAATTTTATTAATATACTTGTTAAATAAATAATTAAATATTCTTTTATTTATATTTTTTTGTATATTTAATCTGCTTATAAAATTAAATTGACAAAATTTAACATTTATAAAAAGTTATTAAACGAAATAATCCTTATTAGACTTGCTTTTAAAATAAATTGATTTCTACGCATATATAAATTTAGGCATCTCATTTAAACATTCATAAAACATTTTTCTATCACAAAACTTCAACTCCATGTTCATAACATACCATCTATGAAATCATGGGGAAAAAATGACTTCGTGGAAGTAAAGAACACCGATTAGGTAAGTTTCCCCGTCAATTAGTGTGAGGTTAATTGGAAAGTTCATATTAAGTTACGAACCATATATCAAGTATTATAAAGGAATTAATCTATGTTTCGACAAATAAAGAATGTTGCATGCAGAAGCAAGACACAAGGACATGCATATACAGTTCTATTCATTTTCAAGGATGAAGAGTATCGACTTGCTCTTATAAAATCTTTACCCAACCAAGTATGCTTTCCTCTCAAAATTTTGCTCCTCGGTATTTACTTAAACCTCAGAATATAAAGATCATGAAAGGTTTGTTAAAGTTATCCTGTAGTAAATAGTTTCATTTTAAGTACATTAATCAAGTTGAACTATTAAATTAAATTTTTATTTTAACGTTTTAAAGATAAATTTTCATCACTTTACCTAAAATAAAAATATTTATACTGATAACTTAAATAACTTCCATTGAATGAATTGGACCAAATAAGATAAGTTTAAGCCACAAATAATATTCAAAACTTTTAGTGGTAAAACCAATGACTGAAACTGACCCCATGAATTAATTAATATCTACATATTAATAGTTATAATATTTTTTCATTAAAATTATATTTAATCTTTTTTTATCACATATACTGTTATAATTACTTCTTCGTCCGATCATTAATTCATTTTATCATCCTTTATCTCTCTTCTGTTCTTATTTCTGATCGATCGATCGATCTAATATATATCAGCAACACAACACTTGATGTTGAAAACAAATAGCACGTAGGTTCTGTAGAGACTACTGGCATGAGCATGTGGTGTCATTGTAGGCATAGCTAGCTTGGTACTACTTACAAATTGAATCACTCATCAATATCGAGGCATGGCAATGTGATAGGGAAAGTTCGAAGATATTAACGTTGTTGGCCGCATAGGACCCGTCCCATCTTTCTCTAACCCAATGCCTACACTCCTTCTGGCCCTGGGTATTGGGTATTTGCTGTTTTTCAGCCGAATCACATGCTTCTTAATCTTATTGCATGTTTTCCACTGCTTCTCACAGATCTAGAGCGTTTGGTTTTTTGTTGCATCCACTTAAACTTTGGGTACATTTCAATGCTATAAATTATAGATTTTATGTTAAAATATGTTTAACCAAAGTTTAATAAGTTTTCAAACATGCCCTAACAGTCATATCCTAAATTTAATAAATAATCAATCAGCCATCCCTCCCCTCATCTCAATTCATACTAAATATGATTTGTTTAACAAATATACAGTTAATGTTTAATTTGCTTCAGAAATGGCAATTGAGTTAAGGTAATTTAAATCTTTCAAGTTTGAGCAGATTTCATCATACTATTCTATTTGCTATTGGAAGATCACTTCCACGTTATGTACAAGTATTATATGAATTCCTTTGAGTATGATGTAGCTTCGAAATTTTTCTTATTTGTGGATGCACAGACAGGAGCTAGCCGTAGGTCTGCTGGATTTGACGGTCAGATTCAATTCTGACCATGTCAATGTAGCCTTGGATTGGACAAGGAATCCAAGTGAACAAGCCTACTTTTTTCTTTTTCTTTTTCCTTTCATGATTTATCTTACTTTTTCTTTTTGACATATTATATATCTGTATGATGAAGAGGAAGATAGAAAAAAAAGTGGGATTTCATCAAAAAAAGAAAAAAAAGGGGGAGTAAGATAAACTGATAAAGTAATTAACCTGATTGAAAGAGAAGATAAAAAAAAAAGGTGTTATATAAATAATGTAATACTTTCACATATATCTTAATTAGGAGGAAAGAACGGGAAACTAAGGGAAGAGAGAGAGAGAGATTAGCATATTTAATTAGTGTGAAAAAATTAGGATTATTTATATTCATAAATCATAAGTCACAGGCAAGACATTTGAAAAAGAAGAACACCTTTCCCTTGAACAATGTTATTTATAAATGTATTATTTTTTAACGTAAAATTTAGAACAGTTCACTAGATGTTATATGTTTCAACTTTTTTTCTTCTTCAGTCCAAGAAGTTTCAACTTTCAAGTTCCAAGTGCTTTGTCCGGTCTAGTATGGGCTTCAAGCTTCAGCAAATTGGATTTGGGTCAATCTCAATTCAACATTTACTATTTTATGCTACAAAACAAAAATAATCATATATACTTCTCTTACATTTACTTTAAATTTTATATTTTTATTTTTATAAAATCATATTTATCGCTTTTTTTTATTTTCCTTATCTCTCTCCTAATCATCTCCCACCCTTTTAAAGGGGTGTGAGTGAGACAAATTTGATTGGTAAGTAAATTCTGCTCTCACAAGTCAGTTTGAATATACAAAACGCCTTTTATGATGATTATTCAATCAAATTATTTTGTACTCGTAGGAATTAATTTTGAACCAGTAGAGTGTGTGGATAATCTGAAAAAAAAAATCTGTCACTTGTTTAACTATGCAGTTAGTGTGTTTGACTGAGTGTCAAAAACATTTTTTTAAAATTAATTTTATTTAAAAGTTAGTTTAAGTTGATATAATTTATGTGTAAAAGCTTTTAGTAAAACTTAGTATAATTTTGTAATAAAAAATTATAATTTATCACGTCTACTCAAATATATATTTAGAATTAAAACTAATTTTGATTCAAACTTATTAGTACGATAATCAAAACACACTTACATTATACAAATTTAAAAAAGGCACGTAGTTTATATATAGTAGCATTCAGTATCCCATCCTTTTGTTGTCAATGATAATATGATGCTACGTGCTTTATGACAATTTTAACTCCAACAATGTGGTGAAATATTATGTCCAGCAAGACGCACGAGTAAAATTCATTACAACTTGTCTTCATATTGTACATTTAAAATTAATTTTGATCTACTGCAATATAACCAAGGTTCCTCGTTCATCTTTGAACGCCACCTCTTTTCACATGTAGATATGTGGCTGACAATCTTGACAACAAAATTACATTATATATTTTTTTAATGTACGTCAAACAACACAATACTAATTTTTTTATTAAAAATTACAACGTTAATGTTCTCAATGTATTATATTTTATAATATTATATATTTTTTAATAATAAACGGGCTTACAGCCCAACAGAAAACAAACTAGGCAGCCTGCCTAGACCACAATTTTTTATATATAAACTTTTATTATGTGTCATTAAATACATATCAACAGTATTATTTATTTTATACCTTAATGTATTTCTAACTAATTTAGAAGGTGAATATTCTCCACGGTTAATGTCAAACTGCAGTGGATCGTGATACTTGCTAGAAAAGGCTTGGCACCACCACCTCTGAAGCAATCACACCTGTACTCTTATAATAATTTGAATGGACAGAACATAAAAATAAAAAAATCTTAATATTATTATTTTATGAAAATTGTTTCATAAAACAACATATTATGGCCTGATTTTCCTCAAAGACCTTATTTATTTTATTTTTTAATTTCACAGTTATCCAATAAAAAGTTACACGTTAATTGGTACAAAATTCGTAAGACCGTCTTTCACACCAATAAATAGTTCTCTTACTTTATTAAGAATTACAAAAAAAATATCCTCCTATTTATTTTTTATTACCTGAAACAAAGTATAAAGTATTAAAAAAAACACATGTAATATGAAACGTTAATGTTATGATTGGATAGAGCGATTTTAAATTATTAAATTACATGTATTTAAATAATTAAAATAATATTTCTAGAAATATTTTCAAATTTCAATTTAAATTTTTTATGTCAAATAAAAAAATTTAAAATAATATTTTAAAAATTTAAAAACCCTCTATTATACTTAATTTTTTTTTATTTTTATAAATATCATTAATAATTTGTCTCATTCCTGATTCACCTTTTAAACATCATTCATTCGAATACTAAAATTCTCCATCCAAACTTTAACCTAAAAGTATTCAACAAGTTATCCGTTAAGTAACTAAGATGATTAGTTGGAAGATATAGAATGTAAGTCTTCATAAAAAATTGTCATATTTAAAGAATAATTCTGTCGAGGTGCACATCACATCTTTCCAGCGTTCCTAGCTTATAGCATCGGCAATATTATGATTGACGACATGGAAAGATTGCGACCAAATACATAAATATCAGGAATTATTTTATATATCATTACTGAAACTTGGAATATTGGCAATGCATATTGTCAATTTGGAGATATATTGGGGCATAAATCTTAAGAAAGTATTAAACACGACTAGTTATCATACGGGGGTTAATCAGACCATCTATATCCACAACCAAATACCTGAGATTAACCACAATGATGAGTTTGTTTGCTCCTTAAAGATTCTTGAGACACAGTTTCCTCTTCCTTTACAAATACCAGGCAATGCCAATTTACAGCAGAGTTATTATCCATTTAAAGGGATCCTGGTTTTTCAAAATGCTTTTTCCCATGTCTTCATTTTGCTTTCAAAAGGATAATCCTCTACTCTAGTTTTGTGAACTTATTAGATAATACTAGTTATTATACTTTATCATCATGGAACCACCACCTTGTCTCCTTGGGCGATCTGCCATTTCTACAGTTCTTTACATAACGGTCATTATCTTCAGGACGTTGCTGCCAAGGAAATCAAGTCACAGTTATTAAGCCAAAATGACACCCATTTGATAATGGATCACCGACCCACCAAAATTCAACTGTAGAATCTCAAATAATAGCCAACCAATCATTTATCAAATTAATTTTTATTCAAACCTCAGTTAAAAAAAAAAAAGCAAGTCCTACATGGGCTATGATCCTATCACAGCCCAAAAGGAAGAATTAGGAATATAAAATATTCACAGTAAATAAATTCACACCTTTACAGTTGAGCTTGAAAGCATTGAGAGGATACTGATGCAGATAGAACTAACTGTCATTGCAGGGGACCATGAATCATACAATATATCTGCATAATTCCAAGCACATCAAATGTCAGCTCACCAACCAAAAGACAGCACCAAGTCACTCAAACCTTTTTCCTTAAAAAAGGATGGCTACCTACAAAGTATAATGCACTAAAATAAAAAGGATGATATTTCAGAGCTGGTACAGATACTTTAAATTTTAAAATCAAATATGCAGATGAATTTTCTAATGATTATGTCAAAATAAAACTCTACAACATCATATTCCAAAAGTGAAAGGTCAACCATTTCTACATACTTCATGCTGACAACTTCAAGTAGATGCAAATGCTTCGTAATTACCACCCCTCCTTTTTACCCCCAAGGGAATGATTGAGAGAATTATCATCAATATCTAACTGGCATGAGTGAATAAAGGAGAAAAGAATGCATTCTTAACTTCTATTTTTCCCACTCTCCATTGTTACCCTTCAGTTCAAATGCATATTTTTTATACAAAAAGGGATGGAAAAAAAGGATGCTAGACAAGATTTTCTTCATATAATCCAACAACCATTTGCTGAATTACTAAAAGGGACACAAAAAGAGCATTTGCAGGAACAACATTGTAATATATCTCGGTCAAATATTGTACAAGTCATTTAGAAAGTCAAAACCATTTACAGTACAAAGTTCTAGTCAATTCATCCCAGAATAGAGTGGAAAAAGAAAACAAGAGAAGCACAGCTCAGACCACCCTTTAAAGATGAATGTGAAGATTGAAATATACTTGAAGTTATCAAATTGTGAATCATAGCAAGAATCACTCGTTCAATTCTTGAAACGTGATTCATGAATTGTAACATATCGTATAATTCTAAAAACACATCAATAAAAAACTTAAATATATATGATTCAACACCTAAATCATCAAGGAAATACTCAAGTCTCAAATAAAACTTAGTAAATTTCACAAATCACCAAGGGAAAAGTAAATTTCAGTGATCCCATTATGTCATTATAAGTCAAAAGTCATAAGTAAACTCATAATTCTGTGTGCTCCTACTAAATAGTAGTTCATCCTTAATGCAATCTATTGTCAAGAATAATACAATGTTCTCAGGTAACATCCCTCTTCCCCTGCCTAAGGAGCCACACTACATAAAGTGACTGCATGAGGTCTAAGATTCAAAAGAACAAAAACATGAATGATATGGCCAAAGAAAGGGCACCTAGTGTAAGCAGGTAACTGTGTGAAGCTTCTATTTCAAAATAATGAAAACAGAGCAATGGAACAACCAAAAAGGGTGCATTGGGTGACCGAGTGAAACCTTATTTCTGAACAAATGAAAAACAGCGCAGATGAATAATCAAATAGGGTACATTTAATAGCACTTCTTCAATTTCTTTTCATTTGCTTCATGTTGGTGATTCAGAATCACATCAGTTCATGCATATATCAAACAATTCAAACTCATCTATACTTCATCACAAGAAACAAGTTACGGCCTCAAAATCATGTTCCTTATATATATGGTATGTCATAGCTTTTCTACCTTTTTGCTTAGTTAACCTTACAGCCTTAAAATCACATTCCTAGCATATTCAAATGTGTATTGATGCCTTGTTAGATTATTGGACATACTGAATCAGGAAGAAATACATCTGCAAAAATAGCAAGGCCGTTTCCTACAAGATTTGTTTATTCTGCATATTTTCTAAGGTTTATTAACTTCTTAAACACGACCTATCTTCAATTGAATAATGTTATATCATCCTAGCAAATCATCCAATTATTTAAAACAATAAAATATTGATCGACAATGTAATAGAACTGAGTTGAAAACTTTAACTGCAGTTAATACTTTCTTTTTTTTAAGCTTTGTTTGGAAGTTCATTTTAGGGGGAAAAGAAAGGAAGAAAAAGGTTTATTTGATGGTAACCCTTGTTTGGGAGTTTTAAAATGAAAGAGAAATTTTATAAACCTTCAAATTCCCATAAACTCATGTTTTCAAGTCCCCCCAAATTAGAAAGTTTTTTCGTTAACACTCTTTCTCCCTCTCTTCTCCCTTACCCCTCAAACCCTTCTCTTCCCCTCTCCCTCTAAACTCTCAAACAAAGCCTAACTTAGGTTTTGTTTAACAGAGGAAGAGGGGAGGAAGGATAAGGAAAGGGTAACCCTTTTGACAGCTTGTAAAATTCCCCTACTCCTTCCCCTTCACTTTTAATAACACCGAAACAGGGCTGATTTAAAAAAAAAAAAAAAAAAAAAAAAAACCCTCTCCTCCCCTCCCCTTTCCCCCTAAATCAAACTCAAACAAAGCCATAAGTAATTAGCAAGATATAGAATAGTTCTTTTTTAATTGCAAAATAAACTTATTTTATCAGGCATAAGAGAATCATTAATAACCTATTGCCATCCTCTCCCCAAGAATTCTAAGCAACCAATTTACAATTTCGAATGTCAAGACTTCAAAGGTAAATCTGAAGCAAATTACAGGAAATGTCAGCGTCTGAAAGAACGGACAACATAAAAAGCCAACACAAACAAACATAAAAGCAACACATACCAAAATCCTGCAATAAAAAGCCGTGCCAAAGTATAAATAGAAAAAGAAATGGTTACGACATTAACCAACAGAATATCAAATAAGATTAGACCGCAAAAACACGGTAAACAGTAATTGACACAAATACCTAGACAAATATGGCCGTTGCTGTAGATATGGGGATGCAGAGGAGCCGGATGCAAAAATATAACCTATAGAATCACGACAACAGAAGTTAGAACAGAATAGCATGAGTGAAAAACGTGAATTAATGTACGCAAAAGGGAAAATAAGAACCTGAGGAGCTTCCATTGGGTAATTTTCGGGAAAGTCGACCTGAAGCTGGTAGGTCTCATTAGCGTAAAGTGTGCCAGGAGCTCCAGTGACTTCAATAACCCACCTTACAGACAGAAACGAAGAAAGAGGGGGAAAACAATGTAAAGGAACACCGGAAAACATGCAGCGAAATCAAATCGAAGGAAAATAAAGAGGTAGTGTAAAACCCCAAAGTGAGGGGAAGAATCTGCAATGGAATTGGATGAATCTGATACCTCTGAAGATTGTCGGTGACTTTGTGCTTGAAACCGGTGGGGGGATTGACCTGCCACTCGACGAGCTCTTTCTGGAGCCTATTGCAGGCAATCTTACTGAGATTCTGAAACATGGCGGATCCCAATTGAAGTGAATAACAGAGATAGAGAGAGAGAATCGAAGGAAAGAGAGAGAGTTAGGGCTAACCTTGCGAGCGGCAGCAGAGGAACTAGTCATGATTCTTGCGCGTACACAGATGGATGGTGGAACGATTCTGAATTCACAAAGATATAGAAAGCAAATTTGTTTATATTGTTTTATTTTATTTTTTATTATTATTAATATTAAATACGGTAATGTGAAATCAAGAGAGTTTGACGAAACGGACATGCTACCGGCGACGACGCTTTATTCATATTACTTTTTCCTCAACCCCTCACTCACTTCATTTATTATTTTTCAATCGGATATTGCATTTATGCATAGAATTTGTCAAAAAAAAAAAAAAAAGTATACAATACTCTCTTCCCTTTTTTTAATAAAAAATAATTATATAGCGTTAATTTATTATATATTTTAAAAAATTAACTACATTTCTTAAAACTGTATTTAAATGTAAAAACTAAAATAAGAGATTAAAAAATTATTTATGGTATTTTAATTATAAAAATATAATAAATAATTTTTATAAAATACTATTATTATTATTAATTATTTAAGTTTAATTTTAAGAGTTAAATTTAACATTTTTAAAAAATTATAATAATAAATTATTCAATTATTTATCATACATTAAATATGGCAATATATTCACACATATAATTAGTACGTAAATTTTTATAACATACAATTTATAATAAATAAATATAAAAAGAACAACAATAAAATCATCTAAAAATAGGGATTTTTAATAATTAAAATAATATTATTAATTATTTATTATGAAAAAATAAACATGAGGTAAAATCATTAAAGAAAAAAAGCATGATTACGTGATTAAGAAAAATAAAAGATAATGTTATATCAATAACATAACTCTTTTATAATTATTATGATTTTTTTATTATATTTAAACATAATATGCACATGCAAATAAATAATTTACTGAGAAAAAAAATTGTATATATAAAATATATTTCTATAAATAAATTAATTAAAAATATATTTATTACAATTTTATTATATAAAAATTATGCCATAAATTTAATCATTAAATTCATTATAAATTTTGTTATAGAAAGTTATAAAAAAAATATTTTAAAATAATTAAAAACATTAATAAATGTTATAAACCATTTTTATAATCTTTGTTTGCAAACTTTTCGAAGCATTCCCATAATGCAAAACAAATTAAATTTTCTTATACTCAACTTGTAAAATTTTATTCGTGTATTATTTTTTATCTATACTATATATATTTTTCATAAAAAATAAATTTGTTTGAGTCGGTTAAAATTAGTATAAATAATAATACTCTCTTTTCTAAATATTTAATATAGATAACTATAAATCGAACTATTACAAGTTTGAGCTAGACAAAAACGATTACATACAAAATTTATTTTAAATGAACTCATAATCTTGTTAGAAAAAAAAAAAGAAAAATCGATATGATTGGTTATGAAATTGATTTTCTTTTGTATTTCTCATTAAAAAGGGATATATAGCCGAAGGAAGGTAATCTTAGAAATGCTGCGGATGGAGGATTTTTGAGCAAGAAGACAAAGGGACTTATATGCCAGGCTGGCAAAGGATGAGAGAATGTTGAACCTTTCTTAATCAGCGAGGTAGCCATTGTTGAGCACATTGGTTAACCTCTCTGTGACTGCATAAAAGATAAGAGTAATATTAGTAATTAACTGCAGGGTCCTAATCACATAATGAGAAAGCTAATTAAGCACTTACAATATGGTTTAGTATGTAGCTGATTAAACAGGCCCATGCTTCTACATAAACGGAAAATCAATTCACATTTCCATCTATGATGAGTTAAAAGACCAAACAAGACGTGGACGTTTGTGGGAGCTGCATCCTCAACCTAAAGGACACCTGCAAAAATTGTACATAAAACACCCACCTCTTCTTTGAAACAAGAGAAAGAGAATGATGGGAGTTCCGACTTGTCTTGTAGCTAGCAACCAAAAGGTGCAGAAAAGACAATTCAGCTGTTTGCATATTGGGATTTCTGTTCTTAACCCTGCTTTACTCATTTTTTTCCCTCGCATGAGAAAAATCCACTGAAAAATCAGTTTTATTTGTTACTTTTTTATTTAAAATTTTAATTTTTAATTTTCGTAACATTCCTTTTAATATATGCAAAACCATACAAATAAATTATTTTTTTACTGAAATATTTAATACTTGAAAAAAATGCATTTTATCATTGTATTTATGATCTTATATAATTCAAACCATAAGATTTAGAACAGTGTAACACAACCTTAATATTTTTATTATTTTATTAAATTTTTGGTAAAAAACATAAAAGATAAAATTATAATATCAAATATTGGATTCTCTTGTGATTAGTTTGAAAAAATAAATTTGAATTTGTAAAAAATAGACTCAATTTTAAAGCACCGAACACGTTATTAGTTAAGTGAATAATCATACGCAGGTTGACCCCGGACAATAAAAACACAGACAGCGGCAAGTACATTACCAGATCTCGTGATCAAGTAAAGAAAACAACAGATTTTTTCATCATCAAATATTAAAGTACAGACACATTTCAATCGTATTTCTTTCGTACCCATAATTTTAACATCAGAATTAAAACTATATATTTAAATAATTTAAATTCCCTCCATTCAACTAATACATGCTGATAATTATTAACTTTGCTAATTTGTATTAATAAATATAAACCTAGCAAATAAAAGTTAAATGTGTTTTTATTTTATATGATTCGTTCCGTCCTTCAGTCTTTTTATTTTCCGCTGCTATATTTTATCGTGATTACGAGTACTCATCTTCTATGCTTTCCTATAGTTTTAACTGTTGCTAATTATTTTGTTTTTCCCTATTATGTTTTTATATTATTCATCTCTTAAATGACATTTTTAATATTGTTGTTTATACAAACTAATAAAAAACATGTCTAACACAATAATCGATATCTGTTTTCTGGACAACTAATTCAGAAAAAATATTATTTTCTTAAGTTTTGCCAACAAAATAGTTTACAGTTTAAAAATTCTATTTTAATAAATTTCCACTGAATATGTCAATTAAAGTATTCTGTATAAATTAAACATTTTACAAATTTTCTGTGACATTTGATAATTTTCCTTTTGTTTAGAAATAATATAAATGTATTATTTTATCTTTTTGAAAATTTGATAAGCAAAATGTGATTTATTTATTTTATATATTTAATTGATTTTTATATTCTTTATTATTTATACATGCATTTTAATTTTAAACCCTAAATAATAAAATATATTCAAGGTAAAAAAGTCATATTTAAATTTTTTGTTATATAACGTTAACAGAAGAAAAATACACTTTTTATTCATATCTTACCTTTAAATATCAGTGAACGTACTAATTGTTATGAACTAAGTTAGTTCATTAGATGAAAGAATTTTAAGACTTAAATATTATATTAAATATCTTCAAAATAGTAAAAAAAATTTCCCAACAAGCAGAGTCGGAATATGGGTTAGTCTTTCCCACATCACATCGTTTTACGTAAGACCCACAAATAAACGGACTAACTTACCTAAGCCTACATTTTTAACTAGTTTCTATCTTTTTAAGGTCTGCATGTCTTCTACATACTTAAAAACAATTGAGGGCCTCCATAAATCATACACATGCATCAAGTTTTATTTATTTTTTAAATCGCATTAAAATTATATATATATATTTATGATGATTAGCAAGTTGGCTCGTAAAACCGTGATTTTAATTATAATTATTTGTAATACAATTGATTTATTTATTTTTATTTATTTATTTCTTCTTTATTTTACTCCTCATCTAAACGCATCATAAAATAAATATTTAGCTTATACAAGAAAGTGAGGGTCATTGGTGTTAGGACATACCCGTGGAAGGGCAATGGTCATAGTTTTCTGAAAATTCAAAACATAAAAAGGTGTCGCATAAAACTTGGAAAGGTTGAAAAGGCAAGATATTAATTGTCCATAATTTCGTATTCCCCTTTCCTGCAATCCATTGGTCGGTTTCAGAAAATTGAAGGGAATTCAATATAAAACCTCACCAAGATCCCCAGTGACAGGGATGTGGATATAATAATAAGAATTTTCTTAACTTCAATTCTTAAGATTAATTTTAAATATTTATAAATAAAAAAATTTATAAAAAAATATATAATTATTATATAAAGTTATAAAAATATAATAAATATTTTTTAATAAAATTTTACTATTATTAACTATTTATTCACAACTCTGAAAATTTTTTATTATTATTAACTGTTTATCCTCAACTCTTAAAGAATTAAGTTTAACAAAACTCTAATAATAAAGCTAAGACACGAGAAAAAAAAATGCTAATTTTAACTCATATTAACCATGCATTCCAAAAAAGATTTATTGTGAGTGTAAAAACACCTTAAAAATTTCATAAACACAGATGCAACACAAAAATTATGATTAATGGGATATAATAATTTATCCAGGCTATAAAGTCAAACTCCCAAAACAGCTAGGAACTATTATTTGCTTTGACATGAATCTAATGGTCCCTCCACTCACACTCTTGCGATTAGAACAGTGACAGAGCTTGAAGAGAGTTTGCCGAAGCTGAAAATATTATTTTTCTCAAACAATTGTCTTTGTTTTATAATGAGAAATCCAAAAAAATTAAAGAATATTACTGAAGTTCATGCTCTTATTCATTCGATAATGGTTTTATTTTTATCATTTCTATTCACAACTGTTTACCGTATAATAAGTTTTGGGTAGATCTCATATAATAAGTCCGTAGTTGTATCTGAATATAATTTTCTCTCTCTCTCTCTTTTCCTTATTATATTTTTATATATCCTTGATATTTAGAAGTTATTTTAGAGCCTAAGTAATCCTAGTTAAGTGGATTCACTTTTTTTAAGACTCGAACTTTAAAATATAGTTCAAGGAGAACCAAAGTCTAAATCACTTAAACTAATCAACGTTAGTTTATAATCTATTCCTTTCTTTCATAGAGCAATCAGTGAAGAGCATAATGAGATTTGAGACAAGGGGGGAAATTATGGGTATCTTTTTTATAATTTTTTCTTTTAAAGTGGACGCCATACATTGACTTACCGAAGTTTAGCACTTTAAATTTTGCTTATTCTCATGGCAAATTCAGGATTGAAGATAAGCATATTCTACGCGTGATTAGTGGAAAACTTATGTCACAGTTTGTCTTTTGGGAAACTTATGTCACAGTTTGTCTTTTGGGAAACTTATTGTCAAAACATAACAAGTGGTTGAAAGAAGAAACTTGAAAGATGGGTGTGCTACTGACAAACACAGCTGAATCGTCTATTCTTGCTTTCTGAGCATGCTTTTGTTAAGAAATGATGAAAAATCCCATAAAAAGAAGAGAAAATGTTTTTATACAACCTTTTTGTAGATTTTTTTTGTATGACAAAAAGTGATAAGGGAAGTTGGAAAATGTTAAGATAAAATGATTAATGCAAAAGAGCAAAAAAGTAATATTATAAAGTATAAATCATATAAAACTCTGGAAATATCATCTTATCAAACAACCCATAAAATGGTAATGGATAATTTACAGAAGATAAGGTATAACGTCGGTTAATAAGTGAATTTGATGAATTTAAGTACACGTTTAAGAAATCACTTAAAATTCCGTTAATGCATATTTAAGTGAATTTGATGGATAATATAGCTAAAATTTAAAAGTAGATTCAGTTCTATCTACGCATAAACAAAATTTGTACTGGAATATAAAAGAAATAGATTCTTTCGTTAGATTAAAAACTAGCCACGCGAAGTGATTCCAGACAATTTGATTCAGTACACATAAATTCCATAATAGAAAATTTGAATATAATAAAAAAATTAGTAGAAAAATAAAATAAAATAAAATGGTGAATTTAAAAAAAATGAGATGAAAAAAACGTGAGGTTTGGATAGATAAAAATAAGATAGAAAATAGTGAGAAATGTTTACTTTCCTTATTTAAAAAATGGAAAAGAAAATTAAAAAATTGGATAGTTAATATAAAAATTATTTTTATAATAACAATAATTTTATTTTAACAATAAATTAAAAAGTTTAATATAGTATTTTTTTTCTTAATTATGTATTTTTCATTATTTTAAAAAATATTTTCAATAAAGTATAATACAATAAAAAAATCACCACCTTTTTCACACAAAATCTCACCATGTTGTGTGAATCCCATAAAATTTTTTTTTTCCACTCATAAAACAAAACATCCAAATAAATGAAAACTTCTTTTCCTACGTTTTTCTATCTCTGCATAATCTTTTCTCTTCAAACAAGCTAAGCCTAAATTTTCATCATTTTGATTACACTGATAATAATATTAAACGGGGACTTGATCAGATTTTTGTGTTCTTGAAAATCAGAATCGTTATTTTGAAGGTCACTTCCGCATACTGTTGAAGGACTATGGTATGGTATGAGTACATTTCCATTTTCTTGTAGAATAAACGGAGTATGTGGACGCAAATACGTACAAGATACGTGGAGATAATTCCTTTGTACTTATTGGATTAAAGAAAAAAGTAAAATTGCCTAACTCTAAGGAAGAGAGAAAAGATATGAATAAATATAAGATAAACTTTTGCACATCAAATTATGAAACGAGAGAGTGAGGAAGAACTTTATATGGGTTGAGTATGTGATTGGGGTCCAGCAAATTCTTGATTGAAGCCATCACTTGTACCTGTCCAATTTAATATTAGTTTAGACACAAGTTTACATTCACAAACTGCAACTTTGAGTCACTAATATACATACACTTTCACGAGACTTGCTGTAGAAAATCTCGTTTGCTTTCATTAGTCCCACACCATGCTCTGCGCTAATACTACCACGGTGCTTAGATGTCCATTCATATACAAAGGGTTCAATTTGCGATAATATCTGCAAATTTTAATATACAATGATAATCTTATTATAAGAACAATAATAACAGTTCTTTTGAGTTTGCTTGAGCTACCTTGTCATCATAATGAGGAGTAGAAACATTTAAATGCAAATTACCATCTCCAAGGTGACCATATCCAATTACATTAGCTGTATTACCTACAATTCAAAAATAAAATAAAATACAAAATCGTGCTCTAATATATATGATTGTGATAAAACAGATAACACGTTCCACAAAATTGTGATAAAGGAATTAAGCATACTTACAATATCCATTATGTTTTTTAATTTCTAATTTGAACAGTACCTAAACTTTGGGAAACAAAAGTGTAACAATTAAATGGCAACGTTAGTCTGTTTCTTACCTAGTCTTGAGCGCATTTCTTCGACAAGACTGTACATATGTTCAATAGGTATTGATAAATCATACTTGTAAACAGCTCCTGCCCTCATCAATGCCTCTGATATACCCTGAAATCATTAGATAACATCAAATATAAGCAAATTCTACAATTCAGCAGGAAGTTCATACCATGTATAAGATTAAAGTATAAACCATATAGAAATTTTGAATTGAAATCTGCCCTAAGGATGAAACAGCCAGCAGAGAGCCTTAGTAGTTAAAAGTCAAGCAAGTGGATAAGAAAAGTTTGTAACAATGTAAATAACAATAACATTAATATGATATTGGTATGTAAGTTCTAAATGCAAGAGGTGTAGCTGAACTAACTTGGTCGAGCTTTTTTATGTTAAAAATGTATAATTTATAAAAAGGGTAAAAATACTGACTACAAAAGTAGGAAAACCAGCTCAAAGAAATAAGACCGCTAATATAAAAAGCTAAGCACGGCAGGGATATATCCTTAATTTTTAAAATGACAGAGAATTCCTTCATAAAGGAGAATCGTGGAGAGAAAAATGTCAACCTCACGCAGGAGCCAAAAAGATGATGCTTGGTTTATGTCTTGTGCAAGAACACCATCAGATATCAATTCATTTTCCATGGAGCCAAGTAGAAATGCTTCAAGCTTTTGTCTGGAGATATCAAAATAAAACATATATCATATGTGAAGAGCCTCAATTACACACTCATAATTAATGACTATGTATATAACAAGAACGAGTTCAAGGACATTTTAAGGTTCATGAGATAAACTCAGGATGCTGTAAATGAAATTATGAAGGATAAGATATTTATAATAACTGTCCCCTAATCTGTTACTTATTAGACCCTGTAATTCATTCATTCTTATACTCAACCCCCTAAAAGATGGAAATTGTTGGTGCAAATTTTAATTTCCAGTAGAAAGCAAGCCTGGGCCTGAGATGGGAAGGAACAAGATTCAGTATTAAACAAATCCATTATTGTGGTAAATTGTGTCTCTTTGAGCATTGCAGAAAATACAATTCAAACAGAGAAAAAACGATTCCAAGAGAGGTATAAGAAATTAAGAATGAATTGAGTTTAATACTGATTATGATTGATGAGGGAGGTCAATGTAAATCAAGTTAAAATGGCAAGGACTTAACTTGTCAGAAGATTCATCACTGCCAGTTGTCTCAATCAACACATAGAAGTTATGCAATGATGCAGGTAATGGATTCCGTGCACCTTCCAGGTGATTTAAAACCTGTCAGAAATCCAATCAAACCAGGATGACTACAGTCAAATAAAGGGAAATGAACATAAAGTAACAAACCTTTAACATTTTCAGTAGTAGGATTTAGATTTTTTATAGGAATAATTCATGTCAATCCAAGAAAAAAATAATCCAAGCTAAGAGCAAATGTTATGATGAGTGTAAATTCTATATATTGCAATTATCAGATATTACTTAGTAATTCATGTGAAGTTCGTAATGAATTTTATGATAACATAAAGAGCAGTCGATAAGCCTTTTTCGAAACCATAGATCAAAGTCAATAGTCCATAGAAGTTATTGTGCCTGTATCATAGTATTGGTCAGAAATATCTAGTATACTTTTTCATACATGTGTGTTTTAATGAATGCAATTTGCCTTTTGTTGACTTCAAATATTTGGGATAAACAAATTGTAGTGGGATTTTATAAATGTAATTATGCATAACTGCAAGAACAAAACACATACATGAATTTTTTTTTTCCAGAACACAGGTTTAGTTATTTTATACTAGTTAATTGTCCATTGTCAATCAAACATATTATAGCTCAGAAGCTCATGGTAGCCTTTAGATCAGGTCATATGTGTATGCATCACAACTCTTAAGCATTTATAAGTATACACATATTACTTTCATCACAAAGTATCAGTTGAGATTACCAAATTCATAGACTGGTGATCTAAAAATTCAAATGCAGATAGAATCTCCCCAAGTTTCCTTTTTGCTTCCTGTAGCAGTTTCTGATGAGGGAAAATAGAAACAAAAGTAATTTGATAAGATGTATGCCTGTTTCATTCTCAAACAAAGGGGGCATGCATATTGGCACAAACTTTTCTAATAAAAAAAAAAAAAAACTTGGCTATAAATTGTAACAAGAAAACATGACCATACACATTTCAGACAACTTTTACCTTTTTGGTAGTATAGATTGTGATAAAAAATTAGTACAGTAGGTAAAATTATACAAGAATTTCATCTAATTGGTAATAGAAAATTCATCAATTTTCACCTTGCTTATCCAAAAGTGCAGGTGATAAGATGATAAAAGAAAATTAAAATGAATTTGAAAGATATAGGCCTATTTGGTCTAAGGAAACATGTTCTATTTTTATTTTTTGTTTTCAAATGTATAGGAAATGATGACAAGTACATACAAAACTTTGAAATCAAGAAAAGAAAGTGAAAACATAATGGCATTCACATTGTTCTATCTATTAGTGTAAAATAGGAAATGAAAACTAATAACATTTTTTCAAACTAAACAGGCCCTAAGGGTCCTCACTAACAAAAGGAAAACAAAAGCAGCAAAGAAAAAGATAATAATAATGCTTCCCAATCCCTCAGTATAATGTTATCAAAACTATGTAAAGGTCACAATTAAGGTAACCCATAGAAGTGACTAAAGCAATAAAATGCATCAACAGAATAAAACAACACTCAGTTTAAGAAATTCACCAAGCAAAATAAATTTGAAAATAAGAACATTGATCATGCCTGGCAGCTGCTATAATCTTTACAAGCAAGAAAAGCCACATTCACTGAAGATAGCTTTGGTGGGGTAAGTATCGAAATCTTAGTAACAATTCCCAAGGAACCTTCACTTCCTACATCATTGATAAGTTTATTTACATCAGGTTATCTATTTTTTCTAAACTTGAATTATTGTTAACTACATACCTATAAATAGATGTTTCAAATCGTAACCAGTGTTATCTTTGCGCAATGACTTAAGCATGTCTAGTACAGTACCATCTGCCATAACTGCTTCAACACCTGTTGGGCAATCAAAAGCTTCAGATTTAGTAGAACCAGCAAAAAGAAAAAGATCAAAATATGCCACTAAAGTTTGCAATATATTATGCAATCCTGTTGCTTTGAAACTCCACTTTGCACCTTTCAACTGGATTCCATTTTAGAAATGATTAAATCATTACAACCATCTAGCTTTAATGCACTGACTTGTGGAAATATTAAATTCAGATAATCTAGTAAAACAAGTAACAGTCAACTGGTTTGAATAGTCAAGTTTAATGGATTAAAAGTATTTTCTTACCAAGCACATTTCCATGAAGGGATCCATAACGAACAAGACGCAAACCACCAGCATTAGTTGAAACATTTCCACCAATCTGGCAACTTCCTTTTGCACCCAAGTCTAGTGGCATAATAAATCTGAACCAAAAGTGTATACAACTTAAAATACAGAAAGCATACGTAAAGGTTATGAGCTCTATAACTTAAATGGGAAAAGAAATGGCAACAGATCATCAAAAACTTTCCAAGGCATAAGTTATGACACTGCACTTGCACCACATAGAACTTCAAGAAAAGACAAACCAAAGGCAAAACCTTTTTTTCAGGATCAATTTAATTCTTTCAAGAAAAGGAACAAAACAATTTTGTTACAGACTTATTAATTTGAAATTAGAGGTCTATGAAGCTGATCCAAATTACAATGACTTTATAAAGCGAAAAAGATTACCCTTCATTGTCCAGGAATGACATTATATTTTCCAATATGCACCCAGCTTCACATACCAATATTCCACTAACCTAAAAAAGACATTGGCAGAAACTTCAGAATTAAGTATACAGATCTGTCATTTGTTTGATATTGACTTTAATTCCATTCGTATGATTCATATAAATTTGACACAAATGAGTGTCACAAGGTAACTAGTGGAATTAGATGACATTTGATTATATCAGGGGAAACTGCTGCATTGAGGTGAATTGCATATGGGCGTTTGAGAATCTTGATCCACATAGTTTTGCTCAGTGTTTACACAAAAACAACTTTTTGGAAATGAGCTCTATCTGCAGCTTGTTGATTATAATGCTTTTTCTGAACACAAAATATGCAATTCCAATATTCAAACTCCTACTTTTTTTTATAAAAGAAAAGGCTTTAGAAAGGGAAAGCATTAATATATTGATATAACGAAAGATAGAATGATTATATTTCTTATGATGCAAATGATGTACAGTGTTCAATAAAAAATATACTAAGTGCTCAGTCAATTAACAGAGAATATTCAAACAAAACAAGAGAGACCACGACAAGCGCACAAAGAAAGATGGGAAATCATAACAGATATGCCTTTCAAGAAGTAAATGCTTTACCTTGTCGAAAGATATGATCTTATTCATAGAGCTAAGACTAACAATCACCTGCAGCATCAGATTACAGGAAAACTCTCAATATACATGTAACAATGACTTTGTTTTTTCATATTCAAAATTGAACCCTTGTTATGCATGAGAATGAATTGAAAGGTATACTTCATCAAAGACAGGCACACTTCCACCAACAAGACCAGTATTTCCACCTTGGGGAACAACAGCCAGGCATCTGGAATTACAATATTTAAGAATCTGAGAAACCTGCAAACATGATTATTGGGAAAAAAAAAAAATCAAACAAAGAAAACATAGAAGAAAGCCAATTTTCAAATGCTTCACTGAATAAAGGCAAGAGAAAAGGGAAGAAAATAAATAAATAAATAAAAGAACCTGATCAGTGGTGTGTGGTTGTAGCAGGAGTTTACTGGAGCCTTTGTATTTATGCATCCAATCAGTGTTTGCAGTGATGAGCTTTTCCTCATCCCGAATGACATTTTTGGTACCCAATATCCCCTCAAAGTATTTAACATCATCATCATTCAACTCTGATAATCTGGGGTTCCTTTCAACCAACCCAGCCATTGAACCGTACGATTTATGCTGAATTCGACCACCCCATTTTCTAGCTTCCACGAAATTCTTTAACGGGTGGCCAAAGGACAAAACTTTATGATCCCCAAGAACAATTTTGCGCTGCAACTCTCCACCGTTTTCATCAAAACCTGTTCCCAAAGTAAAACGAGAACACTGAGTTGCAGAATTGAGAAGGGGTATGTTGCGTTGGCGATGAGAGAATTGGTTGAAGGAACGTAAGAGGAATCCAACTGTGGCTCTGCTATTCCGATTCGCCATTTTTGCAGCTTCGGATTCGGGTTCGGTTGGTGCTTACGAGTTACGATCAATGGAAGCTTTAGTTTTTTATTTTTTTCAACGATGGTTTGTTTTGGTGCCTCTTTGGGTTGATTGTTTAAGTTCGGTTGGTAGCATGTTCGGATAAAAATTTGAGCACATTGCATTGAAAGGTGAAGTTGGCAAAATACCGTTCTTTCACGTGGAAGATAGACACAAGGTACACTCGCTTTAGAACAGTTACAGTATAAATTTTTAATTTATTTTTATTCAATTAGATCCTTTAATTTTAACTTAAATATTTTTTTCGATACTTTTAATTTCATTTTCTAAACAATTTAGAAAGAATTGAACCTTATTAAGTAAAAACACACCAATTGCAGTATTATTAATATAAAATACTTTAAATGTACCAAAAAAATTATATAACTTCAATTAATCTAAAATAATTTAAAATTTAGAGCTAAAATTAAGTCAAAAAATGCGTTAAGGTACACTTATTAATAAACTCTTGTTAAATCTTTATTTATGTCATCAATTTTGAAAATTTATTTTTATAAATAATTCATAATATTTTTTTTTTACAATCTTTCGTAAACTCTTCTACATAATTTAGTTATATTTTATAAAACAATAAATTGAAAGATTACAGCAGTTTTGAAAAAAAATTAATTAAATATGAAAATAATGAAATTAGAGGGTGATTTTCATCTTAGAAGAGAAGGTGGGTTGCGAATGGAAGGTTTTGTGACCGCAAGGGCGCTATCCACCTGATAACATTGGCACTTCAATTCTGATTGATGGCTTCCTCACTTTCCTCCATTATCAATCAACCTCACATTGCTCAACGCTTCAAGCTTCGTCGTTCGTCTTCACTCACTACTCTTACAATCTTCCACCACAAACGCAAACACCAATATCAACCCAATGCTTCTTTTCCACACGCCTATGGCTATCGAGCCTCAACATCATCGTCACGCCCTCTCAATCTCATCATCCCCTCCAGAACCTTCTCTCGTTCCAACTCTCTTCATCATTTCATCCCTCAAGCCACACTTACTGTTTCCGAGGCTCAACCTCAGTGAGTTGTTGCACATCCCCCAACCTCTTTACTTTTTTGAGTTTTGATTAATATATGTTATTTATCCAAATTTATTTGCGATTTTACTTAATTTTAATGAATTGAATGAAAAGACGGCATTTTTTTTTCCTTTTGCATTTTTTAACATTATTACTCATGACTTGTGGGAGAATGATGTGAGAATGTTCATGGAAAGAGTGGAAAAATGCAATGGGTCAAACTCAAAATTCAATTTTTTTTACCTCCCCTCGTGAATATTTCGACTGCAGAATTGTTAAATTTGGATAGGATTGATTAGGGTTTAGGGATGAAATCTCTTTGTCGCTGTTTATTTATTTATTTTTATTTGTCCGGCTAGGCTTGTACCAGATATTGAAGTTCCTTCCACTGGTCGTATATATCATGAGACTTATGGATGTCAAATGAACGTTAATGATATGGAGATTGTCCTGTCTATAATGAAAAATGCTGGTTACAGTGAAATTGTGAGTGTTCCTGAGAGTGCCGAAATAATATTCATCAATACTTGTGCTATCAGAGATAATGCAGAACAGAAAGTATGGCAGAGGCTTAATTATTTTTGGTTTCTTAAGAGACATTGGAAGAGCAATGTTGCTACTGGAAGGTCACAATCCCTGCGTCCTCCAAAAGTAGTAGTTTTGGGATGTATGGCTGAAAGGTTAAAGGAAAAGATACTTGATGCAGACAAAATGGTTGATGTGGTCTGTGGGCCTGATGCTTATAGGGATTTGCCACGATTACTGGAAGAGGTTGACTATGGCCAGAAAGGGATCAATACTCTTCTTTCGCTTGAGGAGACTTATGCTGATATTAATCCAGTTCGAATCTCCAAGAACTCAGTTACTGCTTTTGTCTCAGTGATGAGGGGTTGCAACAATATGTGCTCATTTTGTATTGTACCTTTCACTAGAGGCAGAGAGAGATCCCGTCCAGTGGAATCAATTGTGAGAGAGGTGGCAGAGCTTTGGAAAGAGGGTGTGAAAGAAGTTACACTTCTTGGCCAGAATGTGAACAGCTACAATGATGCATCTGGGATTGAGAAAGAAGTTGAGCCAGGGTCCAATTGGAAACATAGTGAAGGATTTTCCAGCTTGGCTAAGGTAAAAAAAATGGGCTTAAGGTTTTCTGATCTACTGGATCGACTCTCCATGGAGTTTCCTGAAATGCGATTCAGATTCACGTCTCCACACCCTAAAGATTTTCCTGATGAATTGCTTTATCTAATGCGAGAAAGACATAATATATGCAAATTGATACATTTACCTGCACAGACAGGAAATAGCATGGTGCTTGAGAGAATGAGACGTGGATATACTCGTGAGGCTTACTTGGATCTTGTGGAAAAAATTCGAAGAATTATTCCAGATGTGGCTTTAAGTAGCGATTTCATTTGTGGTAACATGTTTTTTAAGTTTCTTTATCCCTATCTCTTTTCCTTTTCTTTTCCTTCACCATTCATTTCAAGGGAGGAGTGATGGAGTTTCACATTCATAGCTTCTTGTTTTTAATGATATGAACATGTTTTATCTAGTAACCTTCTATTCTAAAGGAATCTGGTGTTTTTATTTTCTCGAGCTATTCATTTTCAAAGTTTCAGAATAGTCAATTTACACATTTTTTTATAAAATTCATCAGGCATACATCTTTGGAGGTGTAAATTTTGCAGTTCTGAAATTATTGAGAACTTTTTAAATAATTTAAAACAACAAAATAAAATGGTAAATAAAATTTTCATTGAGGAGTAAATTTAGTACCCAAACATCCTTGTCAAATTTTTTTGTTATTGAGGAGTAGCATACCAGTATTGATATACCATATGAAGCAACTTGTTTATTTGTTGGAAGTACTGAAGATATGTATGCCCATTCATACTTCATCTATGTAGATATAGTACCCTAAACTTTCTCCCTCGTAGTTTTTCTTTGTCACACTTGCATTTTACCGTATAAGCAACTAGCCTCGGATTTTTATCTTTTAATATTTTAAAATTCTAACAGGATTTTGTGGAGAAACAGAGGAGGAACATTCTGACACGTTGACTCTCGTAAAAGCTGTTGGTTATGATATGGCATTCATGTTTGCTTATAGCATGAGGGAGAAAACTCATGCCCACAGAAATTATGTGGATGATGTTCCTGAGGAAATAAAGCAGAGGAGGCTAACTGAACTCATTGAGGCATTCCGCGAGAGCACAGGAAAGTGTTATGATTCTCAGGTTGGAACTACACAGCTTGTATTAGTGGAAGGACCCAATAGAAGATCACCAGATACCGAGCTTCTGGGCAAGAGTGACAAGGGCCATCGAGTGTCATTTGTCAATAAGCCAATCCCAGACAGGGAAGATGTTAATACAAAGCGAAATCCTGTAGTTGGTGATTATGTTGAAGTCCACATATCAAGATCTACGAGGGCAACACTCTTTGGTGAAGCACTCGCTATAACTAAACTTAGTTCATTTTACAATAATCTGGATAAAGAAGCTGTTGCATGCAGCATGTAGAAGAACCTTGGAGCATAGGCAATTTGTTATGGCAATTTTTGGATATCGTCAATCATTAATTGCTGTTTCTCATTTTGCTGACTGCATAACATGACAACACATTTTATGGAGGAAAACACTGCAAGGGAGTGAGAGAATGTCAGCTAGATCAAGATTGTATGTATTATTTGTTAATCTTCTCTTTACATGAGAAAGGTTTGAGTCTACATTAAACTATACAATATGGATTACTGAGAATCCTATTGGCAATGCAACATCAAAATCAAATAGCCTTAGGGAGGATTCTTTGTGATTTTTGTCTATTAAGATAAGTGAGGTCTGATGAAGCATAAGGAAGAATGTGGCTTTTGGCCCCCTCACATTCTTAGTTTAAGGAGAACATCAGGAGTCTAATGAGCCTAAGGTCATCATTGATCAAATTGTCATAATAATTAGTTTTTTTATTGCTCTCTCTTCTGTTCTTGGAGTTGCAAAGGGAAAGATGATTTATTAAATGTTAAAGGAGTATGGAGGCAATTGCTAGACCAAAAACTACGCTCCTGGCATGTCAGCCACCATTGTTCATTTTTCTTTATAAAAAATGCTAATGGTATCCGTTAAAGAATTAAAACTAATTTTTTTGTAAAACAATTATAATAAAATATTTATTTTTGTAATTTTTAATGTATCTTAAAGTATTTTTTTAATAAAAATTATTGTTTATTAATTTCTTAAATAGTGCCCTTTGAAGATTTGTTAGCCAAAATTTTATCAATTTTTTAACATGTGTTTAATACTACATAATAAGAAACTAATAAAACAGAAAGATTTTATTATATATTATAATATTTAGGGTGAGTTTAGATAATTGTTTATTTATGTATTTATTTAATTTTTTTTAAATGATGACATAGTCTTCAATTGAACATTGGGATATTAAGAATATCTTATTTTGATAAGTTACACTAAAAAATTTATTGAAATAAGTTCAAAATAATTTATATGTATCATAAGTTATTTTCATGAGCTATTTATAAACTCTTATAAATAAATCTTTGATATTATTAATACACTATATTTTGTGATATTCAACTGTTTACAAAAAAATTATGAACAATCGATGATTTTTTAGTTATTTTTAATTTATTTTAATAATTATTTAATATAACTTATCAAAGTGAACTATTTTAAAATTATTTTAATAATTTTATCATTAAATTTATGGCTTAAATTATTATTTAAAAATAAACATTAATATAATTCATGTATTTAAATGCACCTTAAAATTTATTATGGATAAGTTTTTATGGCATGTCATTTCTTGAATATATTTTATGATTTTTTATTACATAAATATGAGTTTTTTGGATAAAATTATAGAAATATAAATTTTTAAAAAGTTGTTACATTCGTTAGTAATGATTCTTAGTACTTTCTAAATATTTTATTATTATTTTAAAAATCATTATTTATCGGTGAGTTTTAAATTTTTTAATATTTTTTAAAAATTATTAGATAATTTTTTAGATTTAATCACTTTTTTATTTTTTTTATCTTTAAATTTCTATAACAACATAAAAAATAACAAATTTTTAAATTTTATATTCTCGTAATTTAAAAAAAACATATTTTAATATATATAATTTCTAAATAAGTATCATATAATAATCCACTTAGTTACGCTTCACAATTCTCTTTGGAAGGCGTAGAATGCATTTAAGAACAATGTCGGGGCTGCCTATGTTAACAGAATAGTATCTAGCTGTTCGTGTTCCCCAGCCTCGAAATGGTGACCAAACATCAGTAGTAATTGGAATATCATTCGAGAATGACAAAGATGAGTCAATGTTGGGTCTTATGTCAGTTACTTCACTCACCCCCTTCATCAATTAGGGGGGCTATGGTCCATACTGCATTATCAGCAACAGTAGCATTCAAAAACCATCAATTAAAAGCACAGTCAAATATAGCACTGGTCCTCTCTTAGCGTAGAAAAAACTCCCCCCCCTTTATTCACATGCCAAAAAAAAAAAAAAACTGACCACTTATATTAGTCCTTACTAGCTACATTTGGCACAACCCATATCCATTTATTTAAGCATGATATTAATTGAATACATTTTTATAATTTTTAATAAATTTTATTAAATTAAAAGCATATTAAAAAAGTGTGAAAAAAATAAGTTGCTACCACTAATATTGGATGTATTGAATGATAAAACATGTTATTGAGTGAGAAGTCTTAAAAGGAAGAGATTGCAAAATAAAAATATGTTGTGAGCATAAAAGGGTGTGGAAAGAGACAGGGAGCGTGTGGGGGGTGAAGACTGTGTAGTACTGAGAAACGATGCAGACTAGACGGAAGCACCAATAAGTCCATTATCGAAAAGTGGAAGAAGGAAAAGACGTTAACGAGTTCCGCACCCTTCCTTCATTGGCCCATAAGCTTCTCTCACATGCACACTTGCAGGGTCAGTGTGTGTGTTGTGTAGCAGTGGTGCATCACTCACCCGATACACACTTTAACACCCTTTTTTTCTATATTTCTTTACCAAAAAAATATCATTTTTATATTTATACAACCTTGTAATTTAATTGCATTAGTTATATATATGCACACTTTAGTTGTGAAATATTCTTTTCTCAATTCTAAGGGTGCGATAATGTGCATCTGCTACAAAACCCAGTCCAACACAAACTGATATAAGATTAGACGATTCATTGCCACTCCTCTGCACTGTCCAATCCATTATAATAAACGAGTTAGTTGTCATCTATTATTATATATTTTAGTTCCTTTCTTTTTTTATTTCTTCTCAATTCAACCGTGGTTGCCTCAGTTTGTCAACCGAATTTTTACATTAATTTGTCAACACATAAAATTCCGTTTTAAATAAGTTTGCTGAGAGGAGAAAAATCCCATGCTGAAAGAAACAACCAGGCCTTATGTCTAATGAAATAATCACGTTTATAAATAGATAAAAAATTATTTATTAATAATACTCGGGAAAATGTTCATAGAAACTCATTTATTATGGAATATTGGAATCTGGAAAGTCAGCATACTTTTTTTTTCTTCATTTTTTGTTTATTTTTGCATTCAATCATTAAAATTATTTCAATATAAGTTTTATTTTAAAATTATTAATACTTTAAAATTTTTCAATAGTTAGAATTGTGTCCATTTCCTGTAAAAAATAAAAAGATTAATTACACTTGTGATAAGGTGAGAAATAAATATCTGACTAGTGACAGTTGAAATTTTAATACTTTTCCTATAGATACCCGTTATTTATAAAACTCTTGTTTTGAATATTATATATATATATATATATATATATATATATAATATTATGATTTTTCTATCAAATTTAGATGAAATAGAAATAATCTTTTATTATTAATAATTTTTAACAAATAAAAAACAGTAACACTATATAATGTTAACACAATATAATGTTTTATACTATTAACTATTTTATAATTTTTTAAATTGACAAATACCCACAAATATTTATGAAAACTTACTATTCATGTAAATATATCCTAAATGGATGCAAATATTAGATAAACACTATCCACAACTACCCCCGTTAACATGAGTGATTAGAAGGGAAAAACAATAAAGTAAAAAAAAAATGGAATATTGTAATTAACGTTATTAAATATCATATTCTGTACAAACATGTTAACAAAAAAAAAAATTGTATATGTACATGTATAAAAAAAAAATTAATGGGAGGAGGTTGTCTAATTAAAGGTAAATATTATTTTCCTTTTTTTTTCAAGCATTAATCTTCCAATATTACTTTAATCCCAATTATTTAAAAACAAAATAGGTGAATAAAATTCTCAAAATTATTAATTTTTTAAAAATATTCAAATTTCCTTATCAACAAATCTTGTGAGTTTCTCTTTTTAATTCCCTTTTTCTTTTCGTTTCTATGCACACACATTTAACTAATTATTTTAATAAATATAAATACATTTAATTAGACATATGCGCACGTATGTACATGTTATAAAGCTTGATAAAATATTGACATTCGATGTTAAATATGATAAAATAATATGTTTAATAATTTTTTATAAAAATTAATTTTTATTAATTTAAATGTCAAATTATATTATTACTTTAATGACAATGTATATTAAAATATAAATAAATTAAGTATTTATAAATATATAACCTAACGATACAAAAAAATTTATCTGTTAAATAGTTTGTTATTCATTAAAATAAAACAATCCAATAAAGTATATAGTATTTGAAGTGTGTAGCATTTCATATAATTGATCTAACTACATCATGAGAACGTTTAATATAATGATTCGATTTGTAAAATTTAATATTTATAATAATTATCAAAGATATTATTTTACTAAATTTAATATTTAGTATCAATTGATCAAATTTAATATAAATAATTAATTATTGGTGTATATATATATATATGTTAATTACAATTAATTAATATATTTAATAATATATACATTTAATTGTCAATATACATGTATTACTTAATTATTTAACTATTTACATATTTATATAAGAAATTTCCCAAAAATAGTTTACTTATTATTAAATGAAAATGGTTAATGTTAATGAAAACAAATTTTTACATACATACACATTACACAAATACACACGCAAGAAATCTTTAAGAAGATTATATGTATATTTAAACAAGTAAATCTATTAAGGGTATACTTGGGTTTCTATCAAATTGTCTATCTATTTAGGTATGAATTTGAAGTTATCTTGATTTCATACATCCCAGGATTGAAAGGAATTAGTTCAGAACTTGACATTTAACATGAAAGAAAAGAAGATAACTAAGAAAAAGGAGAAGGATGGGAGGGACAAGTAAGGTGGCAATGGCATGGGTCGGGTTGGACATGCGGGTAACATCTGTCTAAATTGAGTGAAGACAAAATAAACAAGCGTGGTGCATTAGGTGAACCCAATAGGTCCATCTCAATAAATGATTGTTTGGAGCAATAGATCTTCAGAATCTCCCTTCTCAACATACACATCTATCTATCTATCTATTTACACTCCCTTATTTATAACTCTCCCCCAAAGGGAAGGACAAAAGTTTCATACTTGACTTATCAAACATTCAACATTTCTTTCTCTCTTTCTTTATTCTTTTCCTCTCCTTCTCTTTCACCAACACAACAACAGTGATCAAGTACAATAAAACAACTGCATGAACTGAAAACCGACAAGTTTTCACTGATCAACAAGCTCTTGGTAGTTTGATCTACCCAGTTCCAAAACTCACAACAAGGCTTGAACTATAAAGCCACGGTTTCAAAGTCAAAACATGGAATGGATCGTGGGTCTGTGGATTCTTATGGGTATCTTCTTGATTAGTTTGTTGTTTTTGTGTGGCAAGAAGGAGAATACTGTGGCAAGGACCAAAGTTCCAAAAGGGAACTCGGGTTGGCCTTTACTTGGAGAGACCCTTGATTACATTGCTTCTGGCTACACCTCGAGTAATGTCAGCTTCTTGGAAAAGCGCAAGTCTTTGTAAGCTTCTATCCCCATTATTCCCCACCTCACATGGATTATTTCGATTTATGCTTCTTATTGTTTTTTGCATTCTCATCCTTTCATTTTCCACGAGGCCAATGACATGCATGCCTAGCTAACATGCTTTCCAACAGTTTTTTTCTCTCTCTCTTTTTTGCATATTTGCTCCCTAGAGACGGTTGAGGCATTACATCATTGATGCACACAAGCGAATTTCCTTACTCTTGAAAACTGTCAATTGTCAATTTACAAAAGTGAGATGTGAATCCTTATTTGGAATAATATTATATATGCACACATATGTGATAACACAAAATTAATAAAATTATCCACCACAGTCATATGTTATTCTTGTCTATTCCTTTGTGAAGGCCCAATTTTAAGATGTCTACAGTCGTTTGGGATATTCGCATGTGTTGTAGACAATTTAGTCCTAGTGATCCACATGCTATATAACGTGTATTGAATCAAGTAATACTTTGTGCATATAACACACTATTTATAATGTTTTTGTTGGTGCCCTCTTCAAATTGACCAACTGACGATATACTTTCGAGTAGCTTATGTGCACGGTCAGCAAAAATGGAAAAAATTTTAGTACAAATAATAAGTTGAAGTAAGAAAATTAAGGACTTGTGATAGAAATCATTTTGTTAGTTTAATTAAGGTGGTGTTTGATCCAGCATTTTAGAGTTTATCTTTCCTTTAAAAGAAGTTCCTCTGATTAATTTTTATAGAAGTTAATTTTATTTTTCGAGCTTTTTTTGTTGAAAAATTGCATTTACTTTTGCTGCTTTTTAAAATTGTGCTGGACTCGAATTTTCTTTCTCAAGGAGAAGAAAGTTGAAGTTTTAGAGAAAGAGAGCAAATTATTACTTAAACCAAGAAAGATACACAATGACCGAAAAACTAGAAGCATAACAATAAAGTGAAGCTCTTGAAAGCATGCATAGGTCACTCAAATTGTAGGTGAGTAAGCTTTTGCCATTGAATACGATAGAGAGATCTGTCTTATTCTTAACCACTTGAATTAAACATAGTTTTTTTTGTGTGCGTATACATGGATGCCAAAGATTAGTTTGATGGCCATTTCTTAACAACGGTATAATTGTTAAGAAGCCATGCCCTTTTAATCTTGTGATATGAGAGTATTTAACTTATGAGCAATCAGGACGTGTAATTAAAATATCTTATACATTTAAATTATTTTAAATCAGGACGTTCACAACGTCTTCTTTATATTATGAACTTTATTCACTTATTAATATTCGATATATTTTGCACTTTAATAAATTTATGAGTTGTATTTAATGTAGCTCAATTCATCAAATAACTTAAGTTGATAAAGAGATTCTAATCTAAAAGACTTATCCGTTAAAAAAGTCTAGGGGCTTAATTAACATATTAAACTATGGATTTTACTCTATGCTAAGGGAAGAACACACACTTTCACTGAAGATTGCAATCCCTGCCTGCATAACATAAGCAGCAACTTTACATATTTTTAATACGTGTTTATTTAAATTTATTCCTATCTATTTTAAAAAAAAATTAAAATAGATTCTTTTCTTTTAAAATGCACTAATTGTTCCCATACAATTAATTTTCGGATTTTCTCCAGCAGCATTTTTTTCTCCGGCAAGAGAAACACAATTTTATGTTCTTTTCTGCTGTTACTATATAAGTAAAATTAGTATTTTAATCTTAAACTTTACATATTTTTTTTAATTTAATTCTATTTTGATAATCTGAACAGGTATGGGAATGTGTTTAAAACGAGCATTTTGGGAAGCAATGTGATAGTGTCAACGGACCCTGAGGTGAACAAGGTTGTTCTACAAAATCTGGGGAACATTTTCGTCCCTGCTTATCCAAAATCAATTAGAGAATTAATGGGAGAACAATCTATTCTCAAAATGAACGGCACAATGCATAAGAAAGTTCATACACTCATCGCAGGCTTCCTCCGATCCCCACAACTCAAAGCTTGCATCACCAAAGACATTGAACACTCCGTCAAACAATGCTTCGCTTCTTGGACCCACCAACCAATATATTTTCAAGATCAAGTCAAAAAGGTTTCTCTCGTTTTCGTTAATTTGTCTCGCAGCCCTTTTTTTCTAACCCTTTTGATTTGTTCTTTATATATAATCTCCTAATTAGCTTCTTTCTCTCATTCTTTATATATCAGATTACATTTCCGGTTTTGATTAAAGTTCTGATGAGCGTTGGTCCCGGTGAAGATTTGGACTTTCTTAAGAAAGAATTTGGAAAATTCATCAAAGGGTTGATTTGCTTACCCATCAAATGTCCAGGAACAAGACTATATAAATCCTTGAAGGTCCCACAAAATATGAATTATTACTATTATTAAGTTTTTAATTAATTAATCAAGATTTATATATTATACACTCAGTGAATTATAAGTTAAAGAATATCAAATACATTCTCTTAAATATTTTAATTACTAATAAAAATCAAGTTTCAAATAATTTATATGGTTGACATGAATGTTTTTTATATCTTTTTAACTTTTGCCATATATTCATGCTAGTCTATATATATATTTAATGCATAAGATAGAAAATCGTTAATAATTAACAGCGTCGTAGTTGTGTGTGAATGGTGCAGGCTAAAGACAGAATGGTGAAGATGGTGAGGAGGATAGTAGAGGAAAAGAAGAAATTACTGATGGATAATCATGCAAATGATCATAGTGATACAGTGAATGATGTGGTGGACGTACTATTAAAGGATAAGGGTGACTCAAACTCTAGCTTAAGCTTGACTCCAGAAATGATTAGCCAAAACATCATTGAGATGATGATACCAGGTGAGGAGACTCTTCCTACCGCTATGACATTGGCTCTCAAGTTCCTCAGTGACTCCCCTCTCGCTCTATCCAAACTCCTGGTACGATCAAATTTTATGTATTTATACTAATGATGAAAATTATTTTAAAATAAACAAATATGGATAATGACAACTTCACAAACATGATGCCAATAATTTAAGACCGTGTTTCAAAACAATTTAAATAATTAATTATGTCAAAGTTTATATTTAAATTTATAGATTTAAATGCACACACTTCCAGTTTTAACTCTAGAAGAAGACTAGAACCACCTTGACACCTAAGCACACACTTTCATAATAAATAAATGCAGAAGTAATATAAAACAGTCTTTATCCAATCACCTAAGAAAAGCAAATATTATTGTTCTTTTACAAATATTTATAAAAAATATTACTAAATACAGTTTAGTAAAAGGTTAAGCTAATGCTTTGATGATAGAATGAAGATAAATAAAACAGTTTTAAACTTGTTGGTGGCTGCCGAACGGAACGGAACGGAAACGGTTGGTAGTTGCGATTAAATATTGGGTTTAGGCCCCACGGAGCCGTGGTTCTGTGTGATGTGGGCCCAGGATATGCCGTAGAAGTGTTTGACTTATTCTAAGAAGTCGCTTTCTAAAGAAGCACTATAAAGCGCACACGAGTGAGCATTTCCTAGCCGTAGGATGTGTTTATGTGATTGAACTCAACGGCTGTAAAAATAGCTCCACTAGTATTATCTTAAAATTAAATAAATAAAAACAATATTTTTCTCTCAAGTGAATATATTATTTTTATCTCTTTATCTGTCGCTTTTTAAAAAAATCTATTTATTTAATACTTTAAAATTTTAAGACTACATTAATTGCTATTATTTTAATCAGACTCTTATTTAGAAAGAAAAAAAAACAATACTATATAAAAGGTCAAAATAATAAATAAGTAAACTAAAAATACGCTTAAAATTTATAAATATTTTAATAAAAATTGGAAAATACTGTTTTTATATCCATATATTGTATCCTCATAGGACAAATAAAAAAACGGAAGAATTATCAGTTCACTCATTTTCCGTCGTGCCGACATGTTTCATTGAGCCATTACATGAACATTATAAGATATATATATATATATATATATATATATATATATATATATATATATATCGATTAATAAACGACATAGAACACAAGATCCGTCTCTTTTGCGAGGATGCTATGAACGAACCGACAGTGGAAGCCAGTGCTTTCATGTACGGTATTTTAGCAGCATTAGTACAACAACAGTATTTCCATATTTTACATGACGTAACATTAACAATACTTTATGACATTTTGGGAAGCAATGAGAATATTATTTAAATTATTAAAATTTAATATCATACTTTATGTTATATACAAATCAAATTGGCGTTTAAATAACATTTTATATTTGATTAATCTGATTGTATTTTATTTTCTTATCAGGAGGAGAACGTGGAACTGAAGAGGCAGAAGACTAATTGCTCAGATGATTATGCATGGAATGATTACATGTCATTGCCATTCACTCAAAATGTGAGTCTCTTAGCTACCATATGCCAAATCGATGCATTCTAATCTTTCCTTTATCGAAAAGTACATTGCATTTTTGTTCATTGCTGTGTCTTTCACTTCCTTTCTAAAAGGTCATCAGTGAAACTCTTAGAATGGCCAATATTGTCAATGGCATTTGGAGGAAAGCGGTCAAAGACGTAGAAATTAAGGGTGAGTTCTTAACAACAGACACATGTATTAGCCTTCAATAACATGCATAAAGAGAAAATACTAAAGCAGTTTCACTATTCTGCATATGCAGGGTATCTAATTCCTAAGGACTGGTGTGTTATGGCATCTCTTACCTCTGTTCACTTGGATGGCAAGAATTATGAAAACCCTTTTAAGTTCGATCCATGGAGATGGGAGGTAAGCTTCTAAGTTATGTTTCAATATGTTTATTAAGGATTTCATTTCATTATCTCAACAACCACTCTAATGTTCTATGCTTGCAGAAAATTGGAGCTGTGGCTAGTAACAATTGCTTTACCCCATTTGGCGGGGGAAATAGACTATGTCCTGGGTTAGAACTTTCCAGGCTAGAGCTCTCTATTTTCCTTCACCATCTTGTTACAACTTACCGGTAATATAAATAACACTTGCTAAGGAATTAATAAATAAATATGCGAAAAAGTGTGTGATCATAATGTCCCATAAATTTTTACTTTTGATTCTTTAATTAGGATCTTCAGAGCATTGGTTATTACTTGTGTAAATATATTGAATGTATAATTGCTTGATTAATTATTTTTGAAGATGTTCGATGATTTTAGTACGTAATTGATTATAATTAATCGCCATGCAGATGGGTCGCTGAGAGGGATGAGATAATATACTTTCCAACAGTCAAGATGAAGAGGAAGCTTCCAATTAGTGTGCAACCCATTAACGCTTGATTAGATTAGACCATCAAGAAGTTTGAGAGCTGTATATGTATGTGTGAGTGTTTACTTATTTCAACCTAAGAGGGTAAATAACTAAATATTAAGTGAGCAATATAAGGTGGACTTTATTGTATTATTGTGCTAGTAGCTCTATAACTGTTAGCTCTTGTGTCACGTCGATTTCCAGAGAAGAAAGGTACTTTTGGGCCCTCTATTCATCTTCGAAAACTCAATGCAAGTGGCGATGATTGAAAGAAACTCTCACATTTTGTGTATACATTTAATTTATTTTCTGTTTGATGCCAATGCAACGTTTGTGGTGGGTTTGTTCTGCATGTGGGTTTTGTGGTACACTTGGTCCCATGCCATGACACCACCAGCTCGTGCTCCACTATCCGCTGTTACTATCTCAATTAGTGGAATTGTAGTACAATTCTAGTACCAGCAGCATCATTCCGCATTCAACACCCGTCGGTTTCAAAACTATTTATAAGATTGAAGTAAGAGAACTAACATAAAATGCAAACCAAAGAGCAACCACAAGCAAAAAACTCTTTAGGTAGCCAACATTGATGTTTTGCTATATTATATAAGGAACGATTATTGCAGAAATTCAGTGAAAATTTTCATTTTATCTCACTCATTTTAGAAACATGTAAACAGATATTCATGTTGTTCCTTGTATAATTTTTTAAAATGAAAAAAATAGAAATAGAATCATATTCTCAAACAAAAGGCTAGGGTTCCTAAATAGCTGGAAAACATTTTTAAATTTTATGTATTTTGTTCAACATTATGACCTCTAGTATTTTTTTCATCTGTAACTTTTACATCCAGAGTTGATATAGATCAGCACGTTAATTGATTTAGAAGGTTATTATATAGGTAATTTTAATTATGAATGCAGGTTAATCTTTGCATGTGTAATTTTTTATAATATTTGTCATTGTTAGAATGTATGTATACAACACCTAGCCACGTGAAAAAAATCCATATTAAATTCGGTCAGTATATATTTTTCTGATAAATTTAAAGATTTATTTTTTTATTTCAAAATAATAATTATATAAATATTAAACATTATCACAAAATATATTCGCATATGTGATTTCTATCTCATCATAAGAAATTCGCTCTATTACTTTATAGGGTAATTCGTGTTGGCAATTAAGTTTGTGTGACAACTAGATTATTGCAAATTAATTTCATGTTAGGATATTTCTACTTACTGTGTAAATCTTACTCTTGGCCACTTCAATATAAAATTACAAGTTAATAGTCTATAACAATTTATTGCACAAACATTTTTATTTATAAATTCAAGTTGATCATTCGATAGGTATCAATTTTCCCAATATGTTTACCATCGTCAAAACGCAAAAAATATTTAATATATAAAAGCCATTCAACATTACTTTTTAAGTTATTAAAATTATATAATAAAGTGTATTCAATGCTATTTAATAAGTGTCCGTTAAACAGACCTTAAGAAGAAGTCAAATTTAATTACGCTCAGTTTGGATAAATTTTTCAATAAATACTTATAAGATTAAAAATTAAATAGTAAATGAATTAAATATTTTCTATAAGTTAAAATTATTTTATATTTTTATAATTTTTTAGAGATAATTTCTCTAAAACTTAAGTAGACAATTTTTTTAATTTATAAAAATAATTATTCATTTTTTATATTATTTTTCTTCTCTTATAAAAATTTATCTTTGGCCTCACTTAATCTTATACCATAAATAGATCTATACTTGTATACGTTATGCAGAATGCACAAATCCACTTTGGACACTACCTTCGTTCGGTTTATTTGGAAGGATTTAACCCAAGCCTATGGCCATGTGGGTCTCAATCTGCGGCCTACAATGGAGTATATCAAATTCGTAAGGTTGTTTTGTGGTATGCAAGTTGTCCACAAGCAACTTATTGAATAAAAACACATCTAACACACTGTCATCCAAAATAATATTTTGGATAAGTGTGAATAATAGACAAGGTTACACTGGGCTGAGATTCAATTTCTATTTTTTATTTTTTATTCTTTGCTATTGAGACTTAATTTCTATTTAAACACTAAAGCTGTAAAAAGAAAAATTTCTGACCAACTGATCATACAGACTATAATACCATATTAAGAAAACAATGTTAAAATCTTAAGCCGTAATGGATTTTGCTAACATCCGTTAAGCTATGCAATTTATTACAAAGGGGAAGCTACAGGGCATTTCCATCGGACTTTAGTTGAGCCTTCGAGAAGAAGCTTGGAAACGGCGTCGTTAAGGTTCTCCACAATGAAAATGAAAGATACTAGTCCTAAGTTTCCTTCATTATCAAGAAGACTGAAGCATGGGTTCTTCATCTTGTTAATACCTAGTACCGGTACACCATTGGGCAGACTTAGCTACTTATTAAAATTATTTTTTAAGATGATTATATGCATATGACCTTATTGGGATTAGATATCATTTAAGGTATAGCTAAATATTTTTTTTTTATTAAAATTAATTCTTGATTCAAGACTAATAACTAATAAAGATCCTAACCATCTTAACCCCAATATGTTCATAAAAAATGCAGCAATCAGCAAAGTAACATGCATACAGGGTAATCAAGATTGATTTTCCATCAAAATACTTAAACCAGTAGAGTAACATGCACATCTGATCATCTACAATTTAAATCATAGAGGTACGAGAGTCCTTTTTTTTAACAGTAGGAACTAGGAAGCCATAAGTTAGGCACACCTTGCTATAAAGTCTTCAATTGAATCCAATGCCAAACCTAATGAATCTTCTATTTGCTTCGAGCATACTGCAACTTCGAAACAACAAATAACTTTCTAAACTATCAAAATGGTACCATGATTTCGGTACACAGCTTCTGACTTTTGCCGAAGAGTTTATTTTGATCATTCATACATGGACAGTCAAAACAAATTTTATGCGAAACTAATTTTGACTAACCACAGAATATTTAATGGTTAGAGTTATCTCTGCTCACTTCACGTGCCCTCACATATTCTCCTTGTGTATGTGTATATTACTTTTTTATTCTCAAAATATCATCAAATCAAAGAGGCTTGCATTCTTGGCATTACGCAGCTGCAAAAGAAGGAAGTGAAAAGAACAAACCAGAGATGATGATATACACGACAAGTATCTCACTTTCACTAGGCCACGGGGTGCACTAGTCATCATCAGCCTCGAGCCTATCTTGATTCCTGAGCGGTCCACGGGGATCATCAAAATATATGCCAGCCTGATTGAACAAAGAAAGCAAATGCAGAAACTCCTCAACAGAAAGCTTTGAAGGCCTTTTATGTTCAAACCCTTCTGTTCTAAGTACTCCCATTATCTTTTCCTTGAACAAGGTCAAGCCTCCTTCATCGTGACCATCAGTTTCACTGCCACAATCAGAACATACATCATTGTCATTGGAGATTTTGAACAGCTCAAAAACCTTCCTTTTTTGCTTAAACGCGGCACCAAGTGTCTTGTTCTTGTTACCAAAACAAGTACTGGTGAAAGCCCTCCACTGACGGAGATCCACATTGGGAACCTGAGACTTGGGGCGAATTATAACCACAGAAGAATCAACCTTTGGTGAAGGGAGAAAGTCCCTCTTGCTCACATCCATCACAAACTCCACGTCAGCAAGAAGCTTAACGTTAACGGCCAAACGATTAAACTCGGAGTCACCGGGACTAGCCAGTAACCTTCGAGCGAACTCTTTCTGGAGAAGAAGAGTGGCAGACCTAAACGGCGTCGCGCCATACATCAATTTAAACACGAGAGGGGATGATATCCCATAGGGAATGTTTGCCACTACCAGATCAAACTGCGGAAACTTGCTTCTCAATGCATCTCTTTCTATAACCTGCACAAACCAAAACCTGGGTCACGTGTTCTTTTATTGGGGGAGGTTTGGCATTTCATCAAACAGGTGAGGTGTGAGGTGTGAGGTGAGTTCGTCAAAGCAAACACTTACCGTTAGCTTACCTTGGAGGCCGCGTTCCAGGACGCGCTTCTTGAGAACCTGGACCATGCGGTGGTCGATTTCGATGGCAACAACCTTGTTAGCGGCCTCTAGAACCTTGAGGGTGAGGTTGCCGGTGCCGGGTCCAATCTCGAGGACCGTGTCCGTGGGATTTATTGCGGATTTCCGAACAATGGTGTCGAGAATTCGAGGGTTGGTGAGAATGTGTTGGCCTCTGCTTTTATAAAAATGTAAAAGCTCTTTGCCACCGCCATCTCCGTGAACTTGCCGCACTGATCGTACCAGCAGAGGAATGAACGCAACCACGCGTCTTGTGGCGCCCAGCATGGTACCACACCACCGCGACCGAAACCGAGACAGATAGATTGATACATTGTGCCTTCTTTGAAGGCCCCATGAAAGCCCAACAAGCTTCCATTTTGTCTTTGGACTTGGGAAGGAAACCACTGGGCTCCTAAGCAGCCCAAAACTGAATGAGAATATGAATTAAATAATTTCCTAGTTGTATTTATTTCTATCGATGGTCAAAGCGAATTGCATAAGAGGCTTCCTAATATGATTTGTAAAGGAACGTGTCACCATACATCATTATTACATACGCATATGGTGGCACACACACAGATTGGAGTAATCTTGTTGTCATTGTATCATTGTAAGCTTTCTACTTGTCTATTTGTACGAATAATTGGAGCCAAACAAAGAAACTCTAGTAAAGCATGGAACGAACCAATGATTGTTTAAAGTGGGAGGGAATTAGTAATTCATTACAAGTGTCCTGTGTTCTCAATTCGTTTTTTGAGCATTTGGGATCGAAAATGATTGATCCTTGCTTTTGGTCTGTGGTGGACTCCAATTATATTGTAGGGGAGAACAACACTTGTCTAGTCTTTCTTCTCCATTCTTGTTATCCTTTTCTATGACAGACAATAGCATGCTGATTTTGGCGGTTATGACAGCATCCAAAGCTAAACTAAACGTTGCTTACACTTAGCACTTTACCTAACGCCCACATGTCACGGCCGATTGTGGCGCCATATGTAAATTAACGACGGTCCCGCCAAAACGAGTAAAGTGAATAAAGTTTGAGAATTAGTTAATTTCTAGTTGACCAACTTTGCGATATAAAATTTGTATAACAAATGTGTATGTATATTTATTTATAAAATTGTAAAAAGGCAAAAGAAAATAATAAAATAAGTGATGTGATAATATATATTATACAAATTATAGCATCTTCAAAGAAAGACTGAGCAACATCTAATATATATGTTCCAAAGTGCATTGCTTAGGGCAATTGGCTGACTGAAAAAGTGAACTGTTTTGAGTAAATCTTACAGATGAAGGTATTTCCACTGAAGCGCGTGCAAAATGCTTACGAACTCTGATCTCTCCTTTTCTCAAAGCATTTTCTTGGGGTTGACAAACTCACTTTTATCAAGCAATCCACCAATTAATGGTTGATATAATTTTCTTAATGCTCATTCAAGCCACGGGCAAATGAATCATTGCAATAAGAAAAACAAATTATATTTTACATCTTAAAAATAGTATATTTAGTATAACTTTTCATATATTTTTAAAGTAATGTTAACTATTTTTTAATAAAATTTTTAAAACACCAATTAATAAGATTCATTTAAAAATATATTATAAAGTTATTTTTTTTATTCTATCCTCCACCCAACAAAGGAACAATTACATTTAAAAGTGAATTTTTTTTATTAAAATATATATATTTATTATATTAAATTTATAAAATTATAATTAATATATTTTTTGATAAAAATGTTATTTTTTTACATTTAAACTCAGGTAGTTTAAACTAAAATATAAATAATTATTATATTATTTATGGAGAATTACATATAATAACTAATGTGAATAATTCTGTATTTTAGTTTTTTGAAAAATTATAACATGTAATACATATTATATATATATAGGAATTCATGTCGGTTTTTTTTTGTGCAATATATAGATATTATTTAATTTTTTAATAAATAAATATATCATATGTCTTTTAAATTTAATAAATTTAAACGAAAAAATACGTTGATTACAGTAGTTATTAATAGTAATAAATATTTTAATATATAAAATGAAAGCAAATAATGAAGTTCCTTAAAAAAAAGTAAATAAAGAAAAAAAATCTATTAAAAACTATAACAAAATTGAAATAACTATAAATTAAAAATATAAATACTTGATGTAAAAATAATAATATGGTGATAATTTAGATCTAATTTAAATTGCACATTTAAATATGGTAAGTAAATTTATTATTTAATTTTTTTATATATAAATAAAAACTTAAATTTAAAATTTTATTTAAATGATATTGAACTGCTTGCTGTTAAGACTAATTTTTATTAATTATTTAAAAAAATTTAAAATATTATTATTTAAAAAAATTATTCACTCAAATTATATACAAAAGTCAATTTAAACTATCGTTCCAGTAAAATGTAACGTAAACAAAATTTATAAATATTATTTCAAATGCTAAAATTTGAAGTATTTATTGTATTAAGTAAATTTACAAATCATTAAACTCAACCCATAAATGACGAATTGTTTTAGGCTCACGGATTACATTAAGTATTTGTTTACTTGAAAGTTGAGTAGAATTGTTTTAATGATTAAATATAAAATGTGTAATTTAAACCGTATATTTGTATTTAAACGTGTTTGTGGTGAAAGTTAATGTCCTTCAAAGTAAAACAAACAAATCTTGAGTTGTGGATCAAAACTTTTTTAACCAGCATAACAAACTTAAGCTAAAAAATTACTTTATTCATTTATTAAATAAGATTTTTTTTTATAATTTCTGTGTGCAGCTAATTAATATCAAGTTGAGAATGAATCGTTATATTCACCATACTATTATTTTGGCACCTGCTATTTTAAATTTTTTTAAAATATGTTAAAATTAAATTAATCATTACCTGGTGTTCATTATTAGAAAATTATTTAAAGAAAAAACATTTTAAGAATTACGGGTTCTATTTTCAAGAAAATAATGAGTCAGTCTACTTTCTAATTAGTCCCACAGCAGTATGCGATGGGGACCAGGTCTTTTCCCTTTACTTAGACGACATTTAGATTTTTTAAATTTACATTTGAATATTATAATAAAAATTCTAAAAGGTTAATTTATTTAAATTAAACGGACTTAATAAAAACAGCATTCTTATGTTGTTTTCTTATTATAATAATCTAGAATGATTTATTTAATTATTTAATATAAAAAGCATATGTTAGCAAACTTCATCTAATAAACAGGGCAAATTAAAACCTTATGTTTGAGAAATAAATCAAATATATATTATTATTTTGTTGTAAATTTTACCTTGATGAAGCGCTTATTTATTCTCTATTTACTTATTGAATACTGTAAATATTGTATTAATTTCAATAAATTACTTATTTATTTTCTATATAAAAATAAATAAATAAAATTAAAGCAAATGTCACGCTTGTTGCACCGATTGCCATAAATCTTATATTTTATTAATAAATATAATATATACACAAGTTTTGTTAAAAAAAGCATTTGAATAATTCTATTTAAAATTTATTATTTTCCGCTTTAACCCTGAATTTTCATTATTAAATTTGACTACATGTATTTCAATGAGTTAGAAGATGGAACAGATGCTGAGATTCTCAAACCTGGTTTCATCCCAACTTTTTAAGGTAAGGAAAATACAAAGCTGAACCCAAACCCAATTAGAATCAAATCCTGGAGGGAGGTGAGTCCCCACAGGTTCATGTTTACTTCCCTTTAGGCTATTGCAAATGCCCAATTTGGCCTTATTAGAAGTTCGTTTTACTTTCTTCATCTACCATAATTTAAATAAGCTTTTCATCTTCTAAAAAACTGTAATTATTATAAATCGAATCAAAATATAAATATCACAGTTATTTATGTAAATTATATATTATATTATATAAATTAAATTCAATGTTATAAAAATAAATATTAATGAATTATTAATAGATAAAATGTATTTAAAAAAATTATTTCAAATAAAGAAAAATAAAAATTTATGATTTTTAATCATCAAAACTTTATTCAAGCCATCTAGGATTTCACATTCACACGTCCATATCTAAAGTTTTAATTTTTTTTTAATCGATACTTGCAATTCTTTGAAAATGAATCCTTTACTTTAGTGAAGTGTAATTCTTTTTTTTTCTTCTTCTTTTTGTTATAAAAAAATAAATATAAACTCACAAAAAAGTTTTCTTCCGAGTGAAGAGAAAACTCACATTATTTAAATTTTATGATCATCTATTTATCCATCTTGTCTTAATGTCATTTTCATTCGATTTTTCTTATATTTATTAATGATATAAAAATAAATATTTATTTATTTTAACAAAATAAACCAAAAACTTAAACTTTCTTTATCTTTTATTTTTTAATTTAAATAAGTTAATTTAATAAAAGAAAAATACCAGCAATATATTTTCTAACATATTTAAATTTTCATACTTTTAAATTAATATTTTTTTGTAATTTTATAATTTTTGACATATTTTATTCAATATTTAGAAGCATATTATTAAAGTAAACTAAAAATAACTTATTTTAACTATATATATAATTATTAAAATATTTTAGAAGACTCAAATTAATATTTATAAATTATTTAAATAGCTCTAAACTAACAATCACAGTTAAAGGAACACACACGGGTATGCACATAATATAAGTGGATGAGGAATCATAAAACTATAAGATAATGAAAATCTTGTGTTAAATATCACAGTAGTGATAGTACATTAATTAGCGAGGGACATCTTTCTTAACTCGCAAACAGAAAAATATTTTTCATGTTTTGAATTTTAATTGGGAAGTAAAAGAGCATGGGAGAATGTCTGTATTCAATGGTGACGAGGGTGTCTTATTTTGCTATACGTCTTGTTATAGTGCTGTGATGTGTAAATAAAGTATCACATTAATTAAAACCGAAAAAAATCAAAGTGATATAAATATGGCAGATCTCTGTTTGTAAATGTTATAAAACAAAATCATATTAAAGTAAATAATATCATGTTAGTGTAATGAAGGTAATATCTTAATTATAATCTTGTTAAAAATATAAAATTTAGTCTCATTCTAAAAAATATAAATTGCTTAATTAGCCCTTCACAAAATTTATAACGTTTATGAGTTTATAGAAAGCATCTCAATGTTATGCATTGAACATTTCATGAAGGAAAGCATAATTTATTTTGTAGTATCAACAAAAGAATGGGTTTTGGCATCCAAAATGTACATAAACGTACATGAATCAGAGTCACAGCTATGTCTACAATGATTGACTGAGACCAGAAAATTGTGATATATTAATGATGGTGTGAGTGGCTATGAAATGAGACCTAAAGTCCAAGATATAGGCAGGGTGTAGATAATTAAGAAGTGGGGTGCCCTACAATCAGATCTCCGTGGGTCTAGAAAGGACCCGGATCCAGAACAGTTTAGGCAAGAACTGTATCCTGTATTTAGACAAAAATTTATATTTTTATTTAAACAAAAATATAAAAACACATAAAAAAATTTGACAGGAACTAATCCAGATCCGACTAGAAAGTCTCACACCCACTGGGGTCCCAAATTCCAATTTCCATCCGTTCTTTTCGCTGTTAAACGTTGTACAAAGCTCAAAGACCAAAAACAAATAAAAATTATATGAATATTTTTTATTTAACTTCTTAAAAAAAATTAAAGAAATAACTTATTTCTAATTTATAAGATAAATTTTATTATTTTTTATTCTATGAAGAATTTTCTAAAAATTTACTTAAACAATGCCTGAATAAGGATCGCCAGCACATGTACAAACTATGCTTTTGCTTTCTCTACCATTTTGTGTCTTTTTACTACTTTTGCAAAAGAAACAAAAAAGTGAATATTTGGTTAACGAATAGTGAAGTTTTTAATCCATTATCTCCGATCAAGATATTCACCCAAACTTGCATAAAATAAAATAACAAGGTCAGCCAACTGAGGTTGCAAGAATAAGAACTGTTAATGATACTTTCTTAAATATATTCTTTATTATCCGTTAACAATTATAAAAAATTATGAATTTTATTCTTAATTTAATAATTTTTAACTTTTAATAAATTTTAATTAATACTTAATCTTGTATTAAGAAATATGTTAAAAATGTATTACTAACACTCTGGGGAGAGAATAGCTAGAATTCTCTGGCTCTATCCATCAAGATTGGGGAGCTCTGGATCCGATATCCAATGCATTGCTAAAGAGAAGTACAAACACCAGAGTAGTTAGCAGATACCATCTTCATTTAGCTTTTATACCATAGCATGTTTGTTTACAACCACATTTCATGTTACCAGGAATATAAAGTATTACACTGTTTCGAGGAATGATAATTGGATTTAAATGAAATGGTACATGCAAAAATTATCTTGAATAACTTCAATCTTTAGATATATTTTATTAACTTTGTTTTATTTTAATTGGTAATCTTTTTTAATAATATATATCTTATAAAACGACTGATTATACTAATTATTATAAAACATATTTTTACTAAAAAAATTAAACTGAATTATTTATGAATTAATTTAATATTTAAGTGAGACAGTAATAAATAAGTATATTACTAAATGATTTAATATTTTCATGACTTTCTTAAATGACAAATATTTTGAGATTGGCTAAAAGTCCTAAAACGATAAATAAAATAAAATGAATGAATCATTTAAAAAATATTAAATGTTTTTTATATTTTAATATAACAACTAAAACTTTAATAATTTCTTCTATAACTTCTCATTATATTTTATGAGTGTATAATAATTTTTTTAACATAATATCTACATATTTAACGTTTTCAGTCTCCTTTTTTTTCACATTTTATGTTTTTATATTTGTAGATAAATTTTAAATTTTTAAAACAGTTTTTTTTAAAACAAATAATATATTTTAAACTATTATTTTATTTCATAAAAAAATTATTATTAAAATAGTTTTTTGTCTAATTTGTCAACAAATAGACCAAAAAATATTTTACTTAAATAAAATGTGAATAATGAGTCTTTATATAAATTAACAGGTATCTATTTTTAGCATAAAAACAAATACTAAAAATATTACTTACATGTGCATGAATATGTTTAGGGTGCCCCGCCCCCTAAATGCAAGTGTGGACATAGATAATCGCTGAACAAAATGATTGTGACCCTATTCATACGTTTCTACCCGTATATTTCTTTCATGTTCCAGCTAAACTAATTAATACTTTTATTTTTATATTAATTATTTTAACGTGTGTTTAAGGGTATTTAGTATTTAAATATATGCATTATCTAATCTATACGATAAACAGGAATCAATACAATACTTCGTAGTTAAAATTAATTTTTCTCATTTTTTTTCTTCAACAAATTAGTTCTTCTTTATTCACTTAGAATTATCGATGTCAATGTAGTTAGTGCAGGAGTTTTTATGTTTTGGGTTATTTGTTTTTCTTTTCTTTTTTGGCTTTAGGCTCCCTTTTACATATAAAAAAAGGCTAGTTAATATTTGTACTAACATTTTTTTTTACCGTATGTTTTGGTGAATTTGAATATGGAAGTGATTTTGTATAATCAAGGCTTGAACCTCGCTTACATTTGCACAGATGGAAATAAGTAATGGCCAAACGGGAATAAATGACAGGTTGTCCTGATGTCGCATCGCTCATTTAATTTTGCTTTATGCTTCGGTCCTTAGTGGAAAGTTGAGACAAAAGGAAATGTGGTAGCAGTTTGGTATCACTTCAAAGGCAAAACAAATTCACAAAAAAGGATTTGATTAAATATTTGTGTATCATTTTATTTTCTTCGATTATAAAAAAGAAAATGCTCAACAATGTGATACTGTGACTATAGTAAATGGCCGTTCTGAATGCAATACGATAAGCTTGTGTCACCGTAGGTTCACATGACATGAACAATTATCACCACAAAGAATGCAAAGGGAAATGATTTCCTGTTGCAGGTTCACATGAAATCAACACCCGTGTGTGGGCCATGATTGCTCATAAATACCACATTCATTCACTAGCTCAAGCTAGACTGGTTCAGTGTATATATGTTTGAAATCCTCTGATAATCAGATTAAATTACGCTAATGACAAGGTTAAGTTACGCTTTTAACGTAATATATTTAGCGTTTTAAACTTTAATTTAAACGTTCTATTACCCTTCGATCCTGTTAGTTCTGTTTTATGATATAGTAACCACTGACACTGTAATAGATGTAGAATTGGTCTCAGAAATTCGGTAGATAGATAACTATTTATGGAAAATAAATAACTATTTCTCTTGCATGCTGGCACGCTCTTAATACAAAATAACTAACAAACACCGTTTTTTGTGTAAGAATTGAATTTCATTCTATGCATGTCACCAACTGAAAATAGCATACTACAATCAGTCAACTGAAAAATTTCACGAGATCAAAGCTTATAACAACCTTTTAATAAGGTAGAATGCTAGGGCATAGAATTTGATTTACTTTAAACAGTCTTAAATTCAAGCCTCATTATTAAAAAATTAAGCCGATATATACTACAATAAAAGTGATTTTCAGACAGGAAACAAAAACGTAGTTAAACAAGAAAACAAATCGATTGGTTTCATTGAAAAATAGATTACAAAGATGTACATGACTACATTACTTTACTGCGTTGTTGGGTGGCAGCCACGCAGCGGTGCCTTGGACAGGTGTGGCTACGAATGAGTGCGAGTGTGAACAAAAAAGCTGTTTGCACTTTGCATTATGACTTATAAATTGGTCTATTCAGCACTGAGCTAGATAATTGACCTACTTGTCACCCTTCACCAAAGTCACTCTCTTTGGATACCGAAACCACAATCCTCCTCTCTCTCTCTCTCTCTCTCTCTCTCCATTTTTATTGTTTCTGTTTCGTCTTCCTTCTCCATTGAGGGAGAGTGTGTGTTTGAGAAAACATGGAAACCAGCTCGGTTTCCAAATTGAAGCTTGCATTTTATTGTTTGGCATTGTGGTTGGGTTGTGAGCTGGTTCATTCTAGTGTCACCTATGACAGAAAGGCCATGGTCATCAATGGCCAAAGGAGAATCCTTTTCTCTGGTTCTATACATTACCCAAGAAGTACCCCTGATGTAAGTTTCTTCTTTCTTCCCATGATTTTCTCATGTTGAAGTTTCGCCTTGAGAATAAAAAAACAAACTTTACCTGATTCCCATTTTTGTTTCTCTCTCATGTAGATGTGGGAAGATCTGATTCACAAGGCCAAAGAGGGAGGTTTAGATGTCATTGAAACCTACGTCTTTTGGAATGTTCACGAGCCTTCTCCTCGCAATGTACTCCACAAACACAAACCCTCTTTCTTTCTTTTCTTACTTGTTGAATTTGATCTTTGTTCTCACTGTGCTCTTCATGTGGTTCAATTCAGTACAATTTTGAAGGAAGATATGATCTGGTGAGGTTTGTGAAGACAATACAGAAAGCAGGGTTATATGCTAATCTTCGCATTGGACCATATGTTTGTGCTGAATGGAATTTTGGGTACCTTCAAATCTCACTCTCTTCCTACTCATTTTCCTTAAATTACCTTCTTGGGGGTCGTGTTATATTGTCCAACGATTTTCGCTTGTAATGTGCAGAGGATTTCCTGTTTGGCTCAAGTATGTTCCCGGTATAAGCTTTAGAACAGACAATGAACCTTTCAAGGTTTATCTCTCTCTCTCTCTCTCTCTCTATCTATCTTTTTTGGTTTTCTCCAAAACCAATTTTTGTTAGACAAGAATTGAATAACTTACTAGTTGGAAAAATTCGAAATTTTTTTGTTTCTTTCAATTGAAGTAGTTTTATTGATGACCCATGAACGGTGTTGCAGAGGGAAATGCAAAGGTTCACTGAGAAGATTGTGGGAATGATGAAGAGTGAACGTCTGTATGAATCTCAGGGTGGCCCTATCATACTCTCTCAGGTGTTTTCTTATTCTTCATTGCGAACTTGCTCTTTGTGTATTTATGAACTAACAAGATTCTTTAAATTTCTTAGGGAAGGTACTAGTGGCTGTAAGCTTTTCAATTTAGATCTATCTAAGAGGCTACAATAATAATGTTGCGTGCACTTTATGTTAATTTCAGATTGAGAATGAGTATGGTGCACAGAGTAAATTACTTGGACCTGCTGGCCATAATTATGTGAACTGGGCTGCAAAAATGGCTGTTGAAATGGGAACTGGGGTCCCTTGGGTGATGTGCAAGGAAGATGATGCTCCTGATCCAGTGGTAAGCATTCTTACTCTTCCTTCCTCTTGAAAGTTTTATAATACATGCTATCTTAAGCTGCATCGTTAAAGGGTGTTGAGTTTTTACTTTGGTTGTTCTAATATTATTATTATTATTATTTTATTTTTTAATTTTTTTTTAAACTCAAGAGGTGTAACTTTAAACATGTAGGCCTTATTTTATTTTTCCAAAGAACCTTGTATATTCCGGAACGTGGTTGATAAATTAATCTGTTGCTGCTTCCTGTATAATGACAGATAAACACTTGCAATGGCTTTTATTGTGATAAATTTACTCCCAATAGACCCTACAAGCCTTCAATTTGGACAGAGGCTTGGAGTGGCTGGTAATCATTTTTATTGTTGCTCTCAAAATTTGGAATTAAAGAAATGAATTTGCATAAACTTTTCTGTCAAATATGAAGGTTTTCTGAATTTGGAGGTCCAAATCACGAGAGACCTGTTGAGGATTTGGCATTTGCAGTTGGGCGATTCATACAAAAAGGAGGATCATTTGTTAACTACTACATGGTTGGTTTTCTTATACTGACTTAACAATTGAACTTTGATGATGATGATGGCGTCTACTCTAGTAACTTGCCTCGCACATGTAGTATCATGGAGGAACCAATTTTGGCCGTACAGCTGGAGGCCCTTTCATCACTACGAGCTATGACTATGATGCTCCATTGGATGAATATGGTGAGAACTGCAAATTCTGCTATTTATGCAACTGCTGGTCATTACATTCTTTTCTTAGTTGCTTCTTATCCATATATATGAGTAATTTTAAGTGAAGACACCACAATCACTGGACTGAGTAACACTATTTCGCAATTGACAGGTTTGATTAGGCAACCAAAGTATGGTCATCTAAAGGAGCTTCATAAGGCTATTAAGATGTGTGAGCGGGCTTTAGTTTCAAATGACCCAGTTGTTACTTCATTAGGGAGCTTCCAACAGGTTTAACTTAATCTCAAAAGAAAATTTCCCCCTCTGTGACATATGTTTCTTTGCTGACCCTGGTGGGTATTTACCTTTTACCAGGCTTACGTATACTCTACAGAATCTGGAGATTGTGCAGCTTTTCTCTCGAACTATGATACAAAATCTGCTGTTAGAGTGATGTTCAACAATATGCACTATAACTTACCTCCTTGGTCCATCAGCATCCTCCCTGATTGTAGGAATGTCGTTTTTAATACAGCAAAAGTATGTAATAGAAGTCCGAGATTTGAAATCATCATAGACACAATTTATTCACTCTCAACATCTCCATTCAATGAGTTTCAACAATTTTTGTATAATCACTAAATTCATATTCTTCCTGTTAGGTTGGAGTACAAACATCTCAAATGCAAATGTTGCCAACAAATACTCATATGTTCTCATGGGAGAGTTTTGATGAAGATATTTCTTCTCTAGATGACGGCTCTGGAGATACAATCACTACTTCCGGTCTCTTGGAACAGATAAACGTAACAAGGGATACAAGTGATTATCTTTGGTACATAACTGGGTAAGCTTGATTTTCTGAGTTTGATTAGGTTTTCTCCTTAAGTGACTTTGTCAATCTATAGACTGTTATTATCAAAATTCTTTATGCCTTTTTTTTTTCCTAGTTAGTTGAAGGAATATAAAAGTCACTCTTTATTTGAATTCCACCACAAATTGACACTGACAAGTGTTGAGTCCTCACGCTTAACAATTCCCTTCGTAGTTCTACATGTTTCAAAAACACAACAGATCAACTTGCATCAGCCATGAAATCAAATTGCTGATTTTCTAGATGCTGAATTGATTATGGAAGTGATGTAGCTATGGTGTGCATGTCTTAAAATAGCTTTCTTGGTGGACAGCTTATAGGTTCCAGCTGCTAAATGATAAAGATTCAGAAACCATGTTGACTATACTAATTATTTAATGTCAACTTGTTTACAGTGTTGATATTGGTTCATCCGAATCCTTTCTCCGTGAAGGCAAACTCCCCTCTCTCATTGTTCAGTCAACAGGCCATGCTGTGCATGTTTTTATCAATGGTCAACTTTCTGGTGTGTAGTCTGCTTGCTTCTTTACATGATATCCTTTCTGATTACTTGAAGGAAACATGATAGATATTATTAAAAACAGGTTCTGCCTATGGAACAAGGGAGGACAGGAGATTCAGATATACTGGCACGGTAAACCTTCGAGCTGGGACAAACAGAATAGCTCTGCTCAGTGTTGCTGTTGGACTTCCAGTAAGTTTTGTTTTCTACCTTTACTTTCTGAAATCCCACTGCAGTAAATCTTGAGTATGAAGGCAGCTAAGCATTTTTAATTGAGTGAGCTGTCATCATGTCCACTCATCCACCTTATTCTTGTCTCAGCTACACTTGTTAATGGCTTTATTCTTTCCTCCTAATGACTAACATCATCCTTTTCTGTTGTGTTGTCAAAGAATGTGGGAGGACATTTTGAGACTTGGAACACAGGAATCCTTGGTCCAGTTGTACTCCATGGACTTGACGAAGGAAAGTTGGACTTGTCTTGGCAGAAATGGACTTATCAGGTTGCTAGTCTTAGCTGTTTAAGTTGACTCAATTGCAAACAAAATTTTATTTACAACATGCCTATTCTTGCAACAGGTTGGGCTGAAAGGAGAAGCCATGAATCTTGCATCTCCAAATGGTATCTCTTCTGTAGAGTGGATGCAGTCAGCATTAGTTTTAGATAAAAAGCAGCCACTGACATGGCACAAGGTAAAAAATAAACAAAAACATGCTTAAGGTTGACTGAAACCGAATGTTGGGACTGAAAAATGATGAAATTGATTGGTAAACTTTGCAGACTTATTTCAATGCTCCGGAAGGAGATCAGCCATTAGCACTCGACATGGAGGGTATGGGTAAAGGTCAAATATGGATTAATGGACAGAGCATTGGAAGATACTGGACTGCTCCAGCCGCTGGTGATTGCAATGACTGCAGCTATGCTGGCTCATTTAGACCTCCAAAGTGCCAGGTTGGTTGTGGCCAACCAACCCAACGATGGTAAATATTCTCTTTGGTTGACATTATAGTTAATGCATCGCTCACTCAGGCTCAAAATAAAAATACCTTATATTTGGCACTAAATATTTCAGGTACCATGTACCTCGATCTTGGTTGAAGCCAAATCACAATTTGTTAGTTGTTTTTGAGGAACTTGGAGGAGATCCTTCAAGAATTTCACTTGTAAAGAGATCAGTGAACAGTGTCTGTGCTGATGTGTCTGAGTACCACCCAAATATCAGAAATTGGCACATTGAGAGCTATGGGAAATCAGAAGAGTTCCATCCTCCCAAGGTTCACTTGCATTGTAGTTCTGGCCAGGTCATTTCTTCCATTAAATTTGCAAGCTTTGGAACTCCTTTAGGAACCTGTGGGAATTATGAACAAGGAGTTTGTCATTCTCCTGCATCCTATGCCATCTTAGAGAAGGTACTTTACCATACTCTTCATTTCACAATCCAACTCCTTAACTTTGTTACAAATAATATATAACTTATGCTCTTTGTCATTTCATTTTTCACAGAAATGTATAGGAAAGCCAAGATGTACAGTCACTGTATCAAACAGTAACTTCGGGCATGATCCTTGTCCTAATGTGTTGAAGCGGTTGTCAGTTGAAGCTGTATGCGCTTCAACTTCTACCAACCGGAGGGGCTGAATGGTTTATGAATCACCCTTTTTCGTGTAGTTTGTAGTGACTTAACAAGTAAAGAAAACAACAATAAGAGTATAGGTAAAGTTAGTGCCTTAGTTGTTTAGGGGAGAAAGTAACTATTCTAATGTTTTAGTGCCAAAGGCGCGTGGTTTATAATTTTATTCAGTGTTGTGTTTATTGGGTTTGTATAAATTAGTCATTGTTGGATAGGTGAATCTCAAAGCAAAAGTCCAAAATTTGGACCCTTGTGTGTGGAGTCATAGTTCCCGGCCTTCTAAGTTTTAACTGGATATAGGCACTGGGAAGAGGCAATTTCGTTGGTGTGATTTTATTTTTCACGTTTTTTCTTACTTATTGGGGTAAATTAAACTCCAAATGAGGTTCAAGTTGGGAGCGGATCCTACTGTAACCATTCTCTGATGACGTTTATTTATAATCTACTGTTCTGTGCACTTTGCCTTCTATTCTTTCTTTTCAATTTTTAGTTGGCAGTATTTACCCATGACCACGCAAACATAGATTAAAAAGCACCGTATGATATGAAAGAAAAATAATCTAACACCTTTGCATTCCATTATTTATTCTTTCCTTTAGCATATGTCACAAGTTAATTCTCATGCATGAGTAATTTTCGGGTGATACAGGATCATGTGGTTTATCAACTTTTTTTATAAATTGTAAACTTCATACATATTGGTTGAAATCACATGGTTTTAGACTACGTAAAAACTTTTCCCATACAAATTTGAGGGCAACATGATTCACGTGTTTTAAGGTGTTGTTGGCCAGTCTCTTTAGGAATCTTGATAAAATGTATTAAAATATATGGGTGTAAATACATTTTTTATGCTTTCAATAAAAAATATTGTATTTTCATCTTTTTAACCAGTGTTTTTAGAGCATTAATGAGGATTTTTCGCGTTTGAATACTAGAAGGGGAAACAGAAAATGTAATGTAATTAAGAATTTATAATATAGCATCATCAAACCATTATTTAAGACATAAGAAAATAGGAGTCTTCACGTTGATAAAGCTGTTTGGTGCAATAACAGGAAGACCCAAATATTGTCTATAGTACTAGATTATAAAAATAGAGATGAAAGAACATAGTATGTCTCTGAAAGTGAAAGTAACAACTAAGAGCAGCAGGGTTAAGCACTAGCTGTAGCCACATGTTTCTCCAGTGTCTGCTGCAGCTCTTCCTTCTTTGCTCCCACCACTTTGCCCACAATCGTTCCCTCTTTCAGAAACACAAAAGTGGGCATAGCCTCCACAGCCCAATCTTGAGCAACAGTCTGCAATCAACAAATTATTTATGTTAGGTTTCTAAATGAAGTAATTTTCCTGTTTTTTTTAGTGGGGATTATAAAAATTATAATCTATTTACCTTCAACTCGTCCACATCAACCTTTAGAAATATGACATTTGTATACTTCTTAGCCAGCTCGGCCAGGAATGGTGCAATGAAACGGCATGGTCCACACCAAGAAGCAGTGAAATCCACTACAATCTGTCACAATTAGAAAGGTAAATACAAATCATAATGTACTAGACACAACTTCATGGTAAATTTACCTCTGCCCTCTACTTTACTAATTAAAAAAAGCTAGTTTAAAAACAATTTTCAATAATGGGATGGTGTTGTGGGAATAGTATTTTTCTTCACAATTTGCATGCCATTCAAGCATTATTTAATTTAATATCTAATTGATAATATTAAAAAAATTGGTTGTGTTAACGTCAAGTTTATGTAAAAGTATAAACCTTTTATTAATATAGTTAGAAAGCTAACTTTTATATTTTTAATAAATAATTTTTAAAAAATCTGTTTTTATAGTTTAAACCTTAACTTTAAGGTTTGATGTTAACAGGATTTAAAAAGGTAGAAGGGGATGTGTAAAGATAATATTTCCTTATCAGTGAAACATAAAAGATGATTAAAATACAAATTGCACATATGTCCCCACCATTGCAGATTGCTTCATAAACATCCTATAAACATTTTTGGTTGCCGGTCACATCCACTACTCATTAGAGCTCTTTATAGATCAAAACAGAAGTTATCTACAATACTTTTTTAAAATAAATATGATATTCGACACACAAGGTAGAAAACTCAACACTTAATTCAAAGAATATGGTAGTGTGTGCATAATTATGGATAGCAACTACTTTTTAAAAAAAATAAATTTAAAGACGTGCTATTTTTATTCATCGAAGGGGTAGGAAGGCATGAAGGGGGAAAGGTGATTTGGATTTTAGAACCTATAATTACATGATTTATAAAAAGAGCAATTTTTAATAGTATGCACAACCAATCAAAAACTTATGTCATTAACATGGCCATGAGAAAGTAATTGTAAAACTATAACGAGTAATGAAAAATAAAACCAGTCTAGTTCTCTTCAACCTCTCTAATCTTTATATCTTCTCCATTGATTTCAGAGAAAAAAATACAATTACAAATCATCGTCGTAAATAAAAACGAACCCTTTATACAAAAGTTTCATAACCAATTAGCCGCGCGATGATCATAATATAACAATAAAGTTAAGGACAAATCAAAACTATTGATTATATTTACAAAGGCACAAGCCATATCCCAGATGCATCGTGTGAAATAATAATAAAACCGTAACAAAAGAATAAGATAACCTTATCATTTATTCATAATGATGCCATAAATTGAGATCCATTAAGATGAATGAGTTGATACGTACGAGTTTCTTGGATTCATTGCCCTCTCGGAGGCAACGTTCCCATGTCTCAACGGAGTGGCAGCCGATGACTTGTCCCTCTACTGATGAACCTGCCATTGTCCCTCAATCCTTGTTTTCGCAGAACTCTTTGTTTGTTACAAATTTCAATATCACATTGCCATGGCTGTTTGTGTCACTACTTTAAATATGCAACACGGGTACGCAACCTCGGAAAAAGGTCTTGCTTTTGTTATTTTTTACGAATTTGCCATCAACCATGATTTTCGTGATATTTATTTATTTATTGTGTATAAATAAATTTCATAAATATTTAATGTGTTCAAATAGGTATGATGGAAAATTAATAAATAATATTTTTATTAAAGATTATAATAATATTTAATATTATTAATGCATTGAATTGTGTAATATTTTATAATTTTAATAAAATTTATTATACATTAATTTTTATTGTATACATGTTAGAAAAATTATAAATATAATTCTACAGTAAAATAATAGCGATCCTTCTGAATTTGGATTCTGGAATCAAGCAATTCCTGGAAACATCGAATTTACCTTACATCAGATGTCTTCCGTCAAGAAATTTAATAATACTTGTTTTATTTAGAATGATGTCAATTTCCTTATTTTATATTGTTCCAAGAGGATTTTGAATTTAGCCCAACGTTGTGATCTTTATGGAACAGACTTGCATTTTTTCGATGTATTTGGCAGAATCAGATTCAGTCAAAAGTAATGAGCTTTACTTTTTTTCTCTTTATTCTTTGGGCTTTTTTTCATTAGATTTAGTTAATAAGAATGGAAATTACTTAGGACAGTTTTATCTTCTTCTTTTTTTTGCATTAAATGAGTTTAGTTTAATTTCCAAACATAATATTCGAATTTTAAATATTTACTTATATTAAATAATTTTTAAAAATTTTCCTGGTCTAAAAGTTTATTAAAAATATTATATATTATTTTTTGAACAAATCAATAAACATGTAATTTTAAGATATTACAGGAATTTCATCTTAATTATTAAAAGATAAATTAAAATACATAAGGTTTTAAATATTGGTAATGGGGGATAGGGATTGTGGATTTTTATAGCAAATGCAGGGCTCAAACCTTGCAAACGGGATTATAAGCATCAGAATTGATTTTTTTGGTTTAACACATTATCATTAGTATTGCTTGAACCTTTTTTTCACTCTTATTTCAGGTTCTCATAATTTCTTTTTCGATTTTGGATCGTTTTTGTTTTGTCAATATTTTTTGGCCAAGAGTGATATATGGTTAGGGAGACTGACAATTAATTAAAGGGCCTAGAAGCGTCCAGGCCCATGTTTAGTGTGATACTAATTGTAAACTAGAGGGATAAAAAATGGTTGTTAAAACAATTATATGAATAAAAAAATAAATGCAACCAACCTCTGTGTATAATTTATGAGTACTAATTTTTGAATAATTTTGCTTAAGAGTATTCTTAAACGGGAGCATTTTTAAGAATTGGTTTTTTTTATCATCATGCCAAATTATTTTTTTATATTATGTATTTTTTTAATTAAAATTTTAAGGATTTAATTTTTTTAACATAATCAAATTTTGATTAATGATATAATATTTACTACTTCTTAATGATACTTGTTTAGTGCACATAAAAAAACACCATTTAAGTTGAAATAAAATAATATGGAGGATGGAGGTAGAGGTTAGGAAAAATGACATGATTTTATTAGAGATAAAGACACGTGTTTTCAAGCAGTGAGCATCGCATGTATTTTAAAGTATTCAAAATTAGGAAAAATTTCAAAAGTATAAATTTAAAGGAAATGAATTATAAAGAAATTATCTACAATTTATCATGTAGAATCTTAATATGCATTAGAAAATTTAAGATTATAATTACAAAAAATATGAATAAATAATTTAAAATTTTGAAAACAAACAAGAGACTAGCTCGCTGTAAAAAATGTATATTTTAATTTAATTTAATATATATATAATCAATTTTAAAATAAATTATTTTGATAGTATAAGTTGCAGATATTCAAGGAGAAAGAAGAACCCCGATGAAAAGGAAATATTTAGAAACAATCAGTTACGAGAATTTGAAGGTGAAGTCATGCATCTCCATCTCAAGGCGTCTGCAAGTTTAATTATACTGAATTTGAAGTGGAAAATATTCGACTCGACCGTATCATTTTTTTTAATATCACCATTAATTAGTTTAATTTTAAATATAAACATAATCCATTCTAATCAGAAGCAATTTAAGTTTGGTTGATTTTTTAGTTTTTCATTATATTTTCAAGACATCCCGAAATATATAATAAAAATTAATTATTTTCACTATTACAAAAAGCATAAGTTCTACTTTTATTTTTCTCCATCCTTTTTTGAATTCTTACTATTTATCTTTGACACATGAATATTGCCCCCACCAGAACAAGAATGCTTTTTCAAGAGTTGGCCATGTTCGACATGTACGCAAGAATATTTATTTTCTTGCTTACATATTGCTTTAGAAATGTAAAAGTTTTTTTAATGTATGAAAAAACAACAAAAGTGTATTTAGAAGCTGGCAGAAAGCGTGTTCATAGTCGTATATGCATGTAAGATGGTGGCGAACATTTGTGTTTTACGCGGCAGGTCTTTTGCACCGGTTTTTCAGCTCCTGAAATTCACAACAGATTAAGCAATCAAAAAGTCCAAATCAGTACTCAGAATTAGCAGCACCCTTCCTCTTTCTATAGGTAAAGCATAGTATGTGAAGAGCTAATCAAAATCCACATATACCAACCTCGATCTGTTACAGAGAGGTCAGACATACAGCCTTGGTATTAATAGGTTAGGGAACAGGATGCTGCTACATGCTCAATTATCTAATAAAAATGATGACACATGAATAACAAGTCCCATCGAAGCAACATACCTTTAACAACAAAAATCATCTGAATACATAGAATATGGTTATGTTTCACCAACTTCGAATGTAGCCTGTTTTATACAAAGTAGAACATGTACCAGCAAGAGAAACTATTACAACTGAATCAGATTCTTGAAACAGTAAGTACCAAGAAGGAACCAACCAATAAGAATGGAAGTGAAGAAGAACCAGAACTTTAGGAAGGTGAAGCCCCCAAATGTGACTCCAAGAAAAAATACAACCACAAATGGTATGATAGACCGAAGCATAGATGCTTTGCTGACCCAACGTCCATTAAAGAAAATGAAAATTGCAAGGTTCACTACGTTCCATCTGCCAGATAGGAAGCCCAACCTGTTTAAATTATTTGCAACAAACGAGTGACAGTTGCAGGTAAAGAGATTGTAAGATCGATGTTGGAATTCTTGAGTGCTCTTCCGTAGGGCATCATCCCAGGTCCTCAAGTCTTCTCTAGTTTCATCCTGCATGTAGCATTCCTCACTATTGTACGCAGACTGGCCTAAAGGAATGCAACACTGCAGACAGTTGTTTTAAACAACATTAGACAAACAATGAAGAGCGGAAAACCAAACGGGCTAACAAATTGGACAAATCAAGAAGTTCCTTTGAAATATAACTATTCACACTTCACGACCATTAAATGGGTCCAGCCAGTGTGTATCACAGCATGTTGTAAAAACCAAAACGCAAAAGAAAATAACAGACTTGATGTTGTTTGACAAAGAAGCAAGAGTCTCAGGCATAGCCTTGCTTTCTATTTTTCAACTTGTTCCAGTCAGCACATCAATACCCGGCTTTAATTCAGGACATTATTTCATTTTCCAGCATAAATTTGTCTATTAAGGGGAAGGAAACCTTTTCTGTGTTCTCTTCCCACAAAGAAATAAGAGAAGTTAGCATATACCTTTTCTTTGGGAATTTGAAGATAGCGAGTGGCAGATCCAAAAGCAAAATTGTCTACACACACAAAATTAGGCCCCGCAAAATCCAATATCACTCCATCCTCTCTACAGATGCCAATGTGACCAATGAAAGGAATGAACCATGAGATCACAGGAAGTGGTGACCACACAATGGAACACGGAAACCGAGCTCTTCTGGGATCAATTTCCATAGTTTGGGAATAACTTGGTTCCATCAACTGCTGGGGCTCGGTATCCAACTCTGCTTCCATTGCAAAAGTTGGGAGAACACTGACTTGCCTATACACACAACAGGTAATTATAAACTGAATGTGATCAACATTTACACAGGCGTAGGTTTATACATAACTTCTTCAAACCTAACAAAATCACTAATAATATGATGAAACTCCAAGAATGCAGGTCTAGTGTATAATATTTCCATGATTCAAGTGAAGCAATGATGAAATTCAAATGTTGCATTTATTTCAAGGTCATCAATTTCTGGTTTCTAGAACAATCACGATGCAGCGCACAGAGACGAGTTTGACAAGTAGGTATCCTACTAAACCGATCCTTACATAAATTTGAATCTGGAAATTGGAAATTGAGATTTGGTTGCGTGAAATGAATTGATGGGAGAATTTATATAAATAATATGTGCGATTGATGATGAAATTAATTAGAGAGCATGAAGAGAAACCCTAGGTTATGCTGAACAGTGAACAGAGAACATAGAAATAAGAGAGAGGGATGGGATTCAATAACCTTGTAATTTGTAAAGCGGAAGCAAAAGCAGAAGCGCTGCGTGGCCACTTGTGCAGCTGCTACCTGCTAGTAGTCAAGGATTCATTGCAAGATGGGACTGTAGCTAAAATATACATTTTGGACTCTTCTTCATCTTCATTTTTTATTTTATTTTATTTTGTTAAAGGGACGAACATTTTTTTACTCTAGAGGTAGAGAGTAAATTGATGAAGTTTAAATTAAAATAAAAGAATACTGATTTTTACATATCCTAAAAGGGGAATAATACACTTCTTTAAGAAATAAATATATGACCACTCTGAGTGCAAGTAAAAGAGAAAAAATCAAAACAACGTTATTTATTTATATATTTTTATTTATTGAAAGTACATGTATTCTTTACTTAAAATAAATTTGCTCTTCTTAACTCATTTATTGTTTAAAAAAAATAAAAAATTTAAAATAAAAAAAGTGATATTCACGCAAAAGAATTTTCCCTCGCATCAAATGGGTGAGGGAGGGAGAGGGCCTTTTATTAATTATTTTGAAAATAATTTGTATTACAACATAAAATAATAATAATAATAATAATAATAAATAGTTTAATATTTAAAACTATAATAAAAATTAATTTTTAAAGATAATTTTTTAAATTAATATAAAAACTATGTTATATTATATTTATTTATTTTTGTTCTCTTTCTTTTTTAACCTAAATGGAGTTTTTTTATTCATTTAGATAACTTTTTTTTAAAAAAAAATTCTCTCCTTATTTCATTTTCAGTTTTAAAAAAGTCAAAATAAGAAGAAAAAGAGAAAGAGAAGAAAATAAATGTAAAATATTTTTAAAAAAATTATGGATAATAAAATCAAGTTTGTTTTGTTTTGTTTTGTTTTTCATATTAAAGTCATGTTAAAAAAATAATAAATATTCAAATTGATATTTAAAAAAATACAGGGAATATTTTGATCTTCAAAATTTAATTCTGAAGACTTCTTTCAATAAAAAATTAAACTATGGAATGCTAGTTTGAAGAGAATTAATCTCTTGCATTGAACTTAACTCCTCTTGACGCATCCACTGTATATTTGCTGATTTGGTGTTTATTTAATCTTTTATTTTCAGCTTTAGTTAACATGTCTTCATAAACGATTATAAAAGTGACGATTTTTTTTTTCAATTTTAAGAATTCAGAAAGAAAATTATCACAACAGAATATTGTTTTCAATATTTCCTTCGCATAATCTTACAAACCGAAAACAACACGAAAATGAGGTAACGTATTTATAATTATGACCAAAAACAAATGAGCTAAAACTAGAAAAGTAAGAAAACCCAATGCCACCCAAACGATTAAGAATTGAAAGTCCCTTAATTATGATTCTAAAGAGTTTTGTTTGGGAATCAATGGTTGGATGAGGGAAGAAGTGTTGCTCTTTACTTCCCAATGATTATCGGGTTCAACGGGTACTGTGTCCTCTTTGTTTGACTTGGTTTCTTGACTTCTTCCCCAGATAACAAGGTATAAGCCGCATATAATTAAGAATGCTCCAATAATCCTGCACCTCAAAATTTAATGTAATAAGATTTGTATACCATAAACCAGAGGCAATAGATAACATATTAACATAGCTCCGAAATACAACTCCAAGTCTAAGCTTTGAGAAGAATACATTTTTGGCTATTATAAAAATAAAATTAAGGAAACAAAATGAAGTTAAAGTTGCTTGGATTATAAGAACCCACCCCCCTAAGAAGAATTCTTCACCGAAAATAATAGATGCCATCAAAGCTACGAGTAATGTTTGTAAAGGAAGATAAATTGAAGCAAGCACTGGCCCTCCCTTTTCAATAGTCCATATCTGTATTGCTGATGCCAGTCCTGAAGTCACCAGCCCCTGATACAATTACAAACCAGAGAATTCAATACGATTGTCAGAATGAGTTTTATAGATGGCAAGGTCACTAGTTATGATCCTCAAATAAGTAAGGGTCTGTTTTAAACATAACTAAGACATGTACCATAATTAATCTTAATCATAAATTTTTATTAGAACGTGTATTTTTCGTTGAAAGTAAGAGCCAACTTAAGCTTGCTAGTTGCCACAGTGATGCATTATTTTTTAATATTAATTTACATCGTTTGCTAAAAGGAAAACAAATAATTGTAGTGAAGATGGAACATGGAGTGAACCAACATGCTAACGAAATATGCAGATTGAGTGTTCAGTTTATTTACAAACCGAGAACAAAACACTGTAGATTTCTCTTTTAGAATTGAGGTGCCAGGCTTTGGAATCCTTCTCAAAAAAGGCTGCAATTGTCACAAACTGCACAATACCAAAGAAGCAAGTAAACGCAGAAACTGTGAGTGGGGCTGAGTATTTTTTCAGAACAAATGCTTGCATCACAATCCAACCAGACCAACATAAGGAGTGACCAAAGAGATAGATGCCACCCAAGTTCCAGTTTTTTCCTGTGGCATCCCGAAATAGCGACAAGTATTGTTTCTGATGTAATGTTAAATGTGGAGTATAAATGACAGGTCCCTTGTAAAGGGTATTGATTGAAGCTCCTCCAACAGAAGCAAGGACTCCAAGGACCTTAGCAACACCATCTATCCTATTTAAGCGCACACTCTCATATCTGCACTTTCAAATACATTACTTATAAGTATTTCGTCACAGGCTTTAAAACGTTAGATGTTAAGGATAGTATTATCATGCCTGAGTATCACAGCCATCAGAAAGGTGAGGGCTGGAACTGAGTTCTGCATAGCAGCAGCAAACGTAGGTGATGTGTTCTCCAAACCCAAGAGGTAGAATCCTTCTTTCATTGTTATTCTGACAGAATCAGAAGTGGGATTTTAAGGTTACAAAAATATGTCTTGTCAATTTGATGATTAATGGAAATTGGAATGGCTTTATGAAGAGATCATACCCAACAAGTCCAAGAAGGAAAAATTGTACAACACAATATGTGGTTATTGATGGCCTGTCTTTCCTTAAGCAGATACAATAGAAAAAACAGAAAAAACAACAAAGTGAGATAGCTGAACTCAGAATTAAAAGAAAATATTAACATTTACTCTTAAGGCTAAGTTTAAAGAACTAATAATAGTAAATTTTTATTGAGAAAAAAATATTTATCATTATTTTTTATCCCAATAAAAATATATTACTTTTAGATATTTAAACTAACCCTTAACAAAATCCACAATTAAAAGGTTTCTATGTATTTGCTAAATAGTCCATGGAGCTAAACTATATACTTCTCTGAGAAAAATGCAACGGGACCCAACAGAACCAGGGCTGTAATGTTTCTATAGACAGGAAAGATAAGCTTGCTTACGCCTGTATCAAGTGCAATTCTCAAAAATATATGATTTCCTGCATAACAAAATTGTAAAAAAGTTAAGGCTAAGTGGAGCTTAGCTCGTTCAGGCACCATGTTCTTTAGTCTTCTGTCTTGTTAGCAGATACTGATGATTCTGATTCCCCTAGAGAAGCAGGTGTTGGGAACATAGAATGAGTAGTTTTGAGAGTTGGGTCGTTTAGAACCGGTTGACCAGGAGAGGGGGTGAAAGGGGGAGAAATCTGTCTGAGAGATAGAGATCCATCTAGCTATTTGTGAACAAACAAAAAAGGCAACTCCTAGTTGTTGTTTAGTATTGAATTCTGTCGTTTATGGGTCAATAAATGTTTATAGACTCATATCTACTGCTAGAAATTAGATCGCGTGCTTGCATGTGATTGTGAACTTACCTTTTATGTTTTTGACCCAAAACAAAAAGAATAAACTTATCTTTGATGTTATTTGATTGGATCTCAAAACTTCATACCCCTAATATTTCATGACAATAAAAAAAGCATAGTAAAAACATATTAAAGTAAACGATATTTTGTAGAATTAAGACTGAAGTGATAGTTTTATAAAATTAAAAATTAAACCAAGCAATGCTTACTATCCGAAATAATAAATTTGGAGTGTAATAGCTTTTGGAATGCAATCAAGTAGAAGGTACATGGACCATCGAAGATAAAAGACATAAATAAAAGGAAAATAAACACAAGTTATCACACTTTAAAATAAGGACTTTAATTCGTTACATAATAATACTTAATAAAATACAAAGTAGGCGTTTGATTCCACATTTCATATCTTTTATCTTCAATAGAGTTTGGGACTTCAGTAAAAAATTAGCTAACATAAGTTGTCGTTTTCTTATCGAATATTGAGTTAAGTATTCTTCTTAATTGATCACAACCACGTTTTGAATATAAGTATCTTATTTCCATTTTCCAAATCCACTTTTAACACAAAAAAAAAAACATTTTTGTAAAGTTAACATAGCAAAAAGAATCATCTTTATCCTTAAAATTAAGTTATAATACATATATATAAAGTTTTAGATACATTGTATCAAATAAATCCTTGTACTAGTCCACAAAGTTATAAAATTTGTTCCTTTAGTATTTGCTTTTTAAAAATGTTAATTCATTGTTTAAAAAATTATTTACTTTAATCGTTCATGTTAATAAAAATAAAAAAATAATTAAAATAAATTAACTTTTACATATTTGAAGACAAACTAAGAATTTATAATAAAGTAAACTAACATAAAAAAATTGGCTTACAATATACTGAGTTGGAGAGTTTTGATTAGCTGCACAATGGCTAGCTCTCCCTCTGAAAGAAAGAAATAAAATAAAATCCAATTACACAAAATAAATATTCAAACCGTCATTGTTTACACTCATACACACCTAAACAAGAGTCTACCAGAGACAGCAACGCCAACTCTGGTAGAAGAAGTGAAGAAGTAGCTGTTTGTTGAATGCTGAACAGAGGAAGAGGAGAGCTTAATTGCGCACACGAGTCATGAGGAAGCGAGATTTGGCCATTCTTATGCTTTCAGCTTTCGCCATTTTCTTCTCTCTTCAGGTACCCTTTCATTTCCGCTGTTCCTAAAACCCTAACCCTCGCTTTCCGACACAACATGATCCGATTTCGTTTTTATTGGTTAATAAATTCGATTGCTGTTTTAATTAATTTAGCAAGATGGCGGTGTTTCTTTCAAAGATGCGTGGATGCACCTCACCGATGAATACCCAATCAAATACGAAGCCGAACGCCTTCCGCCGCCGCTCGTCGCTGATCTAAACGGGGACGGCAAGAAAGAGGTTCTCGTAGCTACTCATGACGCCAAAATTCAGGTACTTCAAATTCAGAATTTGTTCTGTCTTCTTTATGCATGACGCAAATTTGGTTCAGTTTTAATTTTCATGCTTGCTTTTGTATCCCCCATAATCCCAGAGTCATTGTACATACTCGCAGAAACATTTTTTTTTCTGTTCTCTGATTTTGCTGGATAGCTTTGCTACAACTGGTATTAGTAGTGGTAACTGGGTGCTGTAATCATGGTGGATGTGTCAGGTTTTGGAACCCCATAGTAGGCGTGTGGATGAAGGCTTCAGTGAGGCACGTGTGTTGGCTGAAGTGTCTTTGTTGCCTGATAAAGTACGTGTTATGTCTGGGAGACGCCCTGTTGCTATGGCGACTGGATATATTGACCGCTATAAAATTGGGCAACCACATAAACAGGTTTTGGTTGTAGTAACATCGGGTTGGTCTGTAATGTGTTTTGATTCAAACCTCCAGAAGTTGTGGGAAAATAATTTACAGGTATGATGTTTTAGTTGTACCATTATCCTTTTTTATGTTATGTTTAGTTTACTAATTCTTTTAGTGGTTTGATATAGGAGGATTTTCCGCATAATGCTCATCATAGGGAAGTTGCAATCTCAATAAGCAACTATACTCTGAAGCATGGAGATACAGGATTGATCATTGTTGGTGGCAGGATGGAAATGCAGCCACATGTATGTGTCACTTTCCTCCTTGTTTCCCGGTTAATTTTACTTATTTTCTATGCATGCCCCTTTCTATGTGCTAGTGGCAAAATTCGCCATATATTGTGGATAGTGTTTATCATTTTTTTTGAAAGATGAAAACTACCAACAGTTTATGATTGACGTAAGGTTGTGGCCATCTTGTTTTTGTTTTCTACACTCTGCTAAGGCAGGCATGAAAGTTCCTCTGCAATTTTATTTGATGGAGTGTGATAGTAATGTTTCCTGCCATTTCTTGTGTTTCTGAAATTTCTATATTTTATATTTTTGTTTGATTGTTATAATGGTAATGATATTGGATTTGTGCATCTCTACTATATGTTTGAATTTTTAATGTTTAGTGCTATCTTCTAATCTGAACTTTATTTCTTTGCTCATAATTGATAACTTTGTCTTATTGCTGTCTTAATTTGTGAATCAACTATTATGGTGTAGTTTATGTTGATTGTTTTCTACTTTCAGATTTTTATGGATCCTTTTGAAGAAATGGGGATGGGAGCCAGATTTGCAGAGGAACATCGAAGAAGTGCTACTGAAAAGGAGGTATAGACATGTTTCTAGTGGATGCTAAATTTTATACTCATTTTGTTTTACTATCTTGTAGCATACTAAGGAGTACCTGCTAAAAATTGCTGTAGTGCTTAAAATGCTAGATTTTGGGTTAAACTCATTTGTTGATTTAGTTTAGTTAGTTTAGTTCAATGTTGGTCTTCAAGTTTGATCTTAATTTATTTTCTTACACTGTCAATTTGAATTCCCATTCTAGTATAGATATGTAACAGTAAAATTTCACTAAGACTTGGCATAGTTAAGCCAGTAAACTTTATGCACCTTGCAGCTAGCCTATAAATATGGACCTTGATAATCAGGTAGCTAAATAAACAGGAGACTTTTTCCTTTTAAAATTCTCTTTTTCACTAAAAAATGTATCAGATAGATGCCAGTTATCTTCCTAATCTTTGGCCAGTAAAAGACTTTGACTATTTATTCTGATCCTTGCTTTTGATAGGCTTCTGAAAACTCTGGAACTGTGGATTTGCGCCATTTTGCATTTTATGCTTTTGCTGGTCGATCTGGTGATGAGCGATGGAGCAGAAAAATTGAGGTAGTGTGCTTTCTTCTTTGGTCTTCAGTATATTCTATGGTTTAAGAATGCATGCTTTTCCTTTTATTGACTTGATTTGAAGAATATATTTTTTTGTCTTTAAATTTGATTAGTGCACTTTCTCTAACCTCTTCCCATCTGTCTGATGTTTCAAAGTTTATCTAGGTGGTTGCATTTCAGGTTCTAAATAGTCTGTGTATTTGTCCAGCAAGAAGCATGAAAAAAATGTTATTATTAAGGTCACAAAAATACAGAACATAATTAGCTTTGGTCTGGTGTCAATAAAATATACCCATGAATAAAGATACTAAAGCTCTGTTTTAAGCTTATGTACTAGGATTTTAATCCTCTGGTGCATGGATATATTTTCCAAGAAAGTACTCCATCAAATAAATGGAACCACCTGCCAACAAGCATCAAACTTAATTCTTGTCTGTTTTTTTATGCAAGATTAGATTAGATGTTTTACAGCTAAAATTGTGGTCAAGTCTGATTGAATGTGTGATTGATGCATATCTAACAACAACTACAACAAACAAGCATTTTCCCGCTAGGTGGGATTGGTTACATGGACCAAACAATATTATAATGTTCACTAATCTGACATCTGTTTTGTTGGATAATCTTGTGTAGCATTATTCTAATTACTGGCATTGTCTTTTTACTGTTTAGAACATTGAAGCACATTCTTCAGATGCATCACAGTTACTCCCACAGCATAACTACAAGCTTGATGTTCATGCTCTGAGTACCCGTCAACCTGGAGAGGTACTTACATTTTAGCCGTTCAACTAAATCCTAAGGGTAGTTGGGTTGGTAGAGTGTGATGGAAATAGAGAGGCATAAAAAATTACTCTTTCCTTCATAACCTTTCTTCAGTCAACAGGCGAGATTTGGGAGGAAAGCAATAGAATCATTGTTTTTCTTTTTCAAATATATGGACTTTAGAAAACCTAGAAACGTGCTTGTTAATTTTACTGCTCTTCCCTTTAGTTTAGTTTACATATTCTGTTGTATATAATGCTGTAATCCCAAATTAATAACTTTGGTTATCTGTTCCTTTCCACATTAATCCTATAAACTCTAAACAACATCCAAACAAAGGATAAGTAATAGCATCCCTTCCTGATCCATTCTATTTCACTGTGGTACACTAAACCCAAATTGCATTTAAAAAAGTTTCTGTTCTTATTGTCAACTTGTTCCTAACATCTTATAAATGGAAGACTGGACTCTTTGTTAATATCTTCATGTTATCCACCTTTCCTCTTACAATGATCAATCATTAAAATTTAAAACAAATATTTGCTTGTTTGTATGGAGCTTACCAGACTCCAGTACTCATCCAAATTATGTACTTGAGAAACTTCATCAACCTCTTTTATATGTGGAAACACTAGTATTAGCACACAGTGGAGTATTTTATTTAAAATTAATGTTATATTATGCAATCTTTATGATTTATCACCCTAAAAGTAGCTTCCCATGACATGTGAAATTCTAGTTTGAATGCAGGGAATTCAGAGAATCAATTCTGGGAGTTATGCCACACCATTGGGTACATTATATTTGTCAACCTTGATTAGCTTTCTGTACAAAAGCTTAATCTCAAATGTTGCCAATACATGACATTTTATAAAATGTGTTTATCAGGATAGGAGAGAAGATACTTTGTTGAAGCTTACCCACTTCAGGCGGCACAAGAGGAAAACATTGAAGAGAACATCTGGAAAGAGTATGAATTACCCTTTTCACAAGCCTGAGGAAAACCATCCTCCAGGGAAGGACTCAAGTAAAAAGATTTCAAACATAATTGGAAAAGCAGCAAAGTATGCTGGTTCAGCAAAATCTAAGAAGGTTAAATACAAACCTTGTCATGCAACTGCTAACAACACTGGTTTTGTTTGCAATTCTTAGTTGTTGGTATTCATTCAATTGTTGACATAATAATAATTATTAATTAGTTTTAAGATGACTATAATTTGACAACTTGGGAATTCTTTTCTGAACATGATTTAAGGTAGAAGGTTTTGTTTATCTTCATCCAGTAATAGAAGCTTTCTGTTTATTTGCTAACTACTGCATATCAATTTTTATTTTATTATTTAAATTTTTGAGTTGGTATTTATTTGGATCCCCTATTGATTCTAAACTGTTTAGGTGCAATACAGTATACACACTGTATTTATTTGGCACTAACTAATCTCTTAAGACCAGTCTAATAGGTCTGTATGCTCTAAATCCTTGGAAGATTCACTTGCTAGTTGCCAATGTATGACAAGTGTAACTGTGTTCAAGAGCCATCCTTGTTCCTAAATATGAAATGCTTCATGTATGCAGAGTACAGTGTTAATCGTCAAACTTATTGATGGGGGAGCCATTACTCAATAAATTTTGAATTCATTCTTCTAATAATTTTATTACTTCCATAGAATGGATATGAAACAATTTGACGACTATCATGTTCATGGATTAAGGTACCTCATGAAACATCGCATGTTCCAAAGCACTAACTTAGTGGAAATCAGAGAACCCCCTCCCCCAATTAGATAAACCAGAGGTCTGAACACTATGGTAAAACATAACATATCTAAACTTAATTCAATACAGCCAAGATGAGGTTTGTTACATTGATGTAATCTCTTTACATAGTATTTTTTGTTTGTGTTATTGCCTACGAGAGCAATTTCTATCAAATTAAATCGGTGCCATGTTATGACAATATGAGAAAGTCAGCTTTTAGAGAGAGAATTTCCAGTCATAATGTTTTTCTTTTGGGATGCAGCACCTACCTTATGTTCCCACGATAACCAACTACACTCAAGTTTGGTGGGTTCCCAACGTTGTTGTGGCGCATCAGAAGGAGGGGATAGAAGCTCTTCATCTGGCATCAGGTCGAACAATATGCAAGGTAAACATAAATCCTGTGCCATGCATCTTCTGATAAATTTTCTGCTTATGGAGCACATTGGTCTGAAAAATTTTTAACCCTGTGATTGTGGTATTCAAATAGGCCTGGCTCCACCAAAATTTTAATTTGTGGTCATAAAATTTTCATATCCAGAGTAATGACAAATTCTTTTATTATCTCAGCTTCATCTTCAGGAAGGTGGTCTACATGCTGATATTAACGGCGATGGAGTTCTGGATCATGTGCAGGTTCATGTTTTTACGCATCTTTTGATTAAAAAAAACTTCTAGACCATAATTTGGTATGATAACAAATGGAGGATGTTCTTCTGCTTGATATCTGGAATATTTATCCTACCAGGCTGTTGGAGGAAATGGCGCTGAGCAGACTGTAGTTAGTGGGTCCATGGAAGTGCTACGTCCTTGTTGGGCTGTTGCAACATCTGGCGTTCCAATACGTGAACAACTCTTCAATGTATCTATTTGTCATTATACCCATTTTAACTTATTCCAACATGGAGAACTTTATAGAAGCTACAGTCGAGGTTCAGATATTACTTCTTTAGAGGTAGCAACGCCTATTCTAATTCCTAGAAATGATGGTCAGAGGCATCGAAAGGGAAGCCATGGCGATGTTATCTTCTTGACAAATCGTGGAGAGGTATGCTATTGTTTGACTTATTGAGGTAATAATATCGTTCAATAGTTTGTTTGTGCGCCATACTAGTTCTCCAATTTTGTTTATCAAAGTGTTTCCAATCACAATTAGTTTATATTAGTGGTGGTTTGAGATATATTCGTGGGGATATTACTTCTCTAGAAGAAACATTTGAAATATGGAATTTTATGGTTAAATTGGATGTGACCAATTGAAATTTCAGAGATGCTTTTTCTAGTGCTTGAATAGGTTCAAATGGAAACATATGATCATATTGATGCTGATATTGATGATTTGGAAAAAAAAATTGTTCCTTGCAGATCACATCATACTCCACTGGTTTGCATGGTCATGATGCAGTTTGGCAGTGGCAACAATCAACTGGTGTTACATGGTCAAATCTGCCTTCCCCATCAGGGATGATGGAAGGTGGTCTGGTGGTTCCCACACTAAAGGCTCTGTCTTTGCGGTTGCATGATAATCAGGAAATGATTCTTGCAGCTGGAGAACAGGAAGCCGTGATAATATCACCCGGTGGTGGTGTATTGGCTACAATTGAACTACCTGCTCCACCGACACATGTCTTGATCTGTGAGGACTTTTCAAATGATGGGCTCACTGATCTTGTTCTTGTCACCTCTAACGGAGTATACGGCTTTGTCCAGACCAGGCAACCTGGTGCACTTTTCTTCAGCATGCTGGTTGGTTGTCTCATAGTCGTGATGGGGGTTATATTTGTCACCCAGCACTTGAGTTCCATAAAGGGAAAGCCTCGTCCCTCATCAGGTCCTCGGTGAATAGTTGAAGCTGAAATTTATACAAGCTGAACTCTGAAGTAGAAGAAACAGAAGACAATGAGGTGTGCGCAACCAGTGGATAATCGAGGGTATTCAAAAGGCGTAGAATTTAAGGAAATTGAGTAGGTGCTGAACAGTACAAGACTGTTTGTATAATTGAGAGAAGTGACAGAATGACGTTGCATGTAAGGAAATTTCATGTTATAACATTATGAGGAAACTATACTGTCCCCGATTCCTGGATTTGACTGCTGTTGTGAGGAAGCTATACTGTACACATTTGTCACCTCGTAAGAATTTTCTTGCTTTAAGGGCGGTATTGAATTCACCGTCCAATACAACTGGAAATTCTCTCCCATTTTTCAGACCGAAGTTCTTTTATGAATAAATCTGCACGGGAATAAGATTTGTTACACATATTGAAAGATGAGAAAAGGAGTTTGCTGAGAAATTACTGCTCTATTTGTTAAATTGAAAGATAGCTTTAGTTGGAGAAAGAAAATGAAAAGAGAGGAGAGAGAAAGAAGGATATATTTTATTTTATTTTTATTGTGAGGGCACAAACAGGCCCCAAGAACCAAACTAACCCAGGCCATGTGGTAGAGTTCGAAATTTACGAGCTTTAAGGGCAATTTTTTTTTTAATTAAGCGCAAGGTTTGAATCATGTCAAGAAAAATACCACCCGTTTACCCTCCTTTGACCGAAAAAGAAAAGCTAGAACTTGAACTATCAGTAAGGTAAAATTACAAAACTTTAGAAGCAAGAATTTAGGTAGAAGTGGTGAGGAAAAAAAGTAAGATAATAGATTGTTTTGGGATAATATATATATAGACTAACGTTCCGGTTAAACATGAGTAGTTCTCTCTTTCTTTACGAGACGAGAAATTTTATTTTTTTTTATTTCTTATTTATTTCTCTCCTATTGCATAAGGAGAGTTTTTCATTTCTCATATTTTTGCTTTATTTCACTTCTACCAAACAAGTGCTTTGATCCATTTCAATTTGTATAAAGCAGTTATATGAAACAACAACAACAAAAACTTCTCTTTCATCGACCGAAATACCAGTTCCTCGACCTAAGGATCTATCCATTCCCTGACCCAAAAATATAAACGGATCTACCCATTGGAAAGTAGTATGTCTTGTAACTTACGTAGATCTTTAGTGGAGCAATTGGCATCAATAATAAACGAAGAATATGTCTCGTGATTGTTTACTGAGGATTATCAGCCGCTAATAATGCTATTATTCAGAACGGTGGTGATGGGTTTAAGTTGATGCCATGAGTGAAGAAATGAACTTGCTTTACCTTGTCTAAAGGAAGAAAAGGAAAAGAAATGCGCACCTATTTTCAAGGTGTGTTTGAATCACTTTGGAGAATTGATTCATTAGAAAGAAGCCTCATCACCAACTTTATTAGAAAGGCTTTTATTAAGAGATAGATACAATAAGCAAATAGTTAAGATCTTGACCACGTTAATCAAAGTTCAATTCTTTATTGAGTTAACAGAAAAAATAATGTTAAGAGAAATAAATTTTAATAATTTTTACACTTTTAAAAAAGACTAATCTTTAACTGGTGATTAGAGATATCTTTAATATATAATTTTTGGTTAACAAGAGATATCCCTAGTACATGTGATTCCATTTGCTACATATCATCTGAATAGACCTTGAACCGCCCACATATTTCAATCTTTTATGTGCAAATCCATTCAATTTGGATTACATAAACTCCATCTGCATGCTAAGTATTCTCCATTTTTTGACAAATTTTCTTGTAGTCTTGAGCCACTTAAAATAGAAGGGAAAATTCAAAAACAATAAAATAAAAGGTGCCTCCCATCACATCTTTTTATTATATATATCAAAATCACCGAACACAAAGAAATGAGAAATTAAACATTGACCAAGTTGCATCTTAAATTCCTGTATTTTAAACTCTATGTTTGATTTTTGTTGTTTTATTTTTAATTTCTCATATTCAACTTTATAATTTTTTAACTGTTCAGTACCATTCATTCTAACATTTTATCTAATAATTAATAAAAATACAATTAAGTGTGATATGCCCTTAAGTTGTGCATAAATTCATCAAAAAATTGTAATATTAAAAAAAACACTTTTTCTGCCTTTTATACATTTTTTTTATTGCCAATTTATATAAATTAATGATACATTACACTTTTATATTATTATTATTATTATTAATTATTTAATAATAAATTCTTATAAAAAATTATTTAATAATAATAATAATAATTATTAATTATTTAGAGACTGAATTTAAAGTCGAGTATTATTATAAAATTTCAATATAAGTAATTAAAACTAAAATATGAAAAAAATTCTTAGACTAAAATATAGAAATCAGAAACATAATCTAACCTTAGCTCCTAGTCATATAAAATCATAGCCTCCACGACCAAAAACATCATAACCTCAGCAAGAATAAATCCTTGATTCATATGTTTATCCTTAACGTGCATGAAGCATTATTCAGGTTTTGAAAATATCTTTATTGGGTTAAATCAAGATCATCTTTAGATTTTAATAAAATTTTTAAACTCTTTAATTTAAATGAAACCGTACAATTATTCAGGTTTTGAAAATATCTTGTTAAAATTTCTTCCTCCATTACAGTTTAAGACTCCTTAAAAAAAAAACCTTTTGCTTAACTTCATTCATTTTTATTGATTATATTGCTACATTTTTTTTACTTGGTGGCGGTGTCTTACTAAAATTGAATGATATAAATCATAGTATAATGAAGTTGTGTTAATTAACACACGATTTTTCTAATGTTGTCAATATCCAAGCTTTCTAAAATGTATACATTCTAAAGAACTGGAACCTCAAAGCATGCAAATTTGAATGAGATTTAGAAACAAATACATTGTTTTTTTTATCAAAATAATTAGAGAGTTCAAAAATTAATATCGGATGATAGGCCGGCTTACTTATTTTTATTTTAGTGCGTAGTTCGTTCTAAATATCTAACTAGCTAATATTAGCTTTTGTGGGAGTCATTATACTGAATCAAAATAGATATCTTTGATTTTCAGTACGGTTTTAATTGTTGTACAATGGAGATGCTTTTGTCACGGTAAGAAAACATTCTTTTAAGGCTTAAATAAGTTATCAAATTTTAAAAAATATATTTTTTAAAAATTTTAGTCTCTATATAAATTTTATGTACTTTAATTTAGTCCCTATGTTTAATAAAAAAAATGTGATTTTTGTTTCTTGCCAACAACTAATACGGTGTATTTACATCTAACATATGGTGTACTAATATTGATGATTGTTGTAAAATGCAAATGCTAACAAATATTGGGCATTCTTTATGCTTTCTTTTCTAAATCAAACAACATTTTGGGATACCATTTAGAGTCGTTTGTGTTAAATTATAATAATTACATTATGTGATCAACAAAGATGAGCTATGTGCATTCCTCAATCCTCACTTAGTGCTAACTCTATTTTTTAGTCGCAATATCTAATTAATCGAAAGGAATGGCTTTGGTTGTATTTTTTTTAATTACTAATGTAAAACAGTTTTAAAAAGAAGAAGAAGAAGAAGAGTAAACTTAATCCGATAGCTGTTTCCTTTATGAAATCATGTACTTCTTATAGTTAATTGCCAAATTACCCCCCAACTTCATTATAGAATGAGAGTAAAACTATTTCACATAAGATAGCAACATTAATAGCAGGGGTATTTTAGACAAAAAAATATTACTCAAACAAAAGTAACAATAACAATAGATACATAAGAATAAAAATAGATATTTAGGAGGTGACTACAAACACATCTTTCGTACAAATCTATTAGTTCTACAAGTAATTGCAAGTATTTGTGCTGACATTTGCATGTTATCTGATCATTTTGTTGCTAGCTTACGGTATCATCATCCAACAATATTTATGCAGGTCTTGTTGCTTGAATTTGTAGCCTCTGTAATGGTGTTATGCATGTTCTTTGGTTCCGCAAGATTCATGGGTTATGATTTTCAGATGAAAGTAAAATATTGAAATAAGCAACACAAAAGGACTTATCGGAGGTATAAACTAATTTTAGAAACTCTTCATGAAATTTTTTCAAATGCTTAATTAGTACTAAATGAGGCAATGTGCTATGATATAAACTGAATAAAAAAAGGCTGACATGACTGTTACATATGTATTGGTTGCGAATTACTTACCAGAATTTGAATCTCATTTTATTCTTAAACATACTTCGGCCTATAGTGTGCACTGGTTTAACTGACTTTATACCATGATTAGCATAAGGCATAGGGAAGGTTGTAAACGTTCTCAATAGTGCATACATTAGTTAAATGGACTCTAATTTCCCTTGTATATGCTACACCCAGGTGAAAAACACTAGTTCAATACAATTATTTTTGGAACTGCTATCTAACGCTTCTGGTAGACACCAAAAAGCCTCAGTAGGAACCTAGTCATTTATATGACCACACAAAATACTTTGATTTTAAAAAGGGTCATAACTATAACAATTGAAAAGCGTGACACAAGTTCAAATATTTGTTACTCAAACTCTAAAATAACATTTTGTCTCAATTATAACAGTATCAAAATTTTAAAACTATTAATCAGCTTACGTAAATTCTAACAATTCTAATCCAACGCCAAATAATAACAAAAAGGTTAAACTATGACTTTGTCACTTACATTGTGTTGTTATGTTATTATTAAACTACTTATATTGTGCTGTACTTGTGGTATCATTCCACGTGCATCAAATGACGAACCTACAAAGAACCGCGCCAACACCACAATACTTGCGCATGATAAAAAAAAATCCCCTTCCCTATTAATGAACTCACTAATGATCAAAACAAGGGTTGTTTACGTGCAAGAATTACAACCTCAATACCAAACCATACTCCTCTGAACACAACACATGCTTGAGAATGCTTACTCAGAGAGACATGGACACAAACAAAGCCGTCCTTCTCTCACACCGAACCAAAAGGCACCCACAAAAAGATAATGAAGGAGAAAGAGGAACCCCGAGTCATCCCTAACCAACAAGCACAAGTGTTGTTGGGACCACGTACCACAACTGTTATGGCAGAAAGATGAGACCACCATTCCATTATGGTGCACTAGCTAGGCTCCTACGTGTCTGGGCTCACCCTACGCTACTGCTATGCTGCCGCTGCAACAGTACGAAAATATCATCCACCCATTATTCTGCAAGTAGCCCTAACTCTTCATTAGATTTGCTTTGGTCCAGCCATACAAACAAATCTTTTCAACTCAGACTTCGATATGCTTACACTCCTTGCTTCAATTATACTACCATAATTAAAGACACGTGAACTGTGAAGTCTATTTCAAACCGAGCACTGCCAGTGGCTTCTGTCTCCACAACGCTTCTTTCAGCTTTCATACACATTACCTTCTTTAAACCACTGGGCCTTTGAACCAACCAGAATTTGAGAAAAAGTTTTTCGTTCCTGCGTGGTTGTGACACCGGCGAGCTATGTTCATTAGAGAGTTCAAAGGCTGGAGCAAGAAGCAAGGCTACGAAATCGAGGTGTGTATATACCCTAATTCCTCAAATTTTGATTCTGATAGTTTTAGCTTTCAACGTGTTTTTGTGTGCGTGAGATAGAACGAACCTTCCCCTTCTACTAGATGCTTAGTAAAGAAGCTCACTTCTTGGTTTATTTTTTGAAAATAGCTCACTATGCTAGGGCTCAACAACCAAAGGCTATAAAGCTAAAATAAGTTGTTAATAAAAGCAACGGATACAGTTGAAGTAGTAATAAAGACACCACGATTTATCAATAAACCGATTCATGTTTATTCTCTTGCTTTAACAATGGCACTGGCACAAGTCCACAATGCTATTGTACTTTTTTATTGCATAAGAGAGAATACGAATCCAACTAAGAAGGAAATATTTAAAGCGGGTAGATCATGGAGATCTCCACTATCGTCTACGTCCGTGGTAATTGGTAAAGCGGTCTGAATAATTTTACCGTTGAAAAAGAAGAATCCAGATATTTTTATTTCCTTGGGCATCAACACATATTTGGGAATTAATGTAGAGCTATTCCTCATGATACCACCATTTTGCATCCACGTAAGGTTTGTGTGAGCTCGGATTTTACTTTTCTGACGTAAATTTTTCCAAAAAAATAAATTCAAAACATGAAATCCAAAAATAATATACTTAAAAGACCAAGAGGCAGCATTTATAAGAACAAACCCAAGCAACCAAGCTTTTTTTACTGCTGAACACTCAGATGTATGCAAATTATAACACCCTAATAGATCCTTTTATGTCAAATTTAAACGTGACATAGTAGCATTCAAATTTTGTATCATATTATCTATGACTTCTGTCCAGTGAACATTAACTTAGTGGGAAAAATTTATATATTAATTATTTCTTGAGATATACACTATGCATAACCTATCTTGAACAAGAGAACATTCCTTATGCCCGATATCAAGGTAACAAAATATCACATAGATAAAGCCGAATACCAAAGTTAGTACTAGTAATTGACGTTCGGTTAGCTATTAAGTTTACCATAAATTGCATTCTCAATACACATTCTCCACTGAAGCAGGACACAACCAAATTATCTGGGATGATGTTTGAGGAATCGAATAATGTGCTACATCCACAACCAAGAAGATTGGAATATGAACTTACGTACGGACAAGAACGTATAAGGTATTTATAATTACACTACTCAAAGTAGATATGCATTTTTTTCTTGTACACATGTGGTTACTTCTTATGAAGAATAATTACACCTCGCTATTTGAATAACGTATTTTGGCAGACAAATAAACATCCAATATCTCACATGGTAATTGACACAACATGAATTAACATGTAACATTGACTTCAAACTCAAACTCATCATCAAGAAAAATTAAACCGTTTGACCAGAATATGAAATCCACAATAGGAGAGTCGTTCTACTTTTTTTGAATCATACATACAAGTTTAAATTCTATCGTATACATCCGTACATGCCAACATTAATGACGACTACCATATACATCAACTGAAATTTATTTTTTCTAGCGAATAAATTCATAATATTGTCCTCCAAGATAAACATGTGACAGCAATGTATATTTTAATGCATGGTACCAAAACATAGCCCAACCGTGATAATGTCTAGATAGAAAGATTCTTTCGTTGTTTCATTCTGTTTATTACATAAACACGAAAAAACAAAAGCAAAATCCCACAACGCAAAATTCATTTTAGCAATAAAAAGTTCTGACACTTTCTTTCCATTGCAGTCAACCTTGACCAACAACAAGAAAAGATACATTCAAACACAAGACCACAACCTCTTAAAAGAGAAATATTAGCATGAAGATTTAGTTTTTTAGCATTGAATATGAATCCTAAACATGAAATCGAGGAAGACTAACCGTAAGGGACAATGAAGTGTCAAATCCACGACACATTAGACATATAATCCATATAACTAGTCAAATCCTAACAGAAAAACTTTCCAAAAACCAGAGAAAAATTAAATGAACCTGGAAGTTCAGAATTTTGTCAGCTAGATTCCTATTCCTTCGTGCATTATTCTTCCTAAGTGGCTTTTTATAAATGTATAGATGTATCCATTACTCTTGCGTGGCAGTGTCTCAAAAGGAGAACATGGTAATTAAGGGTGAAAATGAAAAAGTGAACAATGGAAAAGATTTAGAATGAATACATCCATACACACACACACACACACACATATATATATATACACGAGTATACATCACTTCGGATTAATGTATCTTAGTCATGCTTGTATGCTTTGGAGGAATTGAACCTACATAACCCAAATCAGCCCGTATAGAGTTTGTAATATCTTCATGAAATCGATGTGAAGTTTTCAGTTGAAAAATAAAGATTATTGATTAGAATAAAAGCTTGCTTCAGTGTTTCTCTATGTATACTTTGGTAGGAAAAGATCAAATCTTCAAAAATATAAAATGCATATTATAAAGAAATGCATGTAGGTCTTATCTCCTCTAACATCAAAATTTTCCATCTTCTCTCTCCCAAGTAAAATATGCTATAAAATAAGAAATATATTGCGTGGTTCACAACATCAGAAAAAGTTGACTTTTGATCGATGCTAGTTAGTTAATATAATTATGTATGTTATTGTGATTATATAATGTATTTAAAAGGGAATGAAGCCAGGTTTATGTAACATATGTTATAGCCCATAAATCATCATTGAAAACTGATTCATATGAAACTGGTAAGATTACAGGGTAGCCAGTCATGAGATGGAGAGAGCAAGTTGCATCACAAGGTCAGGTTACCGAAAATGCTGACATCTTACAGCCCTTCTTTTTGTTTTACTTGTTTTAGTGTTGTTTGATCAAGCACATTTTGTATTATGCCATATGCTGTACTCCTTAGACATAAAATGGAGTGTTCCCCTATATACGTATAGTTTCCTGCATGTGCATTAAATATGAGCATATTGATAAGCAATATTTCCTCTTTAGTAATCAACGTCACATCTATGCAAAGTTAGATTGAATAAGATGTTAGAATCACAGTATCACATGGGAAGAGGAAGGGAGAACTTTCACCTTAAACTTGAATGCTCATGCATTGTTGGTCTGCCCATACCGAAATAAAAAATAAATAAAAAATAAAAATCTTCCCGGAGAGTTAAGTCCAAATAAAGATCAAAACTGTGTTTTCAGCTCAATTTCAAACCGGCAAGCATACGGGTAAACAGGGAAAAAGCAGCTTGGAAGTTGAAAACCAACCAGACATTGTAACATAATTCAACATTGAAAGGAAAAACCAACCCCTAAAAATAATAATAAAAAATGCTAAAACGCAGTACAGCACAATATTAGAACCTATATGTCCATTATATCGTACAGGGAAAGAAACAAATTAAATAGCTTTAGCTAGCTAACCAAATTATCCTTACCGAGAAGAAAGAGAAGAAGAAAGAATGATACATTTTAAAACTAACCAAGCATTGATGATTTGCATAAAAAACAAAACATCGAACGTCTGCATTTTCTCATGTTGTCTTTTCTTTCTTTCTTTCTCTCCTAGTTGAATGCGTATGAAATTTACTACTACAACATCGTAAAATAGTAAGAGAGCGAGGGAATAATAATAAGAATAAGGGATACACTAAATAAATCCATAAAGACAAAAATAAAATAAAAATTCTTTGTTTGGTTTGTTTGGGGTTTGAATGTTTGTTCAAGATCGTGGGTGAGGGAAGAATTGCGTACCACTACCAGGCATGAAGGTGTTAAGTGGAGCTGGATACAACGAAGAAGGATCAACAAGTGCCCCAGTGACAACAGCACCAGTAGTGGTAGGAGCAGCTGCAGCAAGGTTCAAACCAGCAACACCACTGTCCCCAGCACCCATGTAGTTACTGTTATCTGGACCGTAGTCATACAAAATTCCTTTGAAAACATGCCCTCCAATGTTTACAGCTGTTGAGTATGCATACTCCTCCTCCGCCTCGTCCATGGAGCTCACACGTACGCATCTGAACTCCGCAGCAGACCTCACCACAGATGGAAAATTCACCTCTTCTAACCCTTTTTTTATTAGTTTTATATTCACAGATAGAGAGAGCAAAAGCAAAACACAAAAAAGAAAAAACCATTAGGATTTAGTTAGATAATAATAGACACACTCATACATGTGAGAGTTAAGAAAAGAAAAAGAAATAGAATCTAAGCACAGAGACTGAGACAAACACATATGATATATCAAGGAAGAAAGAAGTGAATGTGGTAGTATATGCCAGTGCGTGTTATCAGAGAAAGAAAGATGACAGTCACAGAGAGAGAGAGAGAGAGAGAAAACAGCTTCTTCTTCGCTGTCAAACGAATCGTCAGGGCTACTAAACAACAGTGTTTCGGAAAAGAAAAAGGCGAGAAAAAGAGAAATTTTGCTCCACACGCAATCGATACCGTCCTTGTTTCGGGGTATGCTTCCAAAACTTTCTCAGTCCCTCCACATATCTTTTCAGAGAATTTCCCTCGACTCGTCTCTCCATTATTCTTTTCACAAGCTTTCATTCATCCATACACACGTTTTTTCCTTTCTTCTTTTCCCACTTCTCATGGGTCAATCACACAAACTGTGAGGCGCATGTATAGTGCGGGACAAGACAAGACAAAACAAAGCAAAACAAAACAACGACACCAACAACATCTATCTATGTATGTATTATACCTGAAGAGGGAGAGGGGTTTGAAGGCAAACGAGTGCAGGCGAGAGAGGATGAGGTTGGGTTATGATCTCTCTGTCTTCTGGGAACATCTTCGAGATGTTGTTGTTGATGATGTTGTTGCAACGCAGTAAGTTGTTGTTGTCGCTCACGGCGTTTGGAAGCGGGGACCCAAGTACTTTTAACATGGGTTTGGCAATCGAAGCCTCGACTCTTGCAGCATGTTCTGCACCGCATGTGAGGGCAATCCTTCTTCGCTTGGTTCCCACAGTCTTGACAGCTAATACTTCCGCTTCCGCTTCCACCAACCATGAAAGCGGATCGGGACGACGAATGATCATCGGAGATGGGTCTGCTCGGCCCAACTCCTAACGCAGAGTAAAGATCTTGCGGAAAGAGAGGACGTGGCTGAGGTTGAGTAGGATGAGACATGAGTTGTTGTTGCTGCTGGTGTTGTTGGTTCCATAGCTCGAAACCTCGGTAAGAGGAAACATCGTCATTTTTGTTATACCAGAATAAGGTGTCGGGAGGAGGAATTTCCTGCGGCTGATCCTCTTGGCTGTTGCTGTTCCCTCTCCCTCCTCCACCGCCTAATGAGAATAAACCCGCCATTCTTCTACCTCCTTAACTATGCCTGACCCTGACCTCAATTGTGACACTAAATCCATATCAAGACTACCTCGATCGCTGACCAACCAACCCCACGCTAAACTCAATTTTAAATTTACATATAAATAAATTTAAAAAAAAATAACCAAATCTGCCTCTACTACTTCTGCTTGGTTCAATTAATTTTCAAATTGAGAGTGAGACAACGGCACAACTAGTAGGTGTAATTTAATTTTTTTTCCTAGAAATCACTGCTACTACTACATAGTATTCTTTGGTTTTTGTGTGCTGTGTGTGTCTCTTTTTCTCTCTCTGGATTTTGGATTCCTATCCTTAAGTAAGTAGTAGTAGCTGTTATGGTTGGGGAAAGGGTGAATTGATTTGAAGGAGGAACAGTGTCGGGGCAGGGCTAATCGCGCCTTCAACTCTTTGGTGTTGTGTAACTCTCTTTCGGCCAAAGCAAAGGCAAGGTGCATTAATAAAAGAGGAGCCACAATCCCAAAAGCACGATTTACAGCACTGCAAACGCCGCCATGCTCTTCTCTGCTGTGCTGCCCCTCCAATTTAAGTCTCTCATCTCTCTCTCTCTCTCTCTGATTCTTCCGCAGAGTTTATGAGCTTTTCTTTTGTTCTGACCACTTCCCCTTTTGTGTCTGTGGCCTGTGGTGTGGTTAAGTTAGCAACTTAGCACTATCACAAAACAAAACCCCTCTACAGTAAGTAAGTTACCAGTCTTCTCTTTCTTTTTTATCAAAATTCTAATGGAATGGATGTCATTCGTCTCATCTCCACCCTCCATAGAAATTCTCATCCCTCATCCTACGTTCCACCATGCTCCACGTGTCAAAACAAACAGCTTTCTGCGCCTCTCGTCCTTTCCTACCGGAAAACCCGCTGCTTTTCGTGACACATTGCCCCTTTTATCTTCCTTAATTTTTATTCTTTTCATTTCCATTTAAATTCATCTGTCCCCATTTACCGGTTTTAAATTATGAGGTAGATGGATATCATATGCCTTATTTACCACTATTCAATTATATAGATGAATGTGACTCCATTTTGTAATTTGACTCTAACCACCTTGGGAGAAATTTCTAGTGTTTGCCAAATCCAAGGTTTCATTTGCCCTTTTTTGCAACTAACGAATCAATTTTTTGCACAATTAGTTTATTGAGGTAGAGAGATTTTGGATGGTGAAAAAGAGGTAACTTGATCGGATTTTCATAAAAATAATCATGTGCCTTGGAACATTTTGTGTCGATGGAAGGGAACACAGCGCCACCACGTCGTGATCGTACTTGTATTCTTTTCGTATTAAATTTTATCTTTCACGCGGAATTTTGTAGTATTTTTATTATTAGAGAGTGGTATAACACTAGTAATGGCAATATAATATTATTAAGTGACTCTTAGGTTTATGTAGGTGGTTCCTAAAACAATGTGCAATTTGGAAAGGGAAGGAAATGAATGGACACAAAAATGAAGAAGGGTTGACTGAATTAAGAGGAGGGCAATGGTGTAATTGAACGTTGGTAAGAAGCATGATGAATTGTTTAATGAGTAAAAAATGAGGTGGGACAGTGATGATTAATATGGTTAGGGTATAGAGAGAAAACTGAAAAGGAAGGCGCCGACCTGCAATTACCAGCGCATGAGCATGAGCCTTATGGCAGAGACATGGAGCCAGCCGTACAGTGTATACTCACAAATGCCATCGCCAAATGCGAATGCCACCCGTTGCAGCATGCATCACTGCATTCTTCAGTCTTCACTGAACCCCAATTCCATTTTTCATGTTATAATAATATGATGGATCCTTATAACCAATAACTAATTATTATGGAAAAAGCATTGACAAGACTTATGAATTATAACCCAATCATCGTTAATTATTATAATACAATGAAAATAATCAAACTAAAATTACAATAATCCACTTCCGGATTAATTTGACAATGAGACCTAATCCAACTTCGCCACAGTCTTTTATTCTGTGAAATACGTTTCTCTGACTTTATTATTAGGAATATATGTATTAGTTCATGATAATAATTGTTGCTTAGAAAAATTAGCTGCCAGGCATTAGTTAAGATTTTTTTTTTTTACTATTTATAACATTACACAATAAAAGACTATATATAATTTTTTAATAAAAATTACAAAATTTAATATATTTATACTATTAAATATTCTGATTTTTAATAAATATTATATATTATGTTGTATTTTACAATGTTGTACATGTTAATAAAATAAATTTTTAAATATTGAAAAATCTGTCATAAATATCGTGTGAGAATTTTTATTGTTTCAAACCATTGTTATAGCAGAAAGCATACAATATTCGTTGGCACGAAATTATTATATGATATACATTTTTTAATTTGAAAATCTAGTTAATTATTTTTTAGAGTTTAAATTTATAAAATTTAATCAATGTATACTTTAAGTTCTTATTTTATTTCATAACATGTGATTTTGTGATTTTTAATTATTAAAATTAAGTTCATTATTTAAAATATGTTTTGATAATTAAATGTAATATAACAGAGATTTGTATGGATTATTAATGATTAAAATGTGAAAATTGTTTAAATAAAATTTAAACAAAAACCATTACATTATATATATTTTTCTTTTATGTTTATATAGGTAAATTACATTCTATTAAGATTGAATTTACACGAATCAATTCAATTTTAATAATAAAAAAATACAGAACATAAACTACAATAATTAAAATCATATAAAACTAAAGTATAAAAGAATAAAAGTACAATAAAGCCAAATTCAATCTTAATTTGTGTAATGAAAATTACCACAATCACATACTTTGCATAAAATTTTAAAGAACTAATAAACATTTTATATAATGTAAATATTTTTTAATTTAAATAAAATTCAAAATACAATTTAAGAGATTATATATATATATATATATATATAAAGGTTTACAAAAGTGAAATTCTTAAAAAATAAATTTAAAGAATCAGTGTTGTAGATAATTTTATCATTAAAATTTATTATTTAATAAATTTTATATTCTAATAATTAAATTTTAATAGATAAGATTCTATAAAATGAAAATGTTACTGTAAACTATCTTTCCAATGTGTGTGTGTGTATATATATATAAAGTGCTATAAAAATTAATTATTAAATAATGATAAATAAAAAATAAAATAAAAAATGATTAACATAAAAAAATCAGACACAAGTTTAGAATATAAAAAGTTGAATATATTCTTTTTTTTTTCTTTTACATTAATTAAAAAATATATTTGACATATAGTATTTTCCTAACTGTCATTGTCATTATATAATAATTTAAATTTTTCATTACACTATATCGAATCGCAAGCATAATCTTCACGAGCGCTCACTTTTCAGAATCAACAACAAAAGCAAATATTCTTGTGCACTTTATTTTTTTATAATATCTTTCACATTATTTTTAAAGAAAACGATTTAGTTTAGTCTAATATTTAAGCATGTAAATAACACTTTTAAAGAATGAAATCATACTATAACTGCAAAAAACTTAATGTAATTGTTGAATTTGGTTTTAGAACTAAGTTTTATAAATAATATTTATCTCTTTATCAAAATACTTTTTTAACAGTTATAATATTTAGTGTAACTTATTAAAAGTTTTCTATTAATATCTAAGACTATCAACTGCTTTTTATGTCCTAACAAGTTAAAGTATTTTGATATTTTACTTAATCCTCTTTCATTAAAATATAAAGAATATTCAGGATAATATATCAAAATCTTATTTCTGTTATTGGTGCATATTCTCTTTTTTCTTTTATACATAACTTTCTCAAGTACATACAAACATTGATTACGTATATGCACGGCAGATTGCCGGAGTAAATCTAAGATTGCATCCATCATTTAGTTAGGGACTCAATATTTGCAGTTTTTAAGAGTGTAAATTGTATGGTCATGAAAAAATTATTTAAACTTGAATCTTCTGCTAGTCAGTGCTGAATGTCATTTATTTCAAAATACAATTTTTTATATTTTTATTACAAGATAATCATAGAACTCAAACATTAAAATTTTGACATTTTTTATCCAGATTAAAGACCATTAATTAAACTAAAAAATATATTCTCTCACTTAATTTACGTGCTTGTAATATTTAATTAATTTTAATTAGCATTATCAAACACTGATGTAAAATTATTTTAATTTAAATTCATGGAATATAGCTAATTCTCCAGTCTAAAAATGAAATGTTTGTTGGCACTTATTTTAAAATTTAGTCGAGAAATATTATGTTTAACCAATTGAAAAAAATGAAAATACTGGAATAGAGCAGCTAGCTAGGCCCCAAGGATGGCTTTGCAGAAAACGTTAACACCTATTTTTGAATCGATGAATGGGTACGAATTGGAATTATAAGGTCTTGTTTTTTATCCCATTCCCTTAATCAGTGAGTGAAAACTTAGTTAAGTGAAGCAATATTCTTTTCTCAGTTGTCAGTTTTTTAATCGAGGAAATGATATAAAATAGAGACGACTGACTTTGTTACGAAAATTATAAGTAGCTAGAGATTAATTTAATTGATTATTATTAGTAGAATATAAGTGGTATGTAGTTAATTGAATTTCCTCCTATTAAAACAGTTAAACAGGTTATTATTGTATTGCTTTTTTCATTTCATCAATAGAACAGATTATAATATTCCTTAATTATCTCTCTCATATTAGATTCTACCATGCTTCTCAACTGATTTGATTTCACCTATGACAGACAAAAGTTCAATCACCCGTGCCTTTTGTTCTTTGAACGGAACTTTGGATTCATTTATTTTAAAGTTTAACAATATTCATTTTAAATTATCGAGCATAATAAATAAAATGTTTTAAAATATTTATCGTAAAATTTACTAAAAATATATATTTTTATCGTAAGTGTAAAATTACTCTTTTTAAACAATAATTAAAATATATTGAATATAATTCTTATATTGATTATTATGAAATTAATAATTTTTATTAATATGATTATTTATAATTTAATGACAATATTTATATTTTTACAGATTTAAATTAATCTCATAATAATTTTTCTGTAAAATTTTAAGTAAAACATTAAACTTGTATGAATCGTGTATTTTAATTTTTTAAATTATAAACTTAATAATGATATTTATTTTATGATTTTTACACAAATTTTTATTTCATTTTTTATAATTACTATGTGATTTAAAAAAAGTCACCTTGTTAACTATTAATGAAGAATTTTTTTAAAATAATTAAAATACATAAATCATATATTTCAAAGATTAATTTTAAAATTTTGCTCGTAATTTTACGAGAAATTGGATGTCATATTTTTCTTTTTTTCTTTTTTCAAATTTTCATCAAATATGAGTGCCAATCAGTCGTCAATTTCATGAATAACTAGTTGGACGTAGTGCTAATGTGATCTGATGTATGGCACACTACTTCTAGAGAACAGCTGCTTGATTTGACCTAAAAAAAAAAGGGAATTGTTTGAGCCTTGATGAATTACCTATAGTCCTAGACTCATAGGTCTACATCATTCTCATCGTGCCTTGCCATCAACAACAAACAATTATTATGAAATGTATTTGTTAAAATTGTTTATATTAACTCTCTAAACATTTTTACGCTTTTTCAAAAAATATAAAACTATTATCAAAATTTTCTGATATTTAAAACGCAGGAGGAAATTTTTAAATGTA